GACCGTAGGTTGGGGTTCCAGCTAAGAATACATTGATCTGATCGTATGTCTCGTATTTCTTTGAATACCCGTATACTAATCAGCGTACGGCAGTCTGGATGGAACAAATAAGAACATAGGACTATGGACGAATGCCCGAACCGGCTGAGGGGGACAACAAAAATGGCGGTTTGCCCAATTTTCAAGCCGCACTTGTGTAATGGGGAGTTAATGCTACACCTGATGCTCAACCTCTGCACGAAACTTTGTCCTGAAAATGATGGAAAGTCTACACTCGAGCTTTTTGCGCCAGCCAGTTGCATCTTCTTTACAAGGCCCCCGAGCAAGTGCAGTGATTGTGAACCAATACTAACCACAGAAACCGAAGTCAAACTGAAGAGACCGAAGTCAAAATGTCAATGGGGAGTTACAAGTTTTTTATAAGCCCTTAAAATTCAAATATGTAGGTGCGAATTGACGAAACTTTGCGAATCGCAAGAATCACTTAAACGCCCAAAGAGTAAGGAAACAGTGGTCTCCTCAAACGAGAATCATGTGTATCTTTATTTTTGCAAACTCGTGATAGTTCTCGTAACCTGTCATTGGGCGTCCGCCCAGCTGTCAGCCGCTGTGTACATTTTTCACACACGGAGTCTGAAATTTGCACTCTGAACTGCTCGCTTTCTGATGGATTACACTCTGTGTACACTTTTACAGTCTTCACATTTCACGGAAGAAAATGTAGCAGGTGTAGTGTATGCTCATCGGCTATTAGGAAGCAATACTTTGTTTCGGGTTTTGGCGATGGTCTTTTGATGTTCGAGGTAGTAAGACACTTCTAGGAAGGGTTTATGCATGTCTGTATGCTTGTTGAAATGTAATTTTGACATTTTAGGAAAAAAAAAAAAAAAAAAAAAAAACCCAGTAGGGTTTCCCGTTTCCTTGTCAGTGTAAAACCATCTTTTTCAGTTTTAAATGAAAGAAAAACGGAAAACGCAGCCTCAAGAACACCCCAGTAGAACAGCACATAAGGAACCCCAAAAGACACCCCAACGAGATACCCCCAACGAGACACCCCAACGAGACACCCCAACGAGACACCCCAACAATACGCCCCATCTAACCAAACCCCCCAACCCCCTCACCTAAACCCACCCTCTAAACCCGCATGTCCACCAAATAGGGCGCATCCGCCCACGGAGCATCCCATCCCATCTCCTCCTCAAAATCCTCCCGCTCCACCGAAACAGCCTCTGGGCCTCTCATCATCGACGCCGCGCGCAACAAGATCACACGCGCCTGAGCCCGCTGCAAAGCCACACCTATGGCCGCTTTAAGTGATCCAAGCAAGTAAGCCGAGAAACCTTTCCCCGTAGCTCTCGCCGCCCCTTTCGTCTTCGCTACCTCAATCTGCGCGTCGCCCTGTTTCTTAAGCCACCGCCCAAAACTCCCCCCCAGGCTACCCCATGTCTCAGCAATGAGAGGTGTAAACTGCACTCCCCTATGTCGCTGCAGAAGCAATTTGTAGTCCGCCGCCTTCCGCTTTTCCCTCTCTCTAGCGGCAAAACCCACCTTGCGACCAATCTGTCCATGGTGCTGCGCGGACAACGAGATAGGGTCCACCACACTAACCTCCAGCGCATGCTCCTCCCCCTCCCTCAGTCTCCGCACCGCCACATCCACCCTCTTCCCTGGCAGCAACGTGTCGTCTTCCATGGTCACGACCCCACCCGCCCCTTTAGCTATCTTCGCCACCACAAACTTAACCGCGTCGTGAACACGAGAAGGTGCGTACTGGTACTTGCAGCGAAGGGCATGATGCGGGTCAGAGGGATCAGCAAACTCAAACCCACACGCGCACTTGCCGGCGACTATCAGCTGCTGTATGGGGAGGCCTAGGCGCATGGACGCACAGATGCTCCACTCGGCTGCGGTGAAGGTAGCCTCTTCGTGCGAAGGGACGGCGGAGACCCACGCCCCTGCCCCCGGGCCCTGAAGGGATGTCAAACGGGCCATGGTGGCGTCGTCGTGGGCCATACCCCGAAGAGTCTGAAGACTCTCAACCGCTAGGCGACGGTGTTGTGTGGGGAAAAGCAGCACAGGGGGGTCAGCGGTGCATAAGGCTAGGGGTGGCATCTCCTGCCTGACCGACTGTGGCAGCAGCTCCACTGCTCTCGCAAACCAAGGATCCAGCAAGGTCGTAGCCTCGGGCGTGCGGAAAAACTCCTCAAACATCCGTTCCTCCCCTGCCACCCCCATCCGAGCCACATCGCTCACTGCCTGGCACCAACCACATGCGTACGACAGAGGGCTAAGGTCAGCTGCAGATCGAATGCCAAACCCTCCAAGTCTGGCTGGAAGGTGCAGCTGTAGACGGGCCATCTGCGACCTTGCCGAATCATGATCCCAGGTGCTATCTGGAAACAGCTGCTCAAAACAATCCTCAAGCTTCGTGTCCCAGTCGCGGAAAGCCTCCACAACCTCAGGCCGTGGAGGCATCGTCCTTGTGAGGTAAATCGGGCGCGCTGACACTGCGATCGCCAGCAGATGGGACGCAATCTGTGGGTGGTCGAGCAAAGGAAGCCAAGGGACAGGTGCATGCAGCTGCATCAGCCGGCCTCGCAAGCTGGCCACCTCCCACTCCTCCTCCCCAATAGGAACCCCCACTACGGTGAGCCCCGTCCATGTTTGCTGCATGCCGGGCGGGACGGTCTCGTTCCTCTCCTCTCCCTCCTGGTCCACCCCTCGCTCCCAAAGCTTGCACTTATGCGGCTGCACCTCCAGACCAAGCCCGCCCAGTCGTTCCCGCAAGACCTCATAAGCTGCTAGCACCCGCTCCCTAGGCCCCAAGATGTACGTATCATCGGCGTAGCTGAGAAAGAGTAGGTCGGCGAATTCTTGTTTGGTGGGCTCCATAACCAGCTGCTGTGTGAACGCGAACAGAAACGGCCCCAATGGGTCCCCTTGCCTCGATCCTCGCTCTGAAGCCAAAGCTTCGACGAAGGGGCCCGCACGGAGGTAGAGGTCGCTAGGAGTGCCGTAGAAGACACGCAGGAATGGGATCAAACCCGCAAAAGGCGACTGTCGAAGTCCTTCAAACATTTCCCGCCGATGGAAGGAGTTGAAAGCATTCGCCACATCAATTTGAAGCGCGCACCATGACGGGTGAGTAGAGATGGCAGAACGAAAGGCATGGGCGAGGACTTCCACTCCCGACCTGGATCCGACTCCTAGCTGGTTACACGGCGCAAAGTGCGACATCATCTTCGGCCGAAGCACGATGCATAGGGCTCGAGATAGTATGCGGGGGAGCACCTCGCCTATAGCCACCGGGCGAACGTCACCATTCGGCTTCGACAGGCCCACAAGGTTGGACGCAGTGAGCCAGGGTCGCACGCGCTCCGCTACCTCTCCCTTGGTCCACTGGGTGAAGACTCCTAGCAGGTGAGGCAGGTATGCGGGCTCAGAGAGAAAAGTGTCGCGCAGGTGCTCCGTCACCCACCCTGACGGTCCTGGTGCCGACGCCCTAGCCGCAGAGTGGATCGCCTGACCAAGTACCTCCACTGAGAGCTGCGGGATAAGGGAAGGCTCAACTATCTCCTCCTGCAACCACTCCGGAATGGCGGTCTCGCTCGATGGGTGTTTCGCTCGCAGCGCGTCCACCATGTGCTGAGAGGGCTGAGCGATGCTACCGGCAGTAAGACACGCCAAACCCCGACTCCATTCTCCCACTTTGCACCTTGTGCGGCAGCGAGCCAGCCACACGGAGTCTGAAATTTGCACTCTGAACTGCTCGCTTTCTGATGGATTACACTCTGTGTACACTTTTACAGTCTTCACATTTCACGGAAGAAAATGTAGCAGGTGTAGTGTATGCTCATCGGCTATTAGGAAGCAATACTTTGTTTCGGGTTTTGGCGATGGTCTTTTGATGTTCGAGGTAGTAAGACACTTCTAGGAAGGGTTTATGCATGTCTGTATGCTTGTTGAAATGTAATTTTGACATTTTAGGGAAAAAAAAAAAAAAAAAAAAAAAACCAGTAGGGTTTCCCGTTTCCTTGTCTGTGGTCAGGTGTAACTGGATTCTACTTCCCGTTGATAAGTTTCTACTTACGTTCCCCGCGCCCCACGCCACGCGGCTTGGCTGCCAGGGTCCTCTTCCTGCACTGCAACCAACACTAGATTTCTACAGTATGCACAAGCTCAATGCAGACTTTTCTCGCCTGCTGCGGAGTGGGGATGTTGCACAAGTTTAATAAATTAACGGGAGTACGATACGCTGTCTGGGTCCGTCTAATCACCGTTTGGAACCACCACTCACCTCTGTCAACATTGATACTTCAACCGAAAACGCCCTCAAATGACCACAGCACGCACGCCTACCTTCCTGTCAAACTAACTCGATCTTTGAGAAGACAAAATCTTGGTTTCTGGCAGCTCAACATCCACTCATCCTTTTCCTTATCCTCAACAGGCCCCGCAATGTCTCCTCCTGTTTCTTGCGTCTAGTTCGTCGACTTAGCTTCTACAAACGACAGCCTTCTTACACTCAAATCACTTAGCTCTTTAATAAGAATCGTCAACAGCAGTTTCTTTCGTCTCTGTTATATTTAACGAAACTGATCAAGACGATGCGGCCAAGATCCGTTTCTCCGACACCTCGCAATGCCTCCACTGCCGAGTCTATCCATAACGGGGACGGGAGGCCCGTCAGCCCGTTAAAAACGACAGTCAGCGGCTCGACACTGCTCGAGCGCCGGCAGTATCGACCCCTGGCTGTAGTCACGCACGCACGGCCGGCGTCCGCTCGTTCTTCTCATCATCATGACAACGACTCTCGTGACCCTTCGCAATCAGGAGAGAAAGGCAGCCCATCCTACTCATCTACTACCCACAACAGTTCAGAATCTCATGGCCATCTGAATTTCCATCACCATGATTATTCCAGCAAACCCCCTCGCTCGCCGCTGCACTCCCCGTATCACTCCCCCCGCGGCGGGGTTACCCGCAACCATTTCCCCATGACTCCCCCCGCGAGCTGGTCCATGCCCAGCGCGGGGGGGGATTCGGGGGGAATTGGCGGAGGCGGAATCGGCGGAGACGCCCCTGGCGGAGATAAAATGGGTGGCATTGGCGGAGATAGTAACAGGCTTGGCGGGGAACACGGCAGCAGCGGTAATGGAAACAGCGGCCGCCGCAACGGGCTGGAGCCGCCTTTAAGCTCCCGCCATTCTAGGTCAGCCGCGTCTAGCCCCCGGGTAATGGATTCTGTTTTCGGGCTTGGGAAGGAGAGCAGCCTGAGTGGATGGCGCGCGTCTTTCGAGGAAGGCGCGGCGGAGTCTTACGTGGCGAAGTCTCGCCGCGAGTTTCCCGAAGGTTCGGTGAGCCCACCTCGTCGCGCATCTGTCGACGCGTTGAATTTTGTTAATTTCGAAGGCGGATCACGCGCGCGAAGGCGGGCTAATCGTGGCTCGCCTCGCGTGTCTGATGACTTCGATACAAGCCAATCCGATACTCGCTCGGCTGAACTACTACCGCATCCGCCTTCGTTTGAAAATCTAGTTGATAAGGGCACGCAGTCCGCCGACTCGAGCAAAGCGCCCGTCACTTACCGCGAAATTTCCGCCGCCGGCGGTGACGCCAGCACTTCCGTAACCTTCCACAGCCCTGCGGAATCTTCGGCGGTATCTCCGGCGCTATCCCCGGCGCGATCTCCGGCGTTATCCCCGGCGGGGTCTGGGACCGCATCCCCAGTAACCGGTTCGCCGGGTCGGAAAAAAATATTTAACTATTCTGTCGTTAACTCTTCGTCAGACGGCGCGAAGAGGGAGGCTGTAACCCCTTCCGAGCATAGGGTTACCAGACGCAGTCAACAGCTCTCGGGCGAACGTGCGGATACGGACAAAAAGCCAATAGGCGGAGAAATTCCCGCTTGGCTTCCCAGCGGGGGGGTGAAGCAGGCCGAAAGGGATCTGTGGGGGCCGCCCCGCGGGGGGAGCGGAACCAGGGGCGGAGGGGGAAGCGCGGGGGTTCCTCTCACCTTCTCCGTCTCCCCGCGCGGCTCGCCGCTCGGGTCGCCGCTGCGGCCCGAGAAGCGGCTGGTGTCTTATGCGTCGCTAGACCCCCCTAGCTCATTTAAGAGCCGGGGAGGTAAGGACGGTCTAGACTGGCTGGAGGAGATTAAAAAGGGAGGGGGAGGAAGGGGCGGTGATGGCGGAAGTGGCGGAACTGGCGGAGGTGGCGGAGGAAGCAGTAGAGGCAGTGGGGGCGGCAGGGGAGGGGAACTGCGGACGAACGGGGGAGAGGCTGGGGGGGAGAGCAGGCGGGGTGCTCTTGCCTCCGCAAGTGGCGGCGCTGGCGGTGGTGGCAGCTTCGGGCGAATCGGGGGAAGCGGAGGAGGGGGAGGCGGAGGGTTCGGGGGAGCAGGCGCTGGTCCGCGGGGCGCAAGCGCACATGCCATGGGCGGCGCAGGCCTCCCTTTCCCCTCGCGTCCCCGTAGCTCCCCTTTAGGAAACAAGCTCATGTCGTATTCGTCCCTGGACCGCCCCTATAGGCCCGAGGGGGGGGCAGGCGGGGAGGGGGACGCGGGGAACTTGAGCTGGCGCCAGCTGGTGGCGCAACTGAAAGAGGGGGAGGAGCTGAAGGAGGGGGGAGAGGGGGAGGAGGGGAGCGACCGGGAGGAACGAGAGCGCAGGGGCAGGGCCGGTAGTAGCACCCGTGTTGGTGCTGGTGGGGATCGAAAAAGCACCGCTGGTGCGGCTTCTGCTGCTCCTGCTGCTGCTGCTGCTGGCGGGGGTGGTGGTCACAGCAGCAGCAGCACTGGCGGCGGCGGTGGCGGTGGTAGTGGTGGCGGCGGCGGCGGTGCCGCTGCTGCTGCTGCTGCTGCTGCTGGTGGCACAGCAGTGGCAGCGGTTAGTGCTCGCCCGAAGCCCAGGCACAGGCGAGGAGCGTCGTTCCATTCCCTCTCTCTCCTCGACTCCTCTAGCGGTGACGCGACCTTCAACTCGCTGCAGCAGCAGCCTGCTATGGGGACAGCTCGTAACGCGGATCGTTTTGGCAGTGCTGCAGGTGCCAGTGGCAGCAGTAGGCTATCCGGTGGTGGTGGTGGTGCTTCTGCTGCTGCTGCTGCTGTTGCTGCCTCCGGTGCTGGTTCTGCCTGTCCCAAGCCAAGACACAGGCGGGGATCCTCGCTCCACTCCTTTCCCCCTCTTGACACCACAAGCAGTGAAGCTATTTTCGACTCGATCCAACGGGCAGCTGAAAAAGAAGCAAGTCATTCCGGCGACCTTTACTCCCCAGTCAGCACCAGGCCGGCTACTGCCGCAAATATTCCCGGGCAGTTTGACGGGTATTGGGGCAGCGAAGACACGGATACCGGGTCATTTAATGAAAGAGAGGAATTACCCAAAGGAAGGCTGCATAGGCCGTATCAGGGTTCTGCTAATATTAGTGAGCTGCTGGGTTCGAGGATCAGCAGAGCACGGGAGAGGTCTCAGCCTAGGTCGAAAGAGAGAACGGGGGAGAGAGATGCTGGGAGGAGGGAGAGGACAGGCGAGAGGCGAGGGGAGGGGAAGGGGGTAGTGGGTGAGGTGGTAAAAGGGGAGTCAGAGCACGACGGGCAGCCACAGCAGCAACAGCAGCAGCATCAGCAGCAGCAGCAGGAACAGCAACAGAAGCAGCAGCAGCAGGAACAGCAGCAGCAGCAGGGGAAGCTGAAAAGTCCGAGGGGCAATTTGGGAATTAAGGGAATACTGCATGCTGCTTCCTCCCGCCTCCGCTCCCTCCTCCCAGACTCCACCTCTCCCACCGGCAGCAGCAGCGGCACCACAGCAGCCGGTGCTGCCGCTGCTGCCCCTCCCAGTACCCCCCCCAGCAGCAGCAGCAGCAGCAGCCGGGTTGGCATGCCGGGGGGAAATAGCAGCAGCAATGCCCTGGGGGGCAGTAGCGGCAGCAGGAGGGCGGCCTCCCAAGAGGCTCCTGCTGCTCTCGCCTCTTTCTCCCTCAAGTCTTCAGACGCTGCTGCTGGAGAGAGTGACAGGGGGAGGAGGCCGACGAGTGAAGTAGCAGGGCCCGTGGGGGGGGTTCGGGGGAGGTTTGGGAGGCGGAAGCAGAGGCATGGTGCGGAGGAGGGGGGGGAGGAGGAGGAGGGAGGGGTGGATAGCCGAGGGGGGAGTCCGTTGGGGAGTGGAGAAAGGGAAGGTGGTGCTGGGGGAGGTGGTATTGGTGGCGGGGTGGGCGGCAAGGCTCGGCATCACGTGCGCCGCCGCCAGCACAGCGCTGACGAGCTTCCGAGAGTGCCCACGTCGATGCTGGTTACTCCCCCTGTTTCGCCCCCGAATCATTCGGAGTATGCAGAAGCAGCAGCAGCAGCAGCAGCAGCAGCAGGAGGAGGAGGAGGAGGGGGAGGAGGAGGAGGAGGAGAAGCAGGGGGGAGAGGAGAAGGGGGAAGAAAGGCAGGTGTGTCAGGATCCGCATCCGCATCTGCAACAACAGCATCGGCATCGGCAGCAGCTGCAGCAGCAGTGTCAGCAGCAGCACTGCATGAACGGTTGGCTCACAGAGACCGGGCGCGCAGGGAGGCTGCTGCAGGGGGTGGAGCACGGCGAGCGTTGGGTATTTTGGGTGTAATTGCCCCACGTGGGGATACAGTGGGCTCTGGGGATGGAGCGTCCACAGGGCTGCAGGGCAAGGGCGGTGCTGCCTCTGGGCGGGTGATTTTGTCTGATTATGATGTCGAATCGATCCCTCAAGGGAGGTTAGCTGAGTTGCTGGGTCATAGGCAGGATGGGAGAGGGAGGGCATCAGGAGGGGTAGGTGTGGCGGGAGCGAGTAAGGGACGGCGAGGGGAGGAAGAGGCTGGGGAGTATGAAGGGAAAGGGCAGGTCAGAGAACGGGGCAAGGTCACAGAGGGAGATATAGGGAGCAGCAGCGGCGGCGGCAGCGGCAGAGGTGATAGTGGTCGCATTGATGGCAAGAGAATCGTTCCTGGCTGCACCAGCGCCGACAGCAGCAGCTTCAACATTAGCGGCGGCGGCGGCGGTAGCAGCAAACCAACCCAGAGACAGTTGCAGCAGCAGCTGCTGCACTCATCCCTGGCCCTGCAAACCCAGCTGATGACGCAGCATCAGAAGAAGAAGGGGCCACTAGGGTCGGTTCTCATGCTGGAAAAGGTCTCCACGCACTCGGAATTGGACAACAAGAAGAAGGCAGCGGGGGCAGGAAAGAAGCAGCAGGCTGATAGCATTCTTGCGCAGCTGGCAAGTCAAGGCAGCGAAGGAGGGGTGGGTGTGGTGTCTGGGCGAAGGGAAACAGGCGGAGGAGGAGGGGAAGCAGGGAGGCTCAGAGCTGCGATTGGCACTGGTGCTGGCGCTGGTGGTGGTGCTTCTGCTGCTGGTGCTGCTGCTGCTGCCGGTGCTACTGCCGCCGGTGCTGGCGGTGCTACCAAGGGTGCGATCGGTGTTGGTACCAGCAGCAGTGGGTTACCAGTGATGAGGCAGTACGGCAGCATCCGCCCCTCAGACTACATACTAAAGAAGCCATACAAGGACCTGGCAGCGCGCTACGTGCTGCACAAAGAGGAGCTGGGCAGCGGCGAGTATGGGGTCATTCGCAAGTGCCTGGAGATCTCCTCGGGGCATGTGCTCGCCTGCAAGACCATCAAGAAGGCTCGCATCAAGGTGGGTGGGTGAACGGACGGTCAGGGTTGAGCTATGGTGATAGAATGGACGGTCAAAATCAAGGTATTTCAGTGCCTGGAGATCTCCTCGGGGCATGAGCTCGCCTGCAAGACCATCAAGAAGGCCCGCATCAAGGTGGGTGGGTGAACGGACGGTTTGGATTGAGGTATTTAAATGGAAGGGCAGCGAACGATGTAAAGAAAGAAAGAATCAATGAATGAAAGAAAGAAAGAAGGAAAGAAATAACGTACCGAAAGCATTTTTAACAAACAGCTGTATCCTGATTGGTTCCACGCACTACATTTACTTTTGGGGGGGGTTCTTCTCTCCCAGTATGCCTGTTTGTCCCCCAAGCACACCGCTTTCCATGCTGAACCACCAATTCGACTCCTCATTGCTTCTCCGTCCCACTCTTCTCCTTGCTTCCCCTTGCTGTCTACACCCATTTCTCAACACCATCACTCTCTGTTTTGTGCACCTCCAAGCCCTATTGTGGATCACACGCCTTCCTTCCCGCCCCCTCCTCCCAGCACAGTTCAAAACCCCCCACACCAACTCCCCCCCTCCCCCAACATCCTGCATCACATCGCATACCCTCCCCTCTCCCCTCCCAACTCAACGCACCGTCCTGCACCGCACTCCATCCATCCCCACTCCCCCCCCCCCGTTGCTCAGACCCCACATCAGGGCCAAGAGGCAGCAGATGACATCAGAATGGAGGTTGCGAGCATGCACACCCACCCCCTTCTTACCTCACCGCACCGCACTCCATCCATCCCCACTCCCCCCCACCACCCCCCACATCAGAGCCCAGAAGCAGCGGACGACATCAGAATGGAGGTCGCTAGCATGCTTGTATTGAAGGGGCATCCGTATATAGTCACACTGCACGATGCAATAGAAGATGCAAAGGTATGGCACCGTGCTGTGAGATGACTTTTGAGTCGACTCAAAAGCATGCTTGTATTGAAGGGGCATCCCTCTATTGTCACATTGCATGATGCAATCGAAGATGCGAAGGTATTCTCCCGTGTGCTGTGCTATGAAGATCCAAAGGTGCAGCTTTTATGGTCGCAGGCATGCTTGTACTGAAGAGGCATCCCTATATAGTCACACGGCACGATGCAATCGAAGATGCAAAGGTACATTTTGTATAGGCGATTCCCATTCTCCGTGTTTTACCATTGCATCTTTCACAATTGCATTTTTCACTGTGTCATTATTTCAAGTGTCAGATGCCAGTGTTCCCAGTGCACAATTTACCTGCACCCGTTACCCGGTTGTAGACCCCCAGCACGTTCTGACCCACTCACGCACACTCTCCTCTCAGCTCTCCCTTCTTATTCTTAAAGCCTCCCTCTCTTCTCCCCATCCCCCCTTCAAGACGTGCACCTGGTGTTGGTGTCCCTTCCCCCCGTCCTCCCCCTCCCTTCAGCCTCCCTCCTCCCTTTCCTCCATCCTCCCTCCCACACTTGAGTACGCACACCTGGTGTTGGTGTTTTGCCTGATCGGCAATTTGTTGAGTTGTGATTCGTCCGTAAACTCCTCCATCTCCCTGTTCCCCTCCCTCCTCTCCTCCCTCCCCCCCTTCAGTACATGCATCTGGCGGTGGAATTCTGCCAGGCCAGCAATCAGTTTGAGCTGTAATGCGTCTCAAAGCCTTCTCAAAACATACCCCTCCCCTCTTTCCTCCTCATATCCCTCCCATCCTCGTCAGTACAAAAATCTGGCGATGGAATTCTGCCAGGTCAGCAATCTGTTGGAGTTTTGAAGCCTTTTGAAACCCATCCACCCTTTCCCCCCCCTTCCCCTCCTCCCCCCCTCCAGTACATGCACTTGGTGATGGAGTTCTGTCGGGGCGGCAATCTCTTTGACTGCATCACAAAGGCCGGCGTGCACTTGGAGCCTCAAATCCCCCCTCTCTCTCCCTCCCTCTCTCTCCAACCCCCCCCTTCCCTTCCCCTCAGTACGTGCATTTAGTGATGGAGTTCTGTCGGGGCGGCAATCTCTTTGACTGCATCACAAAGGCCGGCGTGCACTTGGAGCCTCAAATCCCCCCTCTCTCTCCCTCCCTCTCTCTCCAACCCCCCCCTTCCCTTCCCCTCAGTACGTGCATTTAGTGATGGAGTTCTGTTGGGGTGGCGATCTATTCGACAGAATCACCAAGGGCGGAGTGTACTCGGAGCCTCTCAGCGCCCACCTGTGCCGCGCCATCACGGAGGCGCTGCTGCACTGCCACCACCGCCACTCACAAACACTCATGCACCGGGACATCAAGTTTGAGAACATTCCCCTCCTCATCAAACCCTTGTCAAAGCCATGCTTCCCTCCTCCCTTCCGTCCAGTACGTCCATCTGGTCATGGAGTTCTGTCGGGGCGGTGACCTCTTTGATCGCATCACCAAGGGCGGAGTGTACTCGGAGCCTCTGGGCGCCCACCTGTGCCGCGCCATCACGGAGGCGCTGCTGCACTGCCACCGCCACGGGGTCATTCATCGGGACATCAAGCCGGAAAACATTCTGCTACTGGAGCCCGGGAGTGACACGCGCATCAAGCTTGTCGATTTTGGCGTCGCCACGTTTTTCCAGGAAGGTATGTCTTCATTCTTTCTTAGGATGCACCGCACTGCACTGCACCACACCGCACTGCACCGCATGGTGCCGCATGGTGCCGCATGCCATCGCGCCATCACGGAGGCGCTGCTGCACTGCCACCACCACGGGGTCATTCATCGGGACATCAAGCCAGAGAACATTCTACTACTGGAGCCCGGGAGTGACACGCACATCAAGCTCGATGACTTTGGTGTCGCGACCTTCTTCCAGGAAGGTACGGCCGGCACACGCACGCTCCTGCACTGCAACGCACGACACCTTCGGGGTGTGGGGCCGGTGGTTGTCTTCCCCTCCTCGTACTCATCCGTCACATCTCCCACACTCCCCACATCACCCACCAGGCGTTTTGCTCCACGACACCATCGGCACACCTGAGTACTTGGCACCGGAGGTGTGAGACGGATGCCCCTCCTTTCCCAACCTAGAAGGTGCAGAGCGCAGACCCGGTTAAGCTCACCCTCTTCCTCTCCTCCCCGTATCTCCCACACTCCATACAACCGCTCTCCCCGCCCTTCGGCCCGTCTCCCCATATCTCCGGCTCCCCCGACACACCAGGCGGTTTGCTCCACGACACCCTCGGAACGCCTGAGTGCATGGCGCCAGAGGTGTGGGACGGGAGGGAGCTTTTCTTCCCGTGCTCATCACACCCACCCATGTCTTCCCATATCTCCCACACACTCTTCAACACACCAGGCGTTCTTCTGCACGACACCATCGGCACGCCTGAGTACATGGCACCGGAGGTGTGGGACGGGAGCTACGGGCCGGCCGTGGACGTGTGGAGCACGGGAGTCGTCATGTACATTGCCATGTCGGGTGTGCCGCCCTTCTGGGCGGCATCCAAGCAGTCCGTGCAAGAGGCTGTTGCCACCCGCGAGGCGAGCTTCCGGTCGGCGAAGTGGGCGCATGTTTCTGACGAGTGCAAGCATCTGATTGGCCGGATGCTGGCGAAGAAGCCTCAGGAGCGAATAACGTGCCTTCAGATTCTTGGTGAGTGCGAATTGCTGGCGGAAAGTGCCAGTTGTTGGTGATTGAGATGTAAATATGGTGTTCTTAGTTGCTTTCCTGATCTTAACTTTCTCTGTTGCTTGTTTGTTTTTCAGGGCATCCATGGATACGACAGCATTCGTCCCGCTAACTAACAGTTACGAGCTTGCTAACAAAGGTATTACCCAGCAAAATTGTAGCAAATTCTGATTAATTATTTATCGGTTGTACCCTTAACTATCCAAACTGTAGATTTGTAAGATTGTTGTGAAACTTTCTGCTTCTCAAGTGTTCTTCTGCAGAATACTGATGTGAAACTCATGGTTTATGAGTTTTTCTACATTAAGTTGCACTTCCACAGCCTAATACAGGTTTGTTACACTTTCCTTTAAGGGTACAGTGGCGGTAGATTCTTGTGCTGACTTTGCCGCGTCCAATGGTACTCCGTGGCGCACTGAACAGAAATGTATTGGATTGGCCAGGGAATGTCTGGGCAATGCCTCTCCACCGCTCTGCGTCTTTCTGCAACTCTGCCGGGGATGGATGGTAAGGAAAGCAATTGTTGATGGCAATGGCATGGGTACTTCCAGTGTTCTACTTGGGTTCCAGTTCTCTCCCATCATTTTGCTCCCTTCACAAAATACCACCTGCAGTCAGTGACACCCAGCACGTGCGATGCCGTTCACTGCTCTTATTCATTAGTGTCTAAAAACGGTGATTTGTCACAGTCAACGGATGGATGCGTCGTTCTTTGGTTGGTGCATCCCCATGTGTTGATCGCGGATTCGCTCAGTCGCGGAGGACTAGTAACACGGTGTTATCGACACGTCCAGCACGAATCTCTTTGGGATATGTCGACCCCGTGGAGACCTCCGTACACTCCTATCACCACGTCATCATTGTTCCACTCGCCTCCTGATCTGATTGTCGATAAGCTCTACTTGGGAAATTTGAATTCAGCTTCCGACAAGTAAGCTGGAATGAGGAACTGATTCGTGGTTTGGCCGGCTCTTCCTGTTTATTTGAAGTCCTCCCCCTTCGTTCATTGTTTTTGGTCTAAAGCTGGCTGACGTCATCCCTGCAGAGAATTATTGGATGGGCTTGGCATTAAGAGCATTCTGACAATTGCGTCCAACGTAGGCCCTCCTAAGTTCCCTGGCGCATTCAAGTACACCGAGGTTTCGATCATAGACTCGTCTCATGTTAACATAGTTGCACACTTCGAGCTGTGCTTCAAAGCCATTGACGAAGGGATCAAATCAGGCGGCATCCTTGTTCATTGTGTAGCAGGTACGGTACCCTTTGTTCTTCAGATGATTTCCTGGCCTGGTTGTTCTGTCATGGGCTTGTTTATTTTAGCATCTTTTCCCCTCTACTTACCTTCTTCCACTGTCTGCTAATTCGTTCATCTTCATGACAAACTATTGTTTCACAGGCATGTCCAGAAGTGCAACAGTGATCATAGCGTACTTGATGGCAAGGAAAGGGCTCAGTTTTCAAGAAGCCTTTGCACACGTCAAGAGGTGCCGACCTATTGCACAACCTAATTATGGCTTCATGAGGCAACTTGAGAAGTTTGAAGCATATCTTCGTTCAGAGAGGGACAGGGCTGTATCCATCAAGGCTTGACACCAAAATTCTAGCTTGATCCCCCGTCACTAATCCAAGTCCCACCTCTCCCATCCTGCCATACATGCACTAACCCGCCTATACTAATCTTAGAAGACATGCACGAAGTTCAGCTGTCAGCCAACATGTGGGTACTGTCTCAGTGCGGCTAGCTATATACCGCAGTACGGGGCTGTCAAAACAGTGGAATTTTCAAGGCACAGTTTTGGCAAGGGCTGCTTGATTGCCCTCGTTGTAATGGAGGTTAGATCACTGACTCCAGTTGGCCTTCGCGTTTTTGCAGAGTACGTTTCAAATTATAGATTTAGGGTACATTCCTGTGGGAACACTTGTGTCTCAATCCCCGTTTTCCCGAGTCGCGCCTGTAAATTTGCCAAATGTTGTGTCACAAACAACCAATGTATCGCGACCCTGCGCGACAGATGGGCACAGCCAGGTGGGTGCGTACTATTGGTTGCGACCAATAGGATTGTGCCCACCCAGTTTTCCAGCCGGGCAGGGGGGCTAAACATATCGCACCACCTCGAGTATCGCGGTGGGCTTGCCACAGAAATGAAAGTTGCAATTTGGGCCACCCCACACACAACAGCATGTATACAACCACGGCTCCAAGTACAAAAACGCAAGCATCACAGAGCTAAACTGCACCACTGTCTAGCAACCATGGCATCGCCCCGCGAGGTGCCATTCCTCATGCGCCTACTTGTCGCATGGGTTACGTTCTACTACAGCATATTCATGGACGCCATCGCCAAGTCGGTCGGTGGCTTGCTGGAGGCGAACGTCTTCAATGACGAGGTGTCCTCGTCATCCAGCTCTCGCGCCTCCAACCGTACCGCAGAGCGGAAACGAAGGGCTGGGCTACGCCGGCGGAGATACCAGTTGCTGCTAGAGGACCTGGACGGCATGGGGGAGGATCAGTTCAGAGATATGTTTCGCATAAACCGTGGCATTCTCGAATACATTGTCGCCGGGATGACGCACTACATGCAACCGTACGTGGACAGGTACCTAATCAGACATGAAGTGGCATGCCTTGTACCTATCAAATACCTCGCAAGTGGCATGTCTTTCGTAGACTTGTCCTTCGTGTTCGGGCTGTCCAAGACCCTGTGCCACATGCTTGTTGACGCGCTCCTCATGCATTTCCCGTCCGTCTTCAAGCAGCAGTGGGTCCACTTCCCGACCCGCGACGACCTCGACGAGATGGCCGCAGAGTTCCGCGCCATCAAGGGGGTACCTGCGGTAGTGGGGGCTATAGACGGCACACACATACCCATGAAGGGGATGGAGGGGCACAGGCAAGAATACTACACGCGGAAGTCCTGTTACGCCGTCCAGTTGCAGATCACATGCGACGCGCGAGGCATCATATGGGACTATTTGATCGGATACCCGGGCAATGCGCACGATCAGAGAGTGTTCATGAACAGCGCGTTACACGAAAGGTTGTACAACGGCGACATAGCGCCATACCAAATAGTGGGAGATGCTGCCTACCCACTCAGAGACTTCTGCCTGACCCCCCTACATGCTCCCCGTGAAGGCCTAATGGAGGACTGGGAGCAGTGCTTTAACTATTGCCAAAGCGCAACGCGCATGGCAGTAGAGCGCTGCATCGGCGCCTTCAAAGGCCGGTGGCGTCTATTCGCGGGCCGCAATGACTGCAAGCTCTGGCGCATTCTTGCAGGGGCGTCTTGTGGCGTCATCCTGCACAACATGTGCGAAATGATGGGCGCAGTAAGGCGCGTCAATGCATCGTGGGCAAACTTGCCCCGAAACCGGGACCCATGGTGGACTCGTGGCGCGGTAGCAGAGTTCATGTGGGAGCCATGTGACCCATGCACGCAAGAGAATCTTCGTGAAAGGCGCAAGCGGCTGGGCGAGGCTCTGGAGTCGTCTTACCTCACTCGGCGGCGCCGCGGACCCACACCTCCTCACCCGCATCTGGGTTAGAGGGGTCTTCGCCCGCCTGCCCGCGACGAAGCCAGCCGTCGTCGCCGCCTTCGGCGGCGTGCGAGTCGGTCATGTTGTCCGCGTGGGCAGGGATGTCGTCGCGGACATGCGGGGAGGGTGCGGGCTGCTGCACGCGTTCCCGAGCAATACGCGCGTCCTAATCCATCCACGCACGGACGAGGCCTTCGAGCCTGCTCATGGCGTCTGAGTGGCAGCCTTTGATCGTCTCGCACACCAGCTTTGCAGCGGCCATCGTCGCCGTCTCTGCCACACGTGGGCGCTTCGATGTAGGAGTTCCCTGTGGCGGCGGAGCTGCACACACGGTGGATGCACACGAACAGTAGACGAGGTGTTATGTACCCTAAACATTTTAATGATGTAATGTGTGCGTAAAATGTTGTCACAAAATGTGTCATTCAACAAACCCGCGAGTGCCACCGTTGATGCAACACATACATACCAGTGAATGTCGGCGTAGAGGTGCAGGGCGCCGAAGTGGACGGGACCGCGTACCCGCACGGCACGTTGACGTGTGCCGCACCGCCACCGTCGACGGCGTGAGGGTTGCCCACCGCCTTGTTGTTCTGGAAAAGCGCCATGTACGGGTACCAGTGGGGCTTGCACACGGCACCCTTGCCGCTCGCCTTTTCCCCCTTCTTGATCTGCTTGTACATGTTCACAAGATTGCGCCACTGCTTCTGAAGCGCGTTTACACCGCGCACCCAACCGGGATTCTCCTTCTCGAGGTGACGCGCGAGGCGGGCCCAGTACTGAGAGCCCTGCTTCCCGAGGAGGGGCCCGAGCTCGTCCTTCATGAACCAACGCGCAGCCACGAAGATTGTGTTCTCGCGGGGGGACCACACGCTCAAGTTACGGGTCTTGGCAGCGGCACGCGGAGGTTCCCCGCCCTTAGCAGCAGTCTTGGTTCCCGCAGCGGCAGACGCACGGCCGCGACGAGGAGCCGGGGACGCAGGCTGGGCCTCTTCGGGAGCGTCCTCGTCGTCATCGGCGTCCTCGTCGGCGTCAACTTCATCCTCGGAGGGGGACATGCCCTTGTCCTGCTCCTCGCCAGAGTCCGCGTCGTCTTCGCAGGCCTCATCGCACTCGTTGTAATCAGAGTCCGCGGCGTCATCATCGTCATCGAAGGCAGCATCGTCATTGACGCGGGATGAGGCAACCCGGTCAGCATGACGGCGTCCGCGGGTAGGGACATCGCGCGGGGCTTCGAACGAGGTGTCCCCCGCACCAGGCGCTCCTTCGGGCAAAGGGCCGGCGGGCTTGCGGCCGGCCGCGATTTGTTTGTTCATCCAAGCGATGTACGGGATCTCGTCGAGATCCCGCGGGCACAAGTCAACAGAACTAGCTACGCTCTTGCGCTTACGGGCCATGGCTACAGCGTGCCAAAGAAGACCCTGGCTAGACTTCGCAACAAGAAAGAGGAAGCTCGGGTTGGGAGAAGAAGAACAGATTGGAGCGGGAGCGTGCTGTCAGTGTGGTTGGAACGATGGGCAAACATTCGGGCAGGGATGTGACCGTGTGTGCTGAAGGACCAGTCATATGCCAGCCCGGGCAGAGCGGTTTCCATCCCCGCGCGGAAACGTGCCCAGTTCGGGCGTCCAGGTGCATGCTGTACAGTGTGAGATTTCGACACGCGTGCGATTTTCGGGATGTGACGGGGCCTCGTGTAACTCGTCCGCGACACAAGCGCAATTCACGCCAACCAATGTAAAATACAGTGGGACTCGCATAAGCGCGATCCGCTTTTGTGACAGGGCACGGTATATGCTGTTTTTAGATGTCACAAAGTGATTGAGACACAAGTGTCCCCGCAGGAATGTACCCTTACTGCGGGTGACCTAGGCTTTCTGCTGAGAGCGAGCATTTACAAGGTAGATTGCAACCAATGTGACTCCAGCGCCTAAGAACTGCAGAGGGGATAGTGTTTCGCCGAGGAATATAAACCTGCAAGAAGAGTGACAGGAAACATAAAGCGATTCGGTCCATGAGGTCAACACAGGAACTAAAACGGGACCAAGCACTGAGCATTAAGTGACACTAGCTGGGAGCAGAAAGTTGGGAGACCAGCTGCAGTAATATACCATCCCTGATGGCACATACATACCCGAAGAAAGCAGCAAATGCAGGAGTGAGGAAAGTCAAAGAGCTCAGCCTTGTAAGGTTTCCTGCAATGGAGCAAATAAAATACAGATGCAACCGAAAGGGAAGTGAAAATCACAACGACAGCAAACTAGACTGGAAACTGTAGAATGGGAGAATAAACATCAACCCTGATGCGGCGTTATAAGGCTGAAACATAATAAGCTGAGATCAAATGAGTCACACTCTCACCTTTGTTTGCATTGTAAAAGAACACTCCATAGCTGATTGCACTTCCGAAGACTGAAGTGTACATTAAGGAGGACCAATCGATCAGGGAAAGGTCAGCAAGGCCACCAGAGACTGCTGGATCGTGCTGCTGGAAGGAAAGATAGAGGAGAGGAATGCCTCCCAGCACCATGTGCTGTTGGCAGGGCATGGGGTGACACAGGGACAAAAGAGAACACAATGGGGTGACACAAGGATTGAAGAAACCAGGAATGAACTGAAGGGACAGAAGGCACGAGATCAGAATCATAGCATCTGACATCTAGAGAACAACCCCCAACACCAAGTGCAATAACCACACTGCGTGTCCAGTCATGTTTGTGGCTGTGCCTGTCCATTCTCTCTCCTTCAGTAACTACTAGCTCAAGCACACCACACCATTCTTGAACCTATGATTACCCAGAACGGGGTCAGACGGACTGCAGACCCACCACACACATAAACATCAACGTGATCCCACCCATACCCCCATGATTTCCCAACACCTCACAAAACGAACCCCTAACCCCCAACTAGACCCATTCGTACCCATCCAGTGGCCATGATGGGATTGCAGTGCCTGCAGACCCACCGCATGTTCTAGCCACTCATTGCATGTCCCCACTGTCCACCCCATCCGCTTCAGAATGCACCAATAATGTCTTCTGAGCCATCTACACGGATAACCTAACCATTCGTACCCATCCAGTGGCCATGATAGGGTCGCAGTGCCTGCAGACCCACCGCACCATGACTGTACCGATGGCTGGTCAGAGGGGAGAGGTATGGAAGAGGCGTGAGATGCGTGGGGGGAGTGAGCAGACTGAGAGGAGTAGGTGGGGTTAGATGAGTGAGAAGAGCGGGAGGAGTGAAAGGAATGAGAGGAATGAGAGGGGCGAGAAATGCCAGTAACATGGAAACCACTGGATTGAAGGGCGGTAGGTGAAAGAGGAACGGTGAGAAGCAGGTGCATGGGAAACAGAACGGAAGTGCATGGGGAATGGGAAGAAGCAGCAGCATCTGAGAAACGAGAAGAAGAGGAGTGGAAGCGGGAAAAGAGGCTACGTAAAACAAATAGACATTCCTTGAATCGAACCGACAGCATTTATTGACAGCCTTAAGGTTCCTGGCTCAGGCATTTAGATTTGGTTCAAGCACTCAATTCCTCCTTACCCATGCTTTGAGCAGCAAGCAGCATCCACCACTCCCCACTTTCCCACAGCTGCCAATCCCCCACACCCACTGCAGCTGCTGCTGATGATGTTAGTGCAAGGGCTGCTGGTGCTACTGATGTAGCATCAGCTGCTGCTGCTGCGTCTGCTGCTAGAGCGACAGTAGAATCAGTGATGGAAGGGGTGATGTCTGCCAGAGAGAGTGTGCTGTCTAGGGGCAACGTGGCCAGCACTGATTGGCTGGAAGACGCGGAGAGAGAGGAAGCGAAGGAGAGAAGTGCATCCAGAGGGACCTGAGGGATGGTGAGGGGTGGTGAGGGATGGCGAGGGAAAAAACAGAGCAGATGGTAAGGAAGGGAGGAAGAGAACAGAAAGAAACACAACTCCCTTGCTGTCCTTCCCATTATCTTCTCACTTCCCTCCTCACCTCAGGCAGCAGCAAGGCTGCAACGCCTAGCACAAGCCCCAACGCCAAGCACATGCAACGAAGATTCTGGGCTGGAAAGGCTCTAGCTGAATACGGAACCGGAACTGCATTTTTCTCTGCATGCCAAATCCATTTATGAAGTACACATAGCTTCATTTATTGCTCACCTCGAGCAGCAGTAAGCCAACAACCCCCAGCACAAGCCCCAGCGCCCCTGTCCTGGAAATGGTATCTCTGAACAGAAAGGCTGCGAGCTTTTGAGGCGCCTCAAAAGCACAGACACACCCACCCACCTCAAGCAGCAGCAAGCCCACAACCCCCAGCACCAGCCCCAGCGCCCCTGTCTATAAATGGTCTCGCCAAACAGAAGGGCCGCTAGCTTTTGAGGCGCCTTGAGAGCACACACACACCCACCTCAAGCAGCAGCAAGCCCACAACCCCCAGCACAAGCCCCAGCGCCCCTTTCTTGGAAATGGTCTCGCCAAATAGAAGGGCTGCAAGCACAGCCACTGTGAGCGGCTGAGAGTCAATGATGACCTGACCGAGAGGAAAGAGGGATTGGGGCCAACTGGGAGATAGATGATTAGCAAGGGCGGCTGAGAGTTTATGATGACCTGACTGGGAGAAAAGGGCAGGGAGAAAGGCAGGGAGAGAGGGCGTGAGGCGTAGGTGTAAAATTGATCCGACTCGAAAGTCTTGCTGAAAGAAAGACCGTTATAACAGCCACCGGGAGGGACGGGGAGAATGCTTACTGATCCAAGGCCAGCTGATGTTCTGCGCAAGCCCTCTGTGAGACAGCCCTGTGCAGTGCATAGCCAGGGAAGGGAAGAGGGAGAGGAGGAATTAACAGCAAGGCAACACAAGAGCGGACTTGGGCGAGACCCATGAGGATGGCCAGCAACAAAGGCAGCTAGGAGCAAACTAATAACTAGAAAAAACCTCTTTTCCCTCCGACCTGGAAGGCTGTGGCGTCGACGAGGGCGAAGAGGAGGATGGAGAACCACGCAAGGGCGGACTTGGGCATGGTCGGCTGTGGCAGGCAGCAAAGGCCCCAAGGAGCAGAGAGCAGCAAACTACAGTCTACAGGTCGCAATGTATTTCGTTTGCCCTCGTACCTGGAAGGCTGTGGCATCTACGAGGGCGAAGAGGAGGATGGAGAGCCACGCAAGGGCGGACTTGGGCATGGGGCGGCCGCGGCTGGCAGCGAAGGCGACAAGGAGCAGACCGGCTGGGATGAGGCGGATAGAGGCGACGAACATGGGACCTGCCTTTGGTAGCACGTCCTGATGGGGAGAGGGGAGGAGGTGAGGAGAGAGACAAGGGCGAAGGGGGGTCAGGGAGGGGATAGGCAATAAGGAGCAGACTGGTCGGGATGAGGCGGACAGAGGCGACGAACATGGGGCCTGCCTTTGGTAGCATGTCCTGCTCAAATATCCACAGGCGATTCCAATCATCAAGAATGATTGGAATGATGATGGTCAATGATTACCAATGACCAGCAATGATCAGCAATGATGGCAGCTCTAAAACAAGATGCACTGGTTGCTTCCATTACCTTAATTGCCACCACAGACGATCCCCGGAAAAGCACTGGATATAAGCACTTTCAAATGGAGGTATTATGAAACTTTTCCAGTGCTCCCCTAATTATTGACAATTAATGTAGGCAGCTTGAGAGAGAAATGTACTGATTGCTTTGCTTCAGTACCTTCATTGCCACCATTGACGATCCCCAGAAGAAGAATGGTGAAATTAGCAACATTAGCAACATTTTAATGAAGAAAGAAATGAGCCAGTAGTCGCGTCCCCTGCTGCTGCAACTGCTACCGACTCCTCCTTCTGCTGCTCCTTCTGAGTCGTCTTTCTCCGTTGCTCCTCCTCCTCCTCGTCGACCTCCTGCTGTTGATCCACCAATGGCTTGCCTGCAGGTTCCCACTTGTCCCTGTCTTCTGCGAGATTAGGAAGAAAACACTCCACGTTGATTCCTGTTAGCACGCAATCCAAGTCTGAAATGTCCAATTCCCGAGCCAATGACTCATTGGTTGACGCTTCAGAGTTGAGCTTGCTCGCTCCGTTTGAAGCAGCTCCATTAGAGACAGCTTCGTTAGAAACAGCTCCGTTTGAAGGCTCGTCTCGGCCAGGTTTGGAGTCGTTCGCAGAGGTTGCTGCTCCTGAAGGGGATTTCGACGCTAAGGCAATTGGTGGATTAGGTGATCCGACACGTCGTACGGCTGTATGGTTGACACGTGGAACGCGTTGAAACGACGATTTTGTAGACTTGACGCGGAGCGAGCACTGGCGTGACGCGGCTTGAAACCTGGAGCACGAACGTCGTGCAGGGGTATTCGAACCAGCGCTCAAACTTGGAACCGAGTGTCTAGCAGGTAAAGGGGTCACTGACTCCATGCATTGGGGTTGGCTAACATGACACCTGAAGGTGCTCGTCATTTGAGAAGGTGACGTAGCACCACGCATTCCTGAAAGAAGAACCAGCAATTGTCAGGATGAAGCGATTGCAAGGACAAGAAAAGGACTGCTGGGTTGTGCTTCTATGACAATGGGAGTTCCTTCCTAGACAGCGCTCTTGCGAAGCTCAGCACTTCACAGCAGCAAGGAAAATGGCTTGATTCGTTACTGACGCATATTACAGAGTAAATATCTTAGCTTGCTGAATTCTGTATGCCTGACTCGTGCACTGAATGCAGAAAAAATGGAGTTGACGAGGAGCTTTCAGATCGGATCATCGCAGTTGATACACACGAGACACTGCACTGTGACAGGCGGACGAGAAGCTTCCTCCCATGGAATGCGTTGGCTCAATCTGATTGGTTGATAAAAGAAATTCAGGATACAGCCAACAGTTTTATAGCGAACTTGTCTACTATGGCCTGTATAAAAGCATGCTCACACCACTAACAGCCCTCCCCACAGAAGTGTGGAAATATAATCAAGTACGCTAGATGTGGTCTTTCAAACACCAGCTGTGTTTCCAGCAGCAGCTCGAGCAGCTTCTTGCTTCATTTTGACGATAGCACCGGTACCACGGAAGTAGGCATAAGTTCTCTGCCAGGGAAAAAACAAGAAAACAAGGAATTAACATGATATATGATCTTTGTGATATGAGAGCAACTGCAAGGAGACTTCCAATGTAGGACGTATAGGTTGTGAGAACCACTCCTGAACTAGTTGGACGTTACGTCAGGACTTACTATGATGAGGATGAAGCTGAAAAAGGCCTCTGTCACGAAGAGAACAGCACCAACGGAATAAAATATCTGCAGCAACGCACGTACAAGTCGCACACAAGGCCTTGTAGTGTAAGTAGCGCAATACCTGAAAAAAAAAAGGTGGAATTATTGTATTACATACCCCAATGACGGTCCATCCATGTGTGAAGACATTGATGGTTGAGATGACACCTCTGTAATGCACGCACCAAAGTAGATTACGAGACAGGGTCAAAAATTGAGGGAAGCGAACAAGGAGGTGCACCCAAAATAAATTTACTAAAGTTTAAATAACTGACTGTGCTGTATAACCAATATGTTTTGACTTACGCAAATGAGCTTCCTTGAAAAGCAGTGCCAATTGTAAATGGAGGAGATACAGCAGCGAATATGAAGAAGATGATGTGGGTCTGCATAAACAAATAACAAATAACACAAACACACACACACACACACACACACACACACACACACACACACGCACGCACACACACACACACACACACACACACACACACACACACACACACACACACACAGACACACACACACACAAACAAGAAATAGCAGAAACATAGAGAGGAAAGCTTAAACAACATCCAGCTTTCCAGACAATAACAACTCAAGCTATGCTCACAAAGCAGGTTCGACATGTGGACTGGATGCCATACCATGAATCCACAGAAGAAGAAAGCCATGCCAACACCACTGTCCTTGCGCATGGCATAGTACAACCGTGAGTACCAAAAGAAATAGGAGCCCGGGACCCCGAGAATGAAGTAAAGCAACGCCATGAAGAAGTTTCCAAATCCTGCAATAAAATAAACAAGAATCCAACCAAGCCAGAAGATTGCCTCCGGTTCACTTTCAGCGAATCTCAATTTAGAAGGTGTTGGATAAACCATGCCATTTTCAAACTGGTATTGCAGCTTCCTCAATGAGTGTATGTGCGCTTTGATCACATACCAGAAGAGTTCTCATAAGCGCCACCAATCCATGCTGCTGTAATGGGGATGAGATTGTAGAAAAGCGACCCCATTGCTCCTGCAGGAGCGAAATATATCACAATCGGAAGACAGTAAGTTAATCTGAAATGCCAATTTGGTGTGATTTGCATGCTGTACGGGAATTCCTGTGGAACAAAGATTGGTTACCGGTGTTTGATTCAACTGACGATATGGAGGTGCATTGCATCACCATTCTTGATGACCAGCCCGCCTGCTCATAAGGCCCAACAGCCTCATTCTCACCAGCAATCCAGCATAAACAAACTCATCCATCACAAAGCAACTTACCCATCCAGACCCAAAAGCCAAGGTACATTAAGCCTTGTAGATAGTCCGGCACATCCTCCTTGATGTTGTTACGGATTAAGGGGAAGAATGGTGGAAAATTCTTGGTCATGATGCCAAGCGCTGCAGAAAGGAGGCACATTTATTTTGAAATGACACGAGCCAAACTTGTGTGAGATACGAGGACGAGCGAGAAAGAAGCACATGGGGGAGTTGAACCTCATGACACTCAAGTCCCTGATAAAAATAGATTCACTCACATGCTTCCCTCTTCGATAGCTCCTGTGTTGATACAGCAAGAGACCCGATTTCCAAATGCAGTCACAGGTCAGAGTGGCATGAAGACAGCAGAGGTGGACAGAATGGGGAGATAAAAGCGCAAGGATGGGAGAGGGAAGAACAAATGAGACGCTTCAAAAGTGGTAGAAGGCGAAGCAGAATAAGATATGACGGCAAGGCTGAGATAGTGCTTGCTACGTAGCTTACAGAACACCATTTAACGACCTCACCTCCTCCTTTTTCCTCAGCATCGCTTCTCGATTTTGCAACTCTTTCTGTTTCTTCTTCAGTGCCTGAAACGCAAACATGGTGAATGAGAAAGCTTGAAGGAGGCAGAGGCGTGGATTGGACCAAGCAACCAATTTAAACACAAACTATGCCGAACATATCAAAAGATCGAAACCATTCACAGTCGAGAAAAGGAGCTACAGAACATCGTTCGATGAAGGGATACGAGGCAGGGGAACAAACAGCCAGGTTCGGGGGAATAAGCGGGGAAGGCGGGTGTGATGCAGCATTGCGACCAAACATACCCGCGGGCTGAACTGAACATCAGAGGTCACGTCGAAAGTGGATCCGCTGCGGCTTTCTGGAGGCAGAGGTGAGGGCCTGTCGCTCATGCTGGTCATGGGGATGCCAGACCGTTGGCTCTGCACAAACACAACGATTCGATTTATTCGTGGTGTTGCTGTACTTTTAAATGGATTGTTTACTGCTCGCGCACGCTTTGCTCAGACTTGAGTTGAAGAGTTGTGAGATTTGCTACCTCTCATGCTACTATCGATTGCTTTCGCAATGCATCGCTGGACAGGACTAGGTTATTGACTAGACTTTGAAGGCACAGAGTTCTGGAGATCATATGCAAGACTGAATACTCACATCAAAGAACGAACCGCCGACTTGCCGACCCGATTGCTGCACGGAAACGATAGCATGACGAGGATGTGACGTCGAAATTCACGGAGCAGGCTCAATAGAAAATATACATCAAATATTATACTAGTATGGCAACGAAAAGTGATGCGACAGAAAAACGAATGGAACTTTCCAGCTTACAGAATAGGGATTATTGTCCGTTTCCTCATCGAACGGATTCTGATCGAATCTACTCATGGTGACTTGGCAAATCCGACCCCACTAATAGAAGGGCAATCTTGTTCCTGATCTCCAACCTAAGCCGCGGCAACTGAAATTGCAGAGGTAGCTCCAGAAGCACGCTGAGCTCTTTGAGGAAATAAGGAACCATACACCAGCAGCAAAAACAGCCTAGTACCTTGAACTATCTCCAGGCGGGCCCTGTCAAATGACAGTCTCTTGTGTTTTCTCACGTCAGGTCTGGACTCTGGCCAACTGGAGGGTACCCTTTTGCTGAGGACATGAATGTTGGGGCTCCCTGAGGTCTCCACCCTGCCACCCACTGGCGGGCGAGGGAGCTGCTATTCTGACAGGGAATTTTTTGCGCGTTGTGATTGGCTAGCGACGCCTGGAAAATGACGTAGCTGGTGCGAGCCCAGTGATCCGCATCGCGAAGCAGAAGCTCGCGGTTGAAACTGTTCTTCCAGAGTAACACCTAAGAATGTCTCTGAACTCCTAAACAATGAGAAAATGAGAACATGTTTCATAAATGGAACCTCATGGCTCAATCAGCTTAGTTAAAAAATAAAAATAAAAATAAATCCTGGGAATCTACCAGATACCGGTATGCATAATGATAATTCAAACGTATGTTTCAAGTATGTCCAAACCACATATAATAATTATAGTACATCTAGGCATGTACCTTCAACAGCTGGTTGAAGCTAGCTTGGCAGGATTATCAATGTGGCATCTGAGCCCCATCTCTCACATACGATACAAGAGGGTACTAAGCTCCTCGCATGCTACTATCCCTGATGTTGCTGCGTGAGATCAGACAGCCTGAACAGCTGTACGTTCAAAATCCTCCCGGCCCAGTCCAAGAATAGCGTCCAGCTCAGCCTGAGTTAGCGGCCTGTCAGAAGATTCCCTTGGCAAATTACTCTCAGCACCAATCCCAGACTTGGCACTTTCAGGCTTTGCTGCAACGACAGGAGCACCCTCTACAATCGTCACAGCCTCAGCAAGAGTCGCTTCGATTTCTTCCACTAGTGTCCCGTCATTGGCTCTGAAGACATGCACGGGCAGCTTGGCTCTTTCAGCTGCCGTCGGTTCTACGGCGTAAATCTCCTCAACTTGTCTCGTGCCGTCCGCGCTTGCTGCGCGCCGAATGAAGCCAATTTTTGTCCGTGCTAAGGTTGGTTGCCACAAAAATGCCGAGAGAGCGAAGAGCACGAGAAGTTGACGAGAACTTAATTGCGAGTAATACATGATGGGCAACAGAGGTGCAGAGGTGCAACTCCTTCGGCGAGAGAAATCTGAGGTTGTGATACGGTCTGGTTGCTTGATCCTATGGAGTATGACCTTGCGAACGAGAAAATCCAGAATGAACGGAAGTTGCTGCAATGCAGTGCTGCAAAACGACTGAAGAGCTTGCTGGGTGAAAGTGGAGGAGAGGAGGGAGAGTTGTGCGGCTTGGGATGAGTGGGTGACTCTAGGCGACATGCTACTACTGGTGCCAGCAAAATCGCTCACTTCGCCTGTTAGCACATGGTGCGAGGGGAATGTGCGGAGCGGAGTTGGCCTCGTCTCACGAATCGCAGGGTCGCTCGCTGGAAGTGAGGGACCAGGACGACACACACTGCGACAGGAAGGCCTGCCTCTGAATCGTACGCGGAGTTGAACTATCCAGCTAGGAGCGAGGTAACGACCATGCGAAATCGCAGGCGATTGAAACAGTCGTATCAACCACAAGAACCTGAGATGATGCGACCAATATTTGCTCGAGAAAAAAACACCAAATCGCCAGGTGAAAAGGATAAGTGATTCAATATAAATTGCTCGATTACATCGCTCGATTGGAAATTGCTATGACTCGATTACACATATATGACTCATTCTTACATCGGATGAAAATATTGCTTACACGCAGAATGATCATTTCAGGCAGAATGTATGCCACAATAAGTTAATATCATTTTCAACTGAATATCCCACAGCATTTCCTCGATACAAGCATAGTTTGACGTGGAGACGTCTCATTGCAACAAGTCAGCCTCCAACCACATTCTCCCTGAACGGCCACATCAGCGGCCCCCTGATTCCCCCTCCTCCCCAGCTGCCCCGATCTGCGTGCTCGCTTCCTGCGCTTTTATTGGTCAACATACTACCTTGCTCCTTAAAGCCCAAAACCTGAATTACAAAAAACGAAGGCAAACTGTGCGCAGTTTGCCTCGCGCAGCCCACAGTTTTGCCCGGCGTTGACTTGCGTTGAGCAATTCAGGTATTGGGTTTTAACCTCTGGCACACCCCGCCCCCTGAGTCCCTGACACCTGAATATTGGCGGAATAGCTGGCGGACATGTATCATTCCCCCAAATCCGCCAAGCTCCAGTGCCACCACTTTCGCGTCGAGGAATCAACGAGTCGTGCGTGAATTGTGATGGTAGTTTCAAGATAGCAGCGAACTCGAGGCATGTTAAAAACGTTGAAATATATTTTGCCCTGACTTTTGCTGTTTTCCCACACGACCCTACTTACGAAACTGGCGGGGCTCGCCAACCATGTTGGAGTCACATCGCACACTAAATTCGCTGAGAGGGTTGCTTCGCTGTCAAATCAGTGGCCGTCAAAGGGTGCTCTCCATAAATGCCCCCAGAAAATCCCTTGAGGAATGTAGACCGCAGCTTTAATCGTGCTGTTCTAGCCAACCTTCTGCACCAGAGTTTGAATCGGCGCTGTCCACTCCATTAGAACAGAGCTGCATATTGGAAAAAGATTGTAGCATCCCCATGTCTACCCTAGCTGGAGGTAGTGCCGTGACGAGACATCTAGCGAGTACACAATGCGTTACTGCGACTTCGGCGAGACACTATAACGCCGACGCCCCGCTACACGCGTCTCTGCTGCCGACGCATTCCAGACCAAACTCAACCCACCAAGGATATGGCTCCAATTCAGTCCTTCGCCTCAAAACTACTTCAAATAAAGCTGCCATTGCTCAGCTTAGACTCCCGAAGCAGCATCTGCATAGATTTCGCCATCGAAATGGTGTCGTTCGAGCCGCGATTGATAGCGATGCCACTCCCGAGCAGACCACCACCGATCCCCCCCAACCCTCCCCTGCGACGGCTGCTCCCGAGCCTGCCTCGGCGGCTTCGCCCGAGCCTCCTGTCCCTGGGGAGAAGGTGTACCGAGGCTTGGCGTTAGCTTCGGTATCAGCCGCCGTGGGTCTGTTCGTACTGACGAGGGTCGCAGGCGCAGGAACGGACCTCTCCGCATTAGCCGCGAGATCGGCTAATTTTGATGAGGTACTTAAAACTGGGAAGTTTTAGGAGGTACTCAGGCGGTGGCTGTTGTGACTGGATGAGGTGAAATAGCGATTGTGTAAGTGACAATGCGGTGAGATAGACGGAGAAGAACGGATGGGGGCTTGGGGGTACTTGAGGAACGGGGAACAGACGACATGGGGGAGGAACTGGGAACGAAATATACGCGGAAAGACGGGGGCGGGGGCGGGGACGGGGACGATGAGTTGGAGGGGGGAAAGACGGGAGCGGGGGCGGGGGCGGGGGCGGGGGCGGGGACGGGGACGATGAGTTGGAGGGGAGGGGGTGGAGGGAGGTCAGGGATTCATCTCTTGGATGTCGAAACCCGAATCTTCAAAGGCACGAATCTGACCTTTTCCGACTCTTACCTTTCCCTCATCACCTCACCCCAGGCAATGGGCAACGGGCGGCCAACCGTGGTTGAATTCTACGCTGATTGGTGCCAGGTACGTCTTCATCACTCCTGTGTCGTTCTAATTGAATCTCATTGTGTCATGCTGAATGAGATCGTGTCCTTGCGTTCCATCGCCCTAAGCTACATGCTATCATCCATGCTGAATTTCATTTTGGCCTCTCATCTTGCTATGCCGATTTTAATCATCCATGCTGAATCCATCATGGCGTTGACTCTTTACCCTGACTGATTCCCACATTCATCCCCCTAGTTCCCTCCGTTCGACCCCTCTCTTACCTTCAACCTTTCCCCCGACCCCCCATTCCCCTTTCCCCTCGTTTTTCCTCCTCCTCCTCCTCCTCCTCCTCCTCCTCCTCCTCCTCCTCCTCCTCCTCCTCCTCCTCCTCCCCCTCCTCCTCCCCCCCCCCTCCTCCTCCCCCTCCCCCTCACCTTTATCAATGTGTGTACTCCGTAATTTCGCTGCCTGGGCCAGGTCTGTCGCGAGACTGCCAGAGACACACTCAAGGTGGAGCAGCAGTTCAGGTGAGTTGAGTCGACTCATAAGTCACTTATTTTTTCTCTGAGCTACTGCCGCCGCCACTTCAGGCTCGTGCCACCTCATTGGTGTTCCCTCGTGAAACTGCTAGGGACACACTCAAGGTCGAGCGGCAGTTCAGGTGAGGGAGGAAGGAACTCTACTGCATTACTATCAGTCATGCCTCGTGGTTACCTCTCTACCTATTGTGGTCCTATGTCCAAATCCATCTCACGCCTGTATAGTATTCCAACATGTAATGTGGCATTGCCCTCAAACCCCCCTCCCCTCCGCTTCCCTCGCCTCCCTTGCCCTACCCTTCCCCTCTCGGCTCCTCTTCCCACGCCTCCGCTTACCTCTCCCACTTCCCATCCCCTCCCCTCCTTTAACCTCCCACCCCCATCCCCTCTCCCCCCCCCCCTTCCTCTCCGCTTCAATCTTCTCCTCCCTCTCAGAAACGATGTCAACTTCGTGTTTCTCAACATAGACAACGTGAAATGGGCGGCAGAGCTGGACGAGTTTGGGGTGGACGGCATCCCCCACTACACCTTCCTTGACGGCGAGGGCAACGAGATGGCGTACGTCGTGGGGAAGGTTCCCAGAAGAATCCTCCTAGATAATGTGTCTGCTCTTGCTCAGGGCAGGCCGGAGCTCCCGTTCTCGCAATTTATTTCAGAAGCGTCAGATGCTGCATTGAGGCAGGCTCCCAGGGTTGTAGATCCGAGAGACCATGGGCCGTAACTGCTGATTGTGAAGGAATTTATGCAGGCCTGCGATGTCACCGACTCACCCCACAGTTCAATTCATAAGGGTCAGATGATGCCTTGTGGCACGTTCCTAGGGTCTTGGATCTGACATCACGGGCCGTAACCGGTACGGTAGTGATTTTTCGTGGTGTACGAAATTATTCAAATGTGCCCACTACCCCACTTTGGCATTTGTTTCAACTGGCACACTTAGGGTAACAGGGGGATAGCGAGAAGCAAGCGGGGATGTCTTGCAGGCAGTAATGATGGTCATGTGGGAGTAGGGACGACTGGTGTGAAATGGGAGAAGGTGGTACGGTGAGTGAGTGGAATGGAGCTTGCATGGGTGTCAAGGAGAGCGAATGAGGTGGGGGTGAGAAGGGGTCGTGCAGGGAAGAAGATGTTAGAAGAATATCTGAACAGTACATACAAATGGATACTGCAAGGATAGAAAATCAAGCTTAGAGATTTGTGGTGACGTGGAAGAAGATATATTGCTGATTGTTTCCTCCTCGCGTACTGTAACAGATGTTACATTAGTGTTGACTCGCAAGAAGATTGGAGGGCGGCACTGTCAGTAGACAAATGTTGAGTGTGGCCATGGGTGTGTGTGATCAGGGTGATGTGTAACTGCGCCTTTCTTTCCTGTTTGTTGCACGAGGTTCACCTGGGTTTCGCATGCATTGCAAGGTGCAACGTTAAGATCTCCAGTGAGGCATGGCGAAAAAGGGGCAAAAAGCGGTGCCACGCATCCCGTAAGAGTGGGTGGGGAAAGTGGTTTCAAGTGACAACACTACACCTCGTTACATGGTGCCGCGCGCGTGACGTACAATAACAAGGTGGCGGTACAACTAGGCGAGCACGTAACTGCAACGTCAGCACACAGCTGTACCGCCCTCCAACGCACTCCACAAACACCAAGATGTATAAATTACACTACCCGTTCTGTAGTGTTCAGGCAAGAAAATGGGATTTGACTGTATTTTGGGAGAGAATGTCTCGGCAATCTGAGGTTCACACTTGAAGCACGCCAAACCATGTTTTGTAAACAGGGGCGCGAAGTTGAGGGAGTGGATTCCCAGCATGACGCCTGGTGTGCTGCAATGGTGTGCTGTGTGGACGGCGCCAGAAACAAAATACCAGCTGTCTGAGAGGATAAATCACACATATCACGTGGCGGACCATCTTCCATCAGCTCCTCATCTCGTGTCGCGAGAAACCAACCGCGCACGAAGAAACCAACTTTTAAAGCATCACAACCCAAACGGACCCAGCCCAACCGAAGCGACCACCGACCAAAGAAACCCACTCACCGAGTTCAACTATGAGCAGGGCCGCCTCTCACGGAGGCACGCGTACTAGATGGGTAGACCAGTTCCAAAAAAGGCATCTCGTGCTCTCTTTGCGATCGTTCCTGATTCATTCGAACTTCAAAATTCCCCAGTCTTCCCAGCCAACTCAATCATGCTGCGACGAACTGTCAGAGTCCTTTCTGGAGAAGTGTCTCGACCGCGTACAGAGGAGTGGATGCTTCATCAAGTCACGTCAGTCACAGGATGCTTCTGGCCGCCGGCACCTCCTAAAAGTCCCAACGGAGATGCTGAATTTGAAACGGAACATCATGTTGTTTCGCCGCCTGAAGACCTGACACCAAACGAAGTTATCAAAACCCCTTCGGGGATCCAGAATCGCGGACTCACTGCAGAAACAAGCTCTCCTGATTCCGGCAGGCGACCAGGAGGCGTCACGCCGATCAGAGTTCTCAGCTCGAATGCGACCATCATGCGACGCCACAAATCGTTGTCGCTGGATATCAGAGATCTCGATTGGGAGGTGTTATCGCCTCACCAAGCTACACCCGAGTGGCTTACGGAGCATGGCCGATCTGTTTCAATGCCAGCTGCTGGTCTAACCAGCTGTTTAACTCCCGTCGCCGGAAGACCCAGACGTTCCCCCGACCGTCGCGTGTCGTTCAACCCAGTGGTCCGCGTGCGACCTATTCCGCCACGAAGTTCCGCCATCGACACTGCCAGCCAGATTCTGGCTACCAACGCCGCCAAAGCCCTTCACCCAAGCTCTTCCCCAACCGCGAACCCGCCAGCGTTAACCTCCCAGACCCAGACCTGAGCTGGGGTGCCGCTCGGTGCTCATCAACGATGTATACTACCGAAGACTCGGAGTTATGGAGGACTTCATGCAATTCACAAATTTCCTAGGGTTTGGGATTCCTATCCCTTCACAAAGTTCGACCTGCTCTTACAGGGTGTGTCTCCCTTCACAAAGTTTTTCGTATTTATCATTAGCGTGTCTTTGTGCCGTGTGTTGTTTTAAATATGTAAATATGGTGCTATACAAGTTGATGTCAATGTGACTGTTGCATAGTGAAATTTCAACCGTACTATTGTGATTTTATCTTCATTTGAAACAGCAAGACAGTATACTAACTTACTCCGGGTCTAAAATAACATGGACACGAACAACCTTGCAGAAGGACACATGTTTCTTGAGTCCCACTTTTGATGTTTCACCATGCGTGTCTGATAAAACTGTAGCAGAGAGTGACCTGCCAGTGGAGAGGCAGCTACCCAGCTTATATCGAGGATTGGAACCAGGAGGACTCAACGAGCAGGGCTTATGTAAATCTGGGTGAAAAACAGCCTCTTTCTTGTCATTTCCGTGGTGGTTAACCACAGCAGAATCTTGAATCCTGGTTGTAACATCTGAGCAGCAACCTTCGTAACACTCAGCTTCGTCAGCCATAATGTAACCCGATTCGTCACCGCAGCTGCATTCACCAGATGTAACCGCAGGTGAACAGAGAGAAGACTCGCAGAACCGAGAGATTTGCCCCGCAACAGCAGAAGCGGCGCAAGTGTCTTCTTTACTTCCCAGAGAGAGCGGAGGCTTGCGCAAATCCCGATGTGTTCCTCTCTGACTAAACCGTGGTCTTGTCGTCACATGATAGTTTGTGCCAGCTGGCACGACAGACGCACAGGCACAAGCGCCGGTTAGAACAGCATCGTGATTGGAAATTCTGCCACCGCCGCTGCCCCTGCCGGCGTTGCACGTAAATTTATTTTCGTCCACATCCCGCCGTCCCTCCACCCCACAGCCTGCGAATTCTCGAACCGTACTGTCGGGTTCGCAGCTCTCGCAATGGTCGTCTTCGACGGCTCTGTTAATCTCAACCGCACTTTCCCAGAATTGAGAGCGTCGCCGCCCGTGGAGCCACCCGTTCAGCCGCTGGGCAATTGAACCGCTCGGGGACTTGGGGGAGTCACAAGGGGAGGCGCAAGGTGAGGATTTCCCGCCAAGCGCAGCTACGCTGGCTTCGGGCGCAGCTGTATGTTGGCGGAACGCGGCCGGGGAAGGAAAGGAGAGGGATACCGTGGCGGAGCGGCGGGCGGGAGGGGGCGCAGCAGGCGACGGGGCACTATGGAGAGCCGCAGAGGATGCGGACAAGGCGCGGCGGAGGATGCGCGCCGTGGGCGCTGGCAATTTGCGCTCCCCCTCCGCGGGCGGGGAGCCTGCGCGGTACCCGCGCGCTGCTTTCTTGCCAGCCTGCTCGCGCTCTAGCTGCTCCGCCAGTTTCACCCACACGCGGTCCATGTCGGGGGAATCGCGCGACCGCTCCGCAATTACCTCCGCGTTGGGACTGCGCACCACCGCGGGCGTCGGCGGACGCCAGCCCGAGGGGGAGGCGGAAGGGGAGGGGGAAGTCTGAGCGGAAGCGTAGTGTCCGCCAGCCCCGCGGAAGCTAGCTGTGCAACGGGGGCGCACCGTCACCCTACCGCGGCATTTGCCGCGAAGAGCATGACACGTCGGAGGCGATACAAGCGCGGCAGAAGCTGACTTGGCGGGCATAGCTGGAGAGAGAAGAGACGCGGCTGGGAACACGCACGAAACTGAACCGTTGCTGCCGCTACTGCTGCCGCTAAAGCCGCCGATACTGCCGCTGTCGCTGCTACTGATAGAATGCGGAGAGCAGCCGCAGGTCGATGCGCGCGTGACCGTGGTGATAGTCGTCGTGGGGCCGTCAGCGGCCAAGGCGGCGGAACATTCGCCGCCGTCTGGTATGTCTTTTGGCGGTATCGTATACGCCGTGGAGTCTTCTGCAGAACGCGGGGACTGAGATCTCTCGTAACATGGCGGTGATGCTGACTGTAGTCCGGATATGGAAACCACACTTGGAAGGGGGTTTTCGAGGACTGCTGGCGACGAGTGCTGCTCTGGGATGTGCACTCGAAGGCTCGCCACTTTCAGCGAGCGACGGCGCGCGAGGGACTGCGACTTCGGCGACGATGTTGCAGAGCTGTCGCTATGTTGGGAATTAGGAGGAGATCTGCTTCGTACTACTAGACAGTTCATTGGGCCTCTGGAAGTCGATTTTTCAAGAGGAAGCAGGGATTGGCGGGATACGATCATTGTCATTCCAAGCCTACATAGAACATGTGAGTCTTATTAAAGAAATGAGTCGAGATAAGGGGTAAGAAGTACTTGGGAAAGGCACATTCCTTCGCATGTGCGAGACGAGACAACAGAAGCCCACGTCGAGGAAAGTTGACAGGGAAATGATCAGATTGGGGCCCCAGAGCTCTAGAAAAGTCGCCAACTTGGGGCCTCGTGTGTCGCAAGGAGTCGAGCCTAGGCCGGACCTGTACCCAACCAATTTCTAGCCTCATCCACGCGCTCCGTCAGACCTGACCACACAAGGTGACGAATTCCTCCTTGACGAACGAAAAAATTGACTCGACATCTAAAAAATTGACGAATTTTCCTCTCGTGCGTCATGCCTTCGAAGGGGCCTTAGCCCTAAACATCTTGCCGCACGGTATTTAGGGTTGATGCTTCCCCAATTATATGCCATCCGAATGGGGTTTATTTTTTGTGCCATTGCGTTGTTGTTGTTTTTGGGTTAAAATGATTGTTTTTCTGGGTAATTTACGATGACGAGTCACTAGCGAATTCCGTCAACCCCAGGCCAGTAGGTGGTGACCTGGCGAGAAGGCCAGGCTCGGCCTAACTGCCCAGGTGTGTTGGTTGCTTCGGGGGTACGTAGTAGGTGCGCGACTCACGAGGCCCCAATTCGGCCACTTTACTGCTACTCCGGGGCCCCTTTTTGATCGTTTCCCAAGTTGACAAAAGAAGAAAACTAGCCGTTTTCTATGCTGCGTTGGACTAATTTATTTCCTGCACACCTGCTCCTAAAGCGAGAGACAGCAAAAGACCTCCTGTGACCTGTGACCACCACACAACTGAAAAGACTTGAAAGTTTCATGGCTGTGTAATGAGAGACAAGAGAAGTTGGAAAGGTCGCAGCAGCAGCCTTCACCACCATTGTATACTGTATTCTCTGACTAGGCGCGCTATACGCCAAACAACGCAAACAACGAAATCTCACGTGATTCGTGAACGAGGCATGACGGGGGAGGGGGAAGAATGGGGTGGTGGTGGTGGGGGATGGGAGGGGGGATGGGGGGGGGATGCGGGGAGGAGTGCGGAAAGTCAATGCGAAGAGGACGGCTGGCGAAAGGTCAAGCTGTTACTGTGTCACGAATGTTCAGAAAAGAGCTGTTCGACATTGGCTGCGACGATGAGTATACAGTGCCAATAAAGGCATCAGGGGAGACTGGTGTGTGCTTGTCAGCCAGCGAGGCTGATCGCTGTACACGTCAGCGAACGGTGTGCTGTGAAGGTTCCAGAGATTGCGGGGCCACTGCACCAGCGCGGTTCGCAACGCTCCAAATCAAACCTCCAATCCCGACCTTCTGGGAAACCAACAACATAATCAAAACTGCCCGGACGGAGTTCTGTGCCAATCAAGTCAAGTTCGAAGGTTTCATTCAGGTCCTAAATAAACTTGTACAGTTCAACGTGTTGGAAAGTGGAGGGCCATTTTCAGGTGCAATCTCTCTAATTTGGGAAATGTGTTCAGGTGAGAGCCCGGCGCATATTTCCAAGTCCTTGTTGCGGACTGTACACACGTGCTGTACAAGCTTTGGAAAGATGCGCCACTCAAATCTGTACTCGCTTAGGGAAATTAATGCACTCACACACGATTCGGTTACCGACGGTACCAGGAATTCCTAAGACAGACGCCAAAAAAAAAAAGCTTTATTGACCCTGGACGCATATTTGCGAGATCACCCATAAACACGGGAAGCATCAACCCTAAACACGGTTGATCTCCCCCGAAAATGCTTACAGTTTCTCTAGAGTTTTTTTGTTTTGTTTTTTTCGGGTGGCCTTAAATGCTTTGGGTAGTTTGGTCTGGCCAGTTGTCTGTTTGATTTCCGTCAGAGTGTGTCAGAGACAATAAAAGCCGTCAGCTAGAATAAGATGTGAGTGCCGAGTCTGCACAAGGCTTTGTTGCGACACGTGTGTACAAAGTCGTAACAGTGCCGAAACAAATCGGGCTCTCACCTGAACACATTATCTGTACTATAGAGATTACACATGAAAATGGCCCGAAAGTGGAAGTCAAGAGCTGTCATTACAGTACGGTACAGTGCCCGCCATCCCCCCATGTGGCTGCTGCTGAGCATCGGCCCGGTGCACGAGTCACGACACGAGCAGATTGCCATCGTGGAAGGGAATGTGCGGTTCGTACAGTTGCAGAACACGGGTAGTGTGTCAGGACGGTTCCTAACGGTGGAAAACGATTATTGAAAATATCAGTTTCTCACCGTGGCGAATCTATCTAGACCTCGAAGAGAGATGAACGAGCTGGACACCCCCTTGATGTTTTTTGCTGGTGGGTAGTGCTGTCGTTTTCTGTTCCACCCAAACCAATGACAAAGCTTGGTGTGATTCGTGAACCAGGAGATGAAGATTAACTCGTTATTGAGTGAACTATGTAGGAGACCGAGCGATTGTTGCACCAAACCAAACTTTAGCATATTTATTTTTCAAGTAGGAACAAGCTCAGCTGACACCAGAACTCATTGAAGGCACTTGAGTGCTGAATCTTACGTGAACACAACTAGTTGACGTTACACATCCATTTCTTCTACATTCAAAAAGGGCCAGCCAGTGGCCATTGTTTAGCCTTTACTGTACACTCGAACAGACAAGGCCATGCCCCATACAAAGAATGCAACCGGTACCAGAGTTATCCAAAGGCTTCCTCGCGCTCTTGCCACAGCAGCACCAAGCCGCTCCACTGCTTTCCAAATCTATTCAACAGCCAGCAGGAGTCCTCTCCTCCTTGGGTTTTGAGCCGTATCAAAACCCCAACGTTATGCAACTCTATTCAACGGGCAACAGCACTACTCGTGATCTCCTTAGCTCTCTTGTGCTCTTTCCTTTCCTCCCCCCGCTCCTTCCCCTCCTCTTCTGATCTTCGCTTGCAGCTACCATCACCCTGACTGCCCCCTGGATCAGTCGCACCTTCTACTTTCTCTCCCACCACACCCTCCCTGTTGTCACTCTTGTTAGTATCATCAGCATCATGGTCAGTGCCGCCAACGTCAGCAGCAGGGGCGGGAGCAGCATGCGCATCAGCCGCCGCTTCAGCAGCAGGAGCTGCAGCAGCAGGAGTAGAGAAATCATCAGCGGTAATAGAGCCCTTGCTTTCAGGAGCAACTCCCCCTGTTCCATCAGCAGCAACATCAGCAGAAGCAGCATGACTCATCGTGCCGCTACCGCCCTTCAATTCACCACCATCCTTCAGCACCTCTCCCTTTCTATCTTGTCCCGCACCAGGTGCCGCACCTGCTGCCGCTCCTGCTGTGTCTACAGTCGCTGCTCGTGCTGCCTCTTCTTCTGCTGTTTCTGCGGCTCCTCCTGCCCTCGCTGTTGCTGCTGTCCCCCCTGTTTCTGACGTTTCTGCTGCTGATGCCAGTGGAGGGGAAGGAGAGGAGGAGGCAGGAGAGGCACCTCTAGGCGACAAGGGTGGGGATGGAGACAACACGGGGGATGGGGATTCTATTAGGGACGGGGATGCTGAAGGAGATGCTGAAGGGGATGCTGAACGGGATGGCGACTCCGGTCTAGGCGATCGCGACGGAGACGATCTGGGGGATTGAGACGGCGACGTTTTCGGTGATGAAAAGGCTTTTGGTGAGGAGGAAGGAGACGACTTGGGAGAGGAGGAAGAGGGGGATGAGGGGGAAGAAGGGGAAGGGAAGGGTTTTGGGGATGACTCTTGCCCCATAGCCTTGCTACTGCACCGATTTGGTCCTCCGTTGTTGCCCTTCCCTCCTGCCTTCTCACTCATCCTCTCTTCCCTCTTCCCCTCCTCCGTATCCCTCTCTTGCCTGTCCTCCTCGTTCCTCTCCTCCCGCCTCCTTCCCTCCTTGTGTTGCTGCCCTGGGCTGGACCTCTCGTCCCCGTCACCCCTTCTTTCACCTCTCGCTTTGTAATCACCCCCTCCTCCTGCTGCTCCTCCACCCCCTCCCCCTACGGTCCCCCCTCCCCCCCCTCCTTTAACCAGGGCAGATCGGGCCAACATGGCTCCAAGCTTCCCTCCAACAACAATCTTCCCCCCAGATATTCTCCTGAATCCCGGCCCACCATCAGAAGATTTTCGCTTCTTTTGCACACCTTGGGATGACCCATCCTTCCCTCCCGAACCTGCTCCTCCCGTCCCGCTCCGCTTCGGCCCGTTCCGAGCCTCACCCCGGGCCTCTCCCCGAGCTTCTTCCCGAGCCTCGAAGCCTCTTCCCAAGGCTGGGGAGTCAGTGGAGGGTCGGGGGCTGGGAGGGAAAGGCGAGGAGGAGGAGGGGCGGTCTTCGTCGTCCTCATCGTCGTAATCCACAAGCCCAAAAGATGGCTTCCTGGAAGGTGCCATCATGGGGATGCAGAGAGAAAAGGAGAACAAATTCAACATGGGGAGTATGAGCGGATTGCATAGAGAGAGCATGACAAGGGGAGGGGAAAAGGAGACAAGGATAAGAAAAAAAAAAAAAACAAGGACCAGGATATGGATATACCACAATGCTAAGATGGAACAAGAATTTTAGGAAGGTGAAAGGAGTGGGGATGGGGGTGAAGATGGGGAGAGACAGAACAAGATGGTCAGAGAGCAGAATCAACTCACGCGGAATATACTCACGTGCAATCAACTCACGTGGAAACAAAACTCACCTAGATGGGTCTGCAATGATGCCGTTGGCAAGAGACCGAGGCGGAGAGGGCGAGCGCGACTTGTGGCCTTGCCGGGGGGGAGTCTCGTGGTGGGTTATACCAGCCAAATACCAGCCAAACCAAACTCACCTAGACGGGTCTGGAATGATGCCGTTAGTCAGAGCGCGAGGGGGAGAGGGCGAGCGGGATTTGTGGCGTGGCAGGGGGGGTGTGCCTGACGGGTCGAGCACTGGTAGGCTGTCATCGTGCTCCTCCTCCTGTGTTGCTGGCTCGTCCTCGTCACTGAGTGATTCAATACAAGCATGGGAAAGAATGCCAGCGCATGCGGCACAGAGAGAAAAGCGAGAGATTCTGATCCCACATTTTTTTTTTGGTGGAAGGGAGCTTGGGTAGGGACCAAGCGAAGTGCCGGGGAAGGTGGGGGGGAGGGAGGAGGGGATCAGGGGAAAACCACTCTGCAAGTAGCAATAGCGAGGAAGGACAAGGAAACAAGAATGTCAGACAGCCATCACCACGGAAACATACCTGTCCCCTCCGCTTTCAAAATAATCCTCCTCCTCTCTCTCAAGCTCCCTCTCCTCCCTCACTCTCCTCTTCTCCACCCTCACTCGCCCTCCTCGCTCCACCCCCTCTCCACTCCTCCCCCCTTCTCCCTCTGCCGGTCCCCCTCCACCACCCTCGTGCCGCCACCTGTCGCCGCCTGATTGCACGCTGATGGCTGTGGCTCGCGGCAAGTGGGAGGGCGGAGGGGCAGCAGAGGGCTCTTCTGCTGGGCGCATCGACTCAAGGTTCTGTTGTGAAAGGGGAAGGACGAGGCACGAAGGGGGAGGAGGGGAGAGGGGACGAGGGGGTGTGTGAAGAAATGGGGAGCAGAAGGCTATTCTGCTGGGCGCATCGACTCAAGGTTCTGTTGTGAAGGAAAAGGGAGGAGGGAGGAAAGGTGTGGGGGAAAAGCAGTAAGGGATGGGGAGAGACGTCAAGGTTGGAAAACATGGGAGGGCGGTTGGGTAGCAGAAGGCTCTTCCGCTGGTCGCATTGACTCGAGGTTCTGTTGTGAAAGGGGAGAGGGGGGAGTGTGAGTGGGAGAGGGGAGTGGGTGAAGGCATGTCAAAACAAGTGGGAGGGCGGACGGGCAGCAGAAGGCCCTTCTGCTGGCCGCATCGACTCAAGGCTCTGTTGGGAAGGGGAAGGACGAGGCGTGGGGAAGGGAGGAAAGGGGAGAGAAGAGGGGGGGGGAGAAGTTGTGAAGAGATAGGGAGCGAAGGCTCTTCTGCAATGACTCGAAATTCCGCTGTGAGTGAGGGGGAGGATGGGGAGACAGGAAGAATGGGGGCAAATTTTGGGACAGAGAGAGGTATCGAGGTTCAGTGGCACAGTAGCTTGAAGGAGTCACAACGGTGATGGCTAAATATTGATGGCTGGTACCAGTGGCAAACGGAAGGGTGGAGAGGGGTGGGGTGGGAGGGAGTGGAAAGGGTTTGGAGTCGGAGGGAGGGAGACGGGGATGGGGAGAGGTATCGAGGTTCGAGGCGCATTAGCTTGATGGAGTCAACATAGTCAACCGAGTCAAAGTTCTATTAGATGTTTCAAATCAAAACATCAAGTCTCCATTCTCCACACTAAGTCCCCATTCTCCACGCTAACTCCCCATTCTCCACACTAAGTCCCCATTCTCCACATTAAGTCCCCATTCTCCACACTAACTCCCCATTCTCCACACTAACTCCCCATTCTCCACACTAACTCCCCATTCTCCACACTAACTCCCCATTCTCCACACTAACTCCCCATTCTCCACACTAACTCCCCATTCTCCACACTAACTCCCCATTCTCCACACTAACTCCCCATTCTCCACACTAACTCCCCATTCTCCACACTAACTCCCCATCCCCTCCCACCTGTTCATATTTGAGGCGCAGCAGCTTGAAGGAGTCAACGTAGTCAACCGAGTCAAACCAGGATCCGTATGTTTCCACTAAATGAGTCACCAGCGACTTGATGTTCTCCTGCTCACATGCACACATGGATGCACAATCACATGCACGCATGCATGCATGCACAAACACATGCATGGTCACATGCATGTACAATCACATGCACACACGTGCAAATTCGCACATCCGCACATAAACACATGCACATATCTCGCATGCATGCACACTCAAATGCATACACAGACACACCAACACGAACCACAGGAATGGTTACCACATGTAAACGTAACCACATAAACAGCAACCACGATTAGGAAACCTCACAACAACACAGCCAGTCGCTCAACAAACAACAGAATCCCCAAGAAAGTTGTAGGGGCTGCCGCAGGACCCAAACATTCAGAAGAAACACCACCACCGCAGCTCAACAAGGCCCAGGACTGTGGACTGCAGTGCAGTCCCACAACAAGGTCCAGGTGACTTTTGAGTCGACTCAAAAGTCCCACAACGAGGTCCAGGACTGTGGACTGCAGTCCCACAACGAGGTCCAGGACTGTGGAGTCGAGGAGGTTGTAGCGGCTGCCGTTGGTATTCACATCCCACGTGCCCACCTACACCACACGCCCACCGCCCCACACACAAAGCCAGTGCCCACTCACTCACCTTGCGGATGAATTCGACTAAATCCAGCACAGCGGAGTTGAGGAGGTTGTAGCGGCTGCCGTTGGCTCTGAAGGCTGCGATCACGGGCTCAAACAGACGGTTCTTGACCAGGTAGCGCAGGTAGAAGTCATCCTGGTGGGAGGTGGGCGGGGGCATGGCATGGCATGGCATGGCATGGGGAAAAGGGTGTTCATCTGACTGGCATCACGGGCTCAAACAGACGGTTCTTGACCAGGTAGCGCAGGTAGAAGTCATCCTGGTGGGAGGTGGGCGGGGGCATGGCATGGCATGGCATGGCATGGGGAAAAGGGTGTTCATCTGACTGGCATCACGGGCTCAAACAGACGGTTCTTGACCAGGTAGCGCAGGTAGAAGTCATCCTGGTGGGAGGTGGGCGGGGGCATGGCATGGCATGGCATGGCATGGGGAAAAGGGTGTTCATCTGACTGGCATCACGGGCTCAAACAGACGGTTCTTGACCAGGTAGCGCAGGTAGAAGTCATCCTGGTGGGAGGTGGGCGGGGGCATGGCATGGCATGGCATGGCATGGGGAAAAGGGTGTTCATCTGACTGGCATCACGGGCTCAAACAGACGGTTCTTGACCAGGTAGCGCAGGTAGAAGTCATCCTGGTGGGAGGTGGGCGGGGGCATGGCATGGCATGGCATGGCATGGGGAAAAGGGTGTTCATCTGACTGGCATCACGGGCTCAAACAGACGGTTCTTGACCAGGTAGCGCAGGTAGAAGTCATCCTGGTGGGAGGTGGGCGGGGGCATGGCATGGCATGGCATGGCATGGGGAAAAGGGTGTTCATCTGACTGGCATCACGGGCTCAAACAGACGGTTCTTGACCAGGTAGCGCAGGTAGAAGTCATCCTGGTGGGAGGTGGGCGGGGGCATGGCATGGCATGGCATGGCATGGGGAAAAGGGTGTTCATCTGACTGGCATCACGGGCTCAAACAGACGGTTCTTGACCAGGTAGCGCAGGTAGAAGTCATCCTGGTGGGAGGTGGGCGGGGGCATGGCATGGCATGGCATGGCATGGGGAAAAGGGTGTTCATCTGACTGGCATCACGGGCTCAAACAGACGGTTCTTGACCAGGTAGTGCAAATAGAAGCCGTCTTGGAAGCTGGGAAAAGTGAGGGAAAAGTTTGTGGCTTCGACTGGGTCTGGCATTGACCGACATTGACCAGCATTGACCGGCATTGACCAGCATTGACCGGCATTGACCAGCATTGACCGGCATTGACCAGCATTGACCGGCATTGACCAGCATTGACCGGCATTGACCAGCATTGACCGGTATTGACCAGCATTGACCGGCATTGACCAGCATTGACCGGCATTGACCAGCATTGACCGGCATTGACCAGCATTGACCGGCATTGACCAGCATTGACCAGCATTGACCGGCATTGACCGGCATTGACCAGCTTTGAACAGCATTGTTCCTTGTTACTTGGTAGGTGCTCGATGCAAGTACTGATCTACCTTGAGGCTGACACAGGAGCGCAGGAATCGCACAGCAGCCACTACCAGGTACCCCTCCCGGCGCCCCACCAGCTAGCTCAAGAGCAGGCTTGGGTTCAACGAGGGCAGCATTCATACCTTGAGGCTGATGCAGGAACGCAGGAAGCGCACAGCCACCACCACCAGGTACCTCTCCCTGCGCCTCACGAGCTAGCTCAGGCAGAAAGTAGATACCCCCGTTGTTTACCGACTCACGCGGGTGGCGTAGTACTATACCTTGAGGCTGATGCAGGAACGCAGGAAGCGCACAGCCGCCACCACGAGGTACCTCTCCTTCCGCCGCACCAGCCGCAGCACCTTCTCCACCACGTTGTTGCGCAACACGTAGTACCTTGAATGGGGGGGGAGAGGGGCAGAGGGGGATGGGGAGGTGAGCGGGACACTGGATTGAGCTGGTCACAAGCGAGAGAGTTGGTCACAAGCGAGAGAGTGGGTCACAAGCGAGAGAGTCGGTCACAAGCGAGAGAGTGGGTCACAAGCAAGAGAGTCGGTCACAAGCGAGAGAGTTGGTCACAAGCGAGAGAGTGGGTCACAAGCAAGAGAGTCGGTCACAAGCGAGAGAGTCGGTCACAAGCGAGAGAGTGGGTCACAAGCAAGAGAGTCGGTCACAAGCGAGAGAGTTGGTCACAAGCGAGAGAGCTGGTCACAAGTGAGAGAGCTGGTCACAAGCGAGAGAGTTGGTCACAAGCAAGAGAGTCGGTCACAAGCGAGAGAGTTGGTCACAAGCGAGAGAGTTGGTCACAAGCAAGGAGGAGGAGTGGAGCTTCACGCACAGAGAATGACGCTAGATGCACAAAGCAAAGGGCACGGGGTAGGGTACGACTTACTTCATCTGCTGTGGTGCGGATGACAGGCGAATCAAGCAAAAGCACGAGGCATAGAGCACATTAATACAAGGACACAGAAGCACAGCAGATCGCAGATACTCGCCAGAACCTCAGGAGGAGGCGACGATGCAGCTCCTCGTAGGAGCATGAAGAAAAACAGGGCTATGACTCACTTCATTCGGAAGCTGTGGTGCAGCACACAGAAGCACAGAAGATCGCAGATACTCGCCAGCACCTCGGGCGCAGGCGACCCCCCTCCTCCTCCTAACCCTCCTCCTCCTCCCCCTCCACCACCTCGCCCCCCTTCAACGCCAGCAGCAGCAGCAGCGGTTGTTATCCCCTTTACAAGCACATCCACGTACTCCTCATATAACACGTCTAGAAACTTGTTCTTCTCAGCAGTGTCCATGGTGTCTGTGTCTAGCAACTGCCTCAATATTTCTAAGAGCTGCACGTGAGACCCCCCCTCCCCCTGACTGCGTTCCACCATTCCCTTCACCTGCCCAGGGAAGGCGGGGGAAGGGGAAAGGGGAAGGGAGGGAGGACGACACTGGAGGTTCAGTTCAGTGGTGGGCAAGGGAAAGAAGAACAGATTGTACTTGTGACATGGAATTTTGAGAAGCATTTTAGAAAGAGCTTGCGACCTACAAGGCAGGAGAAAAGTGTGTGGCCGGGTTGCTCCACGAGAAAGGTGCGCAGGGGGGCAGGGTCGGGACTGAGAGCAGACATGAGCATGTCGGTGCTGTGATGGGAAGAGAGGTGGGGAGGCAAGGGGTGAAGTCAAAGGGAGCGCAGGAGAAAGGGTGAGATATGGGGAGAAAAGAAGCGGACAGCAGTGTGGTACTTGGAGAGGGAGAACAAGCCATTGGAAAGCGGTCAACGATCGGTGAGCAAGAGGGAGAACGGGGCTGAAAGAGCGGAAAGTGGCAAGTGGTGTTTAGCATGGGAGTGCACGGGAGGTTGAAACACATACCCGCAAAGGCGTAGGGAGGCGTCAGTGTGTTGCAAGATCGTGGTGACGATTTCAAATAGGCCCAGACCAATCAGAGCACTGCACGTTGACAGAATGAACAGAGAGCGTGGTTGAAGAAAGGATGGGTTGGAGTATCAGACACATATCTAGCTTGTTCGTACTGATTCAATGATGTTTGTAGCGCCTACAACAAGTCTCAACCTAAACGTTAATCAATTAAACACATACGAAAACAAAGCTGGTACGTCGAGTAGAGGACGGCTGGGGAAAAAGAGGGAAAGGGTAAAGCCCCCTACATTTGCAACGCTCAGAAGCGTCAGAAAACAAGACGGAAGGACGGGGCGAAGATACCTAAAGGGGGCGAAGCGAAGGTACCTGAAGGACTGGTTTCTCTGTGTGATCTGCAGGTGCTTGTGCAGCGAGCAAAACTCCTGGAGGAATCGAACCTGATGCGAGGGAGAATGAAAGAGGTGAGCGGAGAAAGGCAGAGAGAGAAGAGATGGAGATGCTCGGTTGAAGGAACCCTCACAAGAGTCTCACAAGCTAATCAGATCTAATTTCACCCAGCATGTCCCATGTGACAAGGTCCCTGGACGTTCGAAGAAACGTCTGACACGCGATCAATAAACCATGTATCCACAACTCACGTCACGTGTCTGTTTGTGACAAGTACATGTTGCTTAGACTCTTCCCGTCTCACTCACCAGGTCTCTAAAGGCGGGGGAGGAGGGGTCTTTGGATCGCAGCTGGGAGAATAGGTCTGAGAGGAAAGGCTTGTCGCCCTGTAGAGTGGACACCACCTGAGGAGGGTGCAGGGGGGGAGAGAGGGATGCGCAGGGGGGACAATGAGATATGGCTGCTGGGGCTGCTGCTGAATGCCCTGCTGGGAGAATAGGTATGAGAGGAAAGGCTTGTCGCCCTGTAGAGTGGACACCACCTGAGGAGGGTGCAGCGGGGGAGAGGGGGACGGAGGTGCAGGAGGGTGTGGGGAATGTTGAGACAGGGCTGCCGCTCACTGCTGTACAGGGAAAAGAGGTCCGAGAGGAAAGGCTTTGTTGCCCTGCAGAGTGGACACCACCTGAGGATGGTGGGGGAGAAAGAGGGAGGTGGAGAGGAGAAATGATGAGATAGCGCTGCTGCTGTCCATGACACCACCTGAGAATGGTGGGGGAAAGGGTCGGAGGGGGGAAGAATGGAAGACTGCAAATGAAAACTCTAGGAATCTGAAACTGAACCTCTAGCACCACATGACCGCATTTAATTTCAGATTATCAATAATATCAAAAGTGCAAGCCCTGATACTTAAGCTGTAGCTTCAAGTGCAAGCCCTGATACTTAAGCTGTAGCTTCGAGTGCAAGCCCTGATCCTTAAGCTGTAGCTTCTGGGTTCTGGGGTCCACAGCCGACTGCTATGCTCGTGTCACTCTGGAGAATTCTCAAAAGGGTGCGCAGCAGACTGCTATGCTTGACCTCTGCTGTCCCCATTCCCACTCACCTCTACATTATTGAACAGAATAAGGGAGTTGAAGGTCCCGTATGTCTGGTCGTCCAATACACGCGGTAAAATCACATCCTGCCCGAGAAAGGAGGCAAACAAACAAACAGGGGAGAGACGGTGGGGGGAGTGGGGAAGGGTGGGCACAAAAAATCAGGTTCCGCAAGGGGAGCACTGGACTTGGACTGTATGTGAACTTGGCACGGCGTCTCTCTCTCGCCATACAGAAAAATGTGGCAGACTGAAAATAACTTGAAGCCCCAACAGACGCACCTTAATGCCCCAATAAGCACGCACTTTGATGTACCCCAGGCGGTATGTCTGGTGGATCTTAGAGCGCAGGCTGGGGTCCTGGATGGGCACGGCCTCTCTCTCTTACAGTACATGGAAATTTGGTAGCAGCAGCAGCAGCAGCAGCAGCAGCAAGCACCTTAAAGCCGCAAAGAACGCACCTTGACGTAGCCCAGGCGGTACGTCTGGTGGATCTTGGAGCGCAGGGCCGGGTCCTGGATGGGCACGGCCTCGCGATACTCCACCTGCTCCAGCAGGAACTTGCGGTGCTGCTGGCGCGATGGGAGGTCTGGGTCGTCTGGTGAATGGGGTATGCGACACAGAGGGTTGCATATGGATGGAACACCTAGAGCAGATACGGGGAATGGGCTCAGGGCATGGGGCATGTGGGTGGGGTATGGACGGGGAACGTGGGTTATAGAGTGTGGGGTATGGTGGGTAAGGTACAGGGCATGGGGCATGGGACCTAGGGCATGGGGGATGGAGGATACTGTATGTGGGACAGGGGTTATGGGGGAAGGGTACACCGGAAACATCGCATGCAAGGGGCACGCAGGGTACTGTAAGTTCCCATGAGGTCCAGAATGGCACCTACGCCGCTGACGTGGCACTGACGCTGATGAGGCACCGACTACTATGCTGACGTGGCAGGGCACGTGGCACTCACATTCAAGAGCCCCCACGAGGTCCAGAATGGCGTTGTCAGCAAAGAGAAGGTCGAACAGATTGGTGTCATTGAGCAGCACTGGGGGGAAGAGACAAGGGGGTGAGAGAGAGAGAAGGGGAAAAAGGCATATGGATGGACACAGAACAGACAGAAGGAACAAAAAGGTCCAGAATGGCGTTGTCAGCAAAGAGAAGGTCGAAGAGGTTGGTGTCGTTGAGCAGTACTGCCGAACGGAAACAAAAGGGGGAGAGAGAGGGATGGAGACCAAGCACGGGTCGACTTTTGAGTCGACTCAAAAGTCAACAGGTTGGTGTCATTGAGCAGCACTGTTGAAGGGAAACAAAAAGGGGAAAGAGAGGGAGGGAGACCAAGCACGGAGAGTGGGGAGAATGGGATGGGAACGGGAGGAAAGGCGTAAGGGTCCACGGTGTTTTTTTTTTGCCGACTCAAAAAGGTGCTCCACACATGGCTTTGTCAGCAAAGGGCAGGTCGAACAGATTGGTGTCGTTGAGCAGCATTGCGGGAACGGATGAAGGGCAGACAAAATGCACAGGAAAAGAAAAGGTACAAAATGAAAAGCCAGGCCATAAACCCTAACCCCTACAACCAGGACTTTAACCCCCTGAAAATCAAGGGGTTGAACAAGTAAAACCCTACACACCTGCAACCCTGACCAGAACACAATACCTAGATTCTTGGCAGCATGATACAGCTGATGCACTTTGGAGGAGCAACATGAAACCTCCAAACCCTAAACCAACGTTACAGCCTTACAGCCCTCCGCTCTGCACCTCAACCACACCCCACACCTGAAACCCCTTACCCAACCCCTTGGCAATGCGGTAGAGCTGGTGCAGCCCGTCTAGATTCTCCAGATCCTCGCACTGGTTTGACTGGTGCTGCACCTTGCTCTCCCATTCCACACCCCAACACCCTCCACCCCACACCATACTCTCTAGATATGCCCTACACCCTAAGCCCCGTGCCCCTCACCCAGCCCCTTGGCAATGCGGTAGAGCTGGTGCAGCCCGTCTAGATTCTCCAATTCCTCGCACTGGCGGAAGAGGTCCAGCAGCTTGGGCACATAGCTCTGAGGGGGGAGGGGTAAGGGGATGTGGGGATGTGAGGCAGGCAGGCAGGTGGGGATAAGGGAGAGAGACAGCGCTTCAAGTATCACAAGAGGCAGATCCTCGCACTGGCGGATCAGGTCCAGCAGCTTGGGCACGTAGCCCTGGGGGAGGAGGGGAGGGGGTTGGGGGAGGGAGAGGGCGCGCCATGCCATCACAAGGCAGCAGGTCTCCTCGCACTGGCGGAGGAGGGCGGGCAGCTTGGGCACGTAGCCCTGTGTGGGGGGAGGGAACGGGATGTGAGGGGGATGGGATGGGGGAATGGGTGAAGGGTTGGGGAAGTGGAAGGACGGGGCAGTGGGCACCTCAAAACGCGCACGCCAACCACTCAGGGAGAGTGGAATGCGAGCGCTGAAGGTCACAGCCTACCCCCCCCTGCTGCTCACACATTCTTCCACCCACCACCCGTCCCCATCCCCCCATGTCAAAACAAGCACGCCAAACACACAGGGAGAGTGGAATGCGATGCGAGGGCTGAAGGCCACAGCCTACTTCCCCCTGCTGCTCGCACATTCTTTCATTTCAACCACCACCCACCCCAACCGCCCAAGTCGCCCCCCGTGTTTCCCCCCCATGTGCCTCCCATGTCCCCCCCTGCCCATACCTTGTCCCCCTCCCAAGTCCAGACCCCATACTCCTCTAAGGACGAGTGAAGCAATGCGGTCTTTGTGGAACAACGGGCGTCTGCAAACACCCCGCACCCTGCAACCCTCCCCTCCACGCCCTGCCCCCCATGTCGCCCCTCTGTTCCCCCCATGTGCCTCCCATGTCCCCCCCTGCCCATTCCTTGGCCCCCTCCCAGCCCCATACCTCTCGAAGGACGAGTGAGGCAATTCGGTCCTTGTGGAACAATGGCACGTCTGTTAGCATCTGCAGGAGGGGAGGGGAGGGAGGGGGGGAGGGGGGAAGGGGGGGGGGAAGGGCAGGGGAGCATGGGGGCAGGGGCGAGGGGCAGAGGGAAGCGGCGAGGGGAGAGACGAGTGAGGCAAATCGGTCCTTGTGGAACAATGGCACGTCTGTGAGCATCTGCAAGGGGTGCAGGAAGTGGGAGGGAGGGGCGGGGGGTGGGGGTGAAGAGGAGCGAGGAGCACGGCGGGTAGAGTGACGGCGGGGATGGAAAAGGGGAGAAGGATGGAGATGGGGGGGGGGGGGGGTGAGAGGCTGACGGGGGGAGAGCTGAAGGGCTGTCAAGAGGGGCATTCACTCACTGTGGGACAAGTCCTTATAAGAAACATGGGTTGGGTGGCCAGGGAAGGAGAGTAGGGGAGAGGATAGGAGAGGAGGGGGAAAGGGATGGGTGAGTGTGAAGAGAATACATATTACTTACCTGTCGCAGATTAATAACGACAGGTGGTTTCTCTGAGAAGTCACTCTGGTCTCACAGGAAGATTCCTCTCGTCTCACCTTGGCGATGACAGGAAGGTTCCTGAGCTCCACTGCAGGTAACTCAGACATGTCTGTTGCTGCTTCAAAGGCTGATAGCGCACACAGGGAGAAGAAGCAGGGGAGCAAGGAAACGACATATTTCACCAACCGAGCAATCAGCAAGGAAAAACATCTGAGCAACCTACCATTCAAATAACCCATCATTCAAATAACCCATCATTCTAGAGAATAACCCACTATTCGAATAACCCACCATTCGAATAACCCACCATTCTCTGGGGATGCCTCGTGTATTGCAATCTCGTCCCTTGCTCCTGCCCCTCCTCCCTCTGCATTCCCACCACAGCACCGCACCGCACCACACACAGCCCCGCAACAGCACCGCAGGGGACAGCACAGCATAGCACAGCACCGCACCGCACCGCACAAACATGGAGTACACCGCAACCCATGCAGCACGACAGGACACACAATGAGAGACAGCACCCACAGCACCCATTTCAGAGACTGAGCGTGTCTTTGCATCCCACAGCACCCATTTCAGAGACTGAGCCGTGAGTACATGCCACCATGATGACAAAAGAAGAACACAACCAATGGCGCTACAAAACTTATCACCTCGCACTTTCTAATAAAAAAAAGGGTATGGGAGGAGTGTGACACACACTCACAGACACAACCCCCTCCCTCTCCCCTCACACACACACACACATCACTCACCAGTGCCTGCAGGCACGTGCACTTGCCGCTGCACATTGCATATTTGCTCCCTGCAGGTGAGCAGAAAGAGAGGAGCGAACGGGAAATAAAAGGATCCGGGACCATTGAACAAAGGAGGCTTCCATAACAACAAAAGAGTGCGATTTGGCATGGGAGGATAAAACATGTGAGATTTGGCATGGGAGGATAAAACATGTGAGATTTGGCATGGGAGGATAAAACATGTGAGATTTGGCATGGGAGGATAAAACATGTGAGATTTGGCATGGGAGGATAAAACATGTGAGATATGGCATGGGAGGATAAAACATGTGAGATTTGGCATGGGAGGATAAAACATGTGAGATTTGGCATGGGAGGATAAAACATGTGAGATTTGGCATGGGAGGATAAAACATGTGCGATTTGGCATGGGAGGATAAAACATGTGAGATATGGCATGGGAGGATAAAACATGTGAGATTTGGCATGGGAGGATAAAACATGTGAGATTTGGCATGGGAGGATAAAACATGTGAGATTTGGCATGGGAGGATAAAACATGTGAGATTTGGCATGGGATAGCAACCACTGAACCGCATCGTACACAAGCACGCACGGCTGTTAACAACGCAGGCTGTACTGGATTGGATGCATACGGAATGCATAGGCACACGGAGCACAGAGCACGGAGCATCACAGTGCGGCGAGGCACACGAGGGAGGCACGCACCATATGTAGGAGCAGCCCATGCTTTCTTGGAAGCTCAGCGCCAGGTCTGTTGCCACCTCGGGGTCCGTCCATGAGATGATGGTGTCTGTGGGGGAAAAAGGATGAGGGGGAGAGGGAAGGAGAGCGGGGGGAGAGAGGAAGAAGAGGGAAGGAGAGGGGGGAACAGCACGGAACGGAACATGGAAGCTCAGCGCCAGGTCTGTTGCTACCTCAGGGTTCGTCCATGAGATGACGGTGTCTGCGGGAGAGAAAGGTTGATCCATGGATATGCACATGCGTGTGCGAGGGATGGGAGGAGGGGGGCCACACAGCAGCAAGGAAGATGGAAGCTTATCGGTGCACTAGCAGCAGTGAGTGATGGACCCCCCCTCCCCCTCCCCCTCCGCCTCCCCCTCCCCCTCCCTCCTTGCTACAGGTAAATGTCATGATGAGATGCAGGTCACCAGCAACGGCAGTGCATGAGCAGCAGCAAGTGAAGGGGCCACACCTCGTCACATGCCACTGTGCGATGGTACCACCACACACACGAGCTGTACCTTCTTGCCTCTGGTAAATGTCATCTGCTGATATGCGGTGCACCAGCAGCGTGGCGTTGTCCTCCTCGTCGATCACCACCAGCCCTATGGCATCCGACCTCTGCAGCATGGGGGGGTGACATCGAAAAAGAGAGAAGGTATGAGATGGCACAGCACTTGAGAGTGTGCTTCTGAAGCACTTAAACATGCGGTGTCGTGTGCTGTCCTCCTCATCGATCACCACCAGCCCTATGGCGTCCGACCTCTGCAGGATGGGATGGATGGATGGATGGATGGATGGATGGATGGATGGATGGATGGATGGATGGATGGATGGATGGATGGATGGATGGATGGATGGATGGATGGATGGATGGATGGATGGATGGATGGACGGATAAATGGATGGATGGACGGACGGATGGATGGTGCCATTGGAAAAGAAAGAAAACACGAGAGTTCACTTTTGCAGCACCCAGAATAAAGCGCTGTCTGTTCTCTTCCTTGTTGATCACCACCACCAGGCCTTTGAGTCCGATCTCTGCAGCATGGGATGGGAGATACATGACGAAGGGGAAAAAGAGCACATACACACGGGTATCTTACTAAGAAGCGCCTGATGAACAGTGTGTTGCATCGCCTTCCTCGTCAATCACTACCAGGCAACTGCAGCAGGGGATGGTGGTATGGGATGGCAGCACTAACCATGGTTTGTCTGTTACCTTCCTGGATAAAGAACTTCCTGTATAGAACCAAATGTGATTCAAACCAACGTATTCAACAGTCAAGTGACCTGCCTGTCTCCTCTCTCTTCCCGTTCAACATTCAGGAAAAAGAAACAAACCCCTACCTCGAGGTATTCCACTGACACGTGGCCTGTTCCCTTGTCATCCCACTTCCCGTCGTCGTTCAGCCGATACACCTTCACTCGCTGTTGGGGGGCGGGGGGGGGGGGTTGACACATCCGCAAACGAGAGAAAGGTTACGACTGAGTGAGTAATTCAATTGCACGACGGAAGGAGGGGCAGCGCTGCGCCATAGTCTCGTTTAGGAGCCTTCAAAAGGTTGCCTGGGAGCTTGCGAGGGGGTGAAGTAGTGGACAAGTGGCAGGTAGCTCCACTCCACGTGGCAGTGACAATGCCTTCATGCGAAGAGAGAGCCGTTCGCGAAATTAAACGGCGACAAATTTGCCGGCGCAAGGGGAAAGTAGAAAGTGGTCGAAACGAATAACATGGTATCGAAACTTGTTTACCGTTTATTGAGAATAATCTTGACAAAAAGTCGAAAAGAAAGCATCTGGTATTGAGACGTCCCGAACTGGGAAGACACTTGACAAGGAAGCATCTGGCCAAGCGATCTTAGAGACACGGAAAATCGCTAGTAACAAGAACCTTGAAGGAAAATAAGGATCGGGAACGCGAAACGCGGGGAAAGTAAGTGAAAGGAATGGCGTGTGGTAACGGCTTCTGAGAGGTTTTAAGGCGGCTTCTGAAAGGGCTTTGAAGTCGACTCAAAAGACGGCTTGACTACGAAACGGATCTGCACGCGCATCCACGTGCACCACGTGCGTCCACGTGCGTGCACGTGCCTGGAGGTGGTTGTACTCCATCTTTCCCGCCTGCTGGCCTTGTTGCTGCTGCTGTTGTTGTTGCTGCTGCTGTTGTTGTTGTGGTGGTGGCGGTGGTGACGCCGGTGGCTGTGGTTGTGATGACGGTTGCTCATGCTTGGTCGTTGCTTTACTAGCGTGCTGTTCTTGCGGCTCCGAATCGTCTTCAGGCATCCTTAGGACGAGGTCTTAACACTCTGAAAGAGTTAACCTTGTTTAAGATGCTCAATTGACGTTACTGGATGAAATCAGAGCGGCTCTTCGAAAGCTACAATGGTCTTCCGTTAAGCCTCGTCATATGGGAGAAATCGTCAGAAATTCTTAAGCCGCTAACGCCATGGATGCGACAACCAACTGCACACAGCGCAATGCACAACGGAAACCGTCACCTTCAGAGTCGAAACTCGCGGCAAAAACCAGATCCCTTTTTCCCTCACTACACGGACATCGGCCGCTTCTAACCCCACGCGAACAGTCAACTCAATACCGTTAGCATCTAAACCTAATTGGTGCATGCACCGAGTAATTCACTAGCCCAAGGGTCAGAGGGAGCACGATCAAGCTGTCAGAGGCAGGACTGGATAAGCACACACGCTGAATAGTAAACTAACAAGAGCACCTGGTAGGTCAGCGCTCCAAGGTGATTGACTGGATTCACTTTCCTGTCACCAATAAAGTGGTCAGAAAAGGTGAACAGTTAATTGAAATTCGGAAGATGTGACTGCGAAATGTAACCCGACGGCTGCTCCAATCTCGTTGTAGATGGTACCTGTGACGAGAACTGAGTGGTAACTCAGCCCAGAGAGGAGGGGGAGTAGCTGGAGCATGGTCGTCCTGGCCTGCGAAGTACTTCGAAACGCGAACTCGCGAAGATATGGCGGGAAAGTGAACGGCTCAAATCAACCGAACACCTCTTCCAACAAGGACAAACACGACGTTTCTACAAGAATATACAATCTAATACTACATGAAAATTCAGTAACAACACAAACAATGCAAATCTGCAAAACTGAGGGAAACAACAAGAGTGTGCTGACTCAATTTTGTAAGCGCTTTATGCAACCTGACACATCCTGCATTCCCGTTGTAACCTCTCTTGCGCTCTATGGAGCTTGCAGGACCTCTTCTGATATATGCCCCTTTCAATATTTCTTAGATCCACCCCCACCGAAGATGGATTTTCGAATGAGATGTCCGATGGAACCGCCACTGCTGCCACTGCTGCTTTCTCCTGTTCCAATAGCGGAACCTATTACAAGTGAGGATGGCGGGACGCCTTTCAAGCAGCCGTCCAAAGTTGAGAGTATCTGAATTGCAACGGGAGAAGTAACAGAGATGAGAGCCATAGATGTAAGAAACAATGTACCCACCATTCTTGGCACTGTGCAACACAAGTAGAAAGCATGAAACTCCCCTTCAAGAGAATATTCACAAGAGCGTATTACCTCCGTGAAGTCAGGTCTGACAGCAGGGTCAGCAGCCCAGCAGCGTGTGATGAGATTGCTGATGCGAGATGGCAAGCCGGGAGGGAGAGGCGGGCGTAGGTTCCTGTGCATGGACAGAGAGAAAAAGAAGGGATAAATTAATAGTTCAGGAGAAGCACACACACATTAGGTGTAAAAAATAGGTTGCATGCCCACAAACAGTTGTGCACCAGGGTGTTCTGCAGAATAAGATATTATCCAGCAAAGCACCGTAACATCGACAACTGCGAATAGATGGCGAGAATTCAATGAGATGCTTGCTGAGAGGGATACCTTTGCAGGACTCCAATGGCTGCCTGAAGGGGAGTGAGGCCAGTGTAGGGCAGGTCGCCTGTGATGACCTCCCTGGTGAGACAGCACATGATGGGAGGAGATGGGAGGAGAGAAGAGACAATGGGAGAAGATGAGAGACGTTGTGAATTAACAAGAGACGGTGTGAATTAACAGTGGTGCTGGGAAATCATGGGAGTAGATGGACGAGGATGGAAGAGGAGGGCAGGGTGAAGAATGCGTGCATGGGGAGGTGGGGTGGGGGGGTGGGGGGGTGGGGGAGTTGGGTTCAGTGTGTAAGCATGACAGCCTGGCAATCAGGAAGTAAAAGGCACTTGCATGGAAAACTGCATGTAAAAGAGACCCACCACATGGTGACACCGAAGGAGAAGATGTCAGCGCGATGGTCGTATGGCTGGTGCTCCATGACCTGCCAAGCAAGGTCAGAGAAGAGAAGAAAGGCAATTCTGAAACGTCTCAGAAGCAGACTAGAGTATGGCGGGTGCTCCTCATCTGCGAGAGCAAGAGAAACAGAGCAAGCGGAATACATTTTGAAGCGGACTCTGACGTAGAAATTTTGAGGCACCTCAAAACAGAGCAAGCGGAGGAGGATTTTTTATTCGACTCAGAGAACTGGCGAAGGAATGGAGAACGGGAAATGGCAAAAGAATGGATTCAGCTGGTGGTTGCTTGCAGCACCAGAAGTGCAGTCAGGTACCATCAGGTGCTACCTCAGGTGCCGTCAGGTGTTACCTCAGGTGCCATCCAGCGGTAGGTGCCTGTCTCTGCTGTCATGTCTGGGCGTGACTTGGCGGTGGGCTCCCCACACAGCTGCCCCGCCTGCTTCGATGGCAGCAGCCTTGCCACTCCAAAGTCACACAGCTTCACCACCTGAGGTTGGGACGAGAGGAGAGAGGGGTTGGAAAGATGGAGAGGCGGGAGGAGTGAGGGTTTGGGAGGAGTGAGGGCAGGGTTGGGAGCAACTGGGGACATGACTATGCTGCTACTGGCTCCCCCCACACAGCTTCCCTGCCTGCTTTGATGGCAGCAGCCTCGCCACCCCCAAGTCACACAGCTTCACCACCTGAGGTTGATAGAATGAAAGAAGAAGGGTTGAGATGAGGGAGAGGGGGGATAGTTGATGGCACCTTCACCACCTGAGGTTGGGACAAGGGAGAAGAGGATTGGAATGAGGGAGAGGCGGGCTGGCCCCATTTATATCCCGGTGCACAACCCACTCACACCGCTCTCAACCACATCACACCACTCACATCATTCTCATCCACCAGAAGGTTAGCAGCCTTGAGGTCCCGGTGCACAATGCCTCTCCGGTGCAGAAAGTCCAGCCCGCGTACCGCGTCCCTCAGGATCTTGAGCGCCACTGGCAGGGGTAGCCCGCACCCCCTCTGGTCCAACACGTCCCGCACACTGCATATGATAGGGAGGATGTGCAAAGCCAGGCGCAGGAGGAAGAAGAAGAAAACGGGAAATGAATGTCCTTGCCAAGAAGCCAGTCCAGCCCCTTTTTGAGAATTCTTAGAAAACGGCTTGCAGTGGGAGAAAGCCGTATGACGGTGACAAAGAACCGAGGCAATGCCATACCGCCATATCTGCCCCATGCCATGAGGTCTGTGACAATGAATAGCAGCACGGGGCGGAGAAGAAAAGTGGATTCAACACTAAAACATACCTGCCCCGTGCCATGAGCTCCGTGACAATGAATAGCCGCGGCCAGTGGGAGCATGCCCCGATGAACTGTACCAGGTTCTTGTGCCGTACCATCCTGGCAGAGCAGACAGCACAGGATAGAGAAGGCACATGGACACAGAGGACAGAGAAGACGATGGTGACGTTATTGAGGATCGACGCTACAAGGGAGGAAAATGATGGTGTGTAATTCATGATCATTATTAAATGAGAGAAATTATAATTGTAGTGATAATGCCAAATTTGAATCCCCAGAAATGATGTAGCATTAACTAGTTGGTTAAAGAAAGGAAGAAAAAAACTGAAAACCTATCACTCCCCCACCTTCTCCTCTCCCACTCCCACACGCCCCAAAACACACTACAGGACACTGTAGTGCTCCTCATTATAATCACCTCGTGTTACCACAACGCACCTCATTATAGCGACCTCCTGCTTAAAGCACTGGAGCAGTTCCAGAGCCGTGGCACTTCTCATAGACACCGACATGCCCGCATGCCCCACTCCTTTGCTCCATTCCCACGGGCCCTATTTCACACTACAAGTGACTCCAACGTACCTCATTATGGCAACCTCTTGCTTAAAGCACTGTAACAATTCCAGCGCCGTAGCACTCCGCATAGACACTGACATGCCCGCATCACCCACCCCGGCCGGCCCTCCACGCAACCCTCCCCCAGCGGCGCCCAGATCATCAGCAGCAGCGAGCGTGATGACCTTGACTGCCACGTCCTGCCCTCTGTATGTGCCTCTGCACAGCCGCCCTGACGCCCCTCCGCCCAGCCTCTCGCCTATGCCCAGCTGAGAAAGCCACAGGCGGATGGGGGGGGAGAAGAGAGATGGGAATAGTGGATGGGGAGGAGGGATGGTGGAGATGGGAAGGCAAGAGGGAAAGGGAGAATTTTATGAGACGGAGAGCAAGAGAAAGAGTGTGAGGCAGCCATGTCATCAGCAGAAGCGAGCGTGATGACCTTGACTGCCACGTCCTGCCCTCTGTACGTGCCTCTGCACAGCCGCCCTGACGCCCCTCCGCCCAGCCTCTCGCCTATGCCCAGCTGAGAGTGGTACGGGCGGATGGGAAGAGATGGAAACGGAGATGAGAGATGAGAAGGAAGGGGAGATAAGAAGGAAGGGGACATGGGACGGAAGGGGAGATGGAAAGGGAACACGAGAAAATGGACACAATAACAGTGCAAGGATGTGCATCTAGACTTATGCATGATGACATGAGTGCATACATGGCTACTACAACAGGAGTAGTCCACCTCCCAGTCCTCATACGCCATTGCCTGCACCACTAAAAGGACTCCAATTCTCGGGATATTGGAGCTACTGTATGAATCTTTGGGAAACGGACCATCTTGAACCGGACTCAAATATCCCGAGAATCCTATACATGCAGACGAACGACTCACATCATGGTAATCCACCGCCCAGTCCTCATACGCCATCGCCTCCATAGCTACAGGCGCACAGGAGGACAGAGGACCGCTGCCAGCAGGGAGGAAGAACCAATGCCTGACTCTCAACTCACATCATGGTAGTTCACCGCCCAGTCCTCATACGCCATGGCCTCCACAGCTACAGGCGCACAGGAGAACAGAAAACCGCTGCCAGCAGGGAGGAAGAACTTTGAGGCGCCTCAAAAGTCGCACAGGAGGACAGAGGACCGCTCCAAGCAGGGAGGAAGAACCAATGCCTGACTCTCAACTCACATCATGGTAGTCCACCGCCCAGTCCTCATACGCCATGGCCTCCACCACGGCCCTCAGATTCGCCAGCTGCATTTGCTCTGAGGCCTGCTTCACGTCTCGCTCTCTCCACTTGATGCGCACCACGTGTGTCAGCGCGTCCTGTAGCTCCGCCTCCTGCCAGCACAAGACAGGGCAGGGCAGGAAGAGGAGGGCAGGGAGGATAGCAAGTGTGAGAGGGCTGTGGTCGGTAAGGAAAGCATGGGGCGTTCTCTTCACTTGATGCGCACCATGTGTGTCAACGCGTCCTGTAGCTCCGCCTCCTGCCAACGCAAGTACGGACAGGGAGGGCGGGAAGGGTAGGGCAGGCAGGGAGGGCATCAAGAATGCATGGGGACGTTCTCTTCACTTGATGCGCACCACGTGAGTCGGCGCGTCCTGTAGCTCCGCCTCCTGGCAATGAAAGACAGGAGGCGGAGGGCAGGGAGGAGAACACGTGTGAAAGGATGGTGGTCTGTTAGATGCGTCAGGGCGTCCTACGGCGCCCCCTGACGTACGCAAAACAAGACAGACTACTGAGATGCCTCAAGAATGAGGCCCAAGGAAAAAGGCACTTTAACAATATACAGATTGTGGTGAGCAGATTTTGATTCGGATGAAAGGCAAGTTCGTACGTTAGCATAGAAGTTCTGGTGGTGCTTGGGTGTCTATTGAGGCGCCTCAAAAGATTCTCACATTGGCATAGAAGTTCTGGTGGTGCTTGGGCGTGGTGACAACAAAATCCTGTAACGCCATGCCATCCGATGTGCTGAATACGTGCGCTTCCTGTGGAGGCGTAAGGGGGAAAAGAGCAGCAGGATGTGCCAGGAGCTTGAGATGATGATCGATGATGTGTTGTGCGAAAAAATAAAAACAATTTTGAAAAGCCTTCCCACTAAGACGTGCAAACAATGGCCGACAACGTGTGCTGATGTGTGGAAAAAAGCAGAGTGAATTGGCACAGGCCAGCAGGGAGGGAGGCGGATGCAGTACCATCAAGTCAGGAACACCTGCAACCCCAAACCAAACCAGCACCTGCAACCCCAAACCAACACATGCAACCCCAAACCAACACCTGCTCCCTGACCGAATTCGCGAGCGCCAAATCCAACCACGTCAGCAACCCCAATCCATTCTTCGCGTGTTTCAAATAAACAACCCCAGACCAGACAGCTCCCACTCACGTTGATGTTCAGCTACATCTCCGAATTCGTCAGCGCCTAAGTGAACCACGTCAACAACCGCAGTCCGTTTCTCATGTGTTTCAAATATCAATCCCAGACCAAACAACTCCCCCACTCACATTGATGTTCAGCTCCATGTCCGAATTCGCGAGTGCCGAAGTGAACCACGTCAGCAACCCCGGTCTATCCGGAGCCGCAATCGACACCTCCCACCCGTACACATACCCGTCGCCCTCCGCCCCTTCCACTCCCCCTGGTCCGTGCCAGCTCGACCCCCCACTCCGACTATCATCCTCATCCACGTCTGTCCCTAGACTCGACGCGGACCCTCTCGACCCAACCAAGAATCCCCCGCCGCTCCCCAACCCTCCCGCGCTCCCCATCCCTCCCGCGCTGCTCAACCCTCCTCCCAAACCGTCTCCCCTCAAATCCGACGCTGACGAAAACGGCACGCCTTCCCTTAACGTCGCCGCTAACGAGAAATGACTGCTGCTGCCCTTGTTGTTGCCGATACTACCAGACCCAAACGGCGACCGGCCAGTAAGCGACCCGGATTTGCGGCCAGTCGCGGTGGGAACGGCTTGGTTCAAGTCCACAGCAGAGGATCCTGCCGAGCCTAGGCCGCTCAGGCTGTAGCAGTTGGGGGCGGAGGAGCCGAATGTGGGTTGCGGGATGATTCGCGACAAGGTTCCGGGACAGGGGATGGACCTGCGCGGAGCCGGATGGGACCCATGAAGCTGCGGCTGTGACGCTCCTGCTGCCGCTAAACCAGATGCTCCTCCTGCTGCTGGTAACCCAGATGCTCCAGAATCAGAAGACCCCGCAGAAGCAGCACTCCCGCCAGCCGCTGCTACCGCAGCGGAAACCGCTGCCTTTTGGGAACCTTCCAGGCTTCTGCCGGACGGGCTATTGCTTGCATAATCCGAGCTGTGCCTCCTCCTGGGGGAACTCAGAAATTCCCCTGCGTTCCCCCCGCCTGCCGAACCTGACGACTTGGCTCGGCCGAGGCAAACCCGTCGGACCCGGACGACCGGGCCTTGGTCCGGGTCGGTTTGGTTGAGCGTGCGAGCCTCGTTGATGAGATGCATGTGGAGCAACACGTCCTCATGACGCTGTGGGTTGACGCTGAGAGCGTACCTGCGGTGAGGCGTAAAGACGGGAACGGACAACTCAATGAAGGAAAAGAGAGTGGAGTGATGTGTTACGAGAAAGTGTGTAACATCGTGCACTGGGCGCCTCGAGAAGAGATGAGACGCATGTGGAGCAACACGCCCTCATGACGCTGTGGGTTGACGCTCAAAGCGTACCTGCGGTGAGGCGTTGGGTTGAAAACGGACAAGTTAGAGGAAATAAACAGATTCAGATATGAAAAAAGTATGGCGTTTACTACCGACAAATACAATTCATGTTTCGGGACAGTTAACGAGCCCAGCATGTTCCTCGGATAAGCGTGCTCGTAGGAAGTAATTCGCGCAACTGCGAGGAGATTGCAGACAGCGGCTAAGTACGATGGAGGAAAGTGCAATTGCAGCGTGAATATGCGACAGATGATAGGACGGCGTCCAGTGCGACGACACGAGACGAGCGAAAGAAACTTTTCAAATGATACGAAATCCGCTATCCAGAAACTGCAGAATCCAGTCAGCAGAATGACGGAGTTCTGAACTGTAACCCCAGCTTCAGGGAAACACAGCTGGAGATTTTGTCTCCAGTAGCGAGACCTGAGAAAACAAGACTTCACAACTGAATAGGTCGGTCGAACACTGAGGTCCGACTCCTAAACCTCAGCCTGTTTGTTGTGCTAGATAATTCAGGTGTCATAGAAACGCTAGATACGATAGGAAAGTTAGGAACACTAGGTGAGTTACCTTGACGGCAGCGTTGCGAAGTGCTTAGACACCGAGTCCTGAACCTCTCTACCATGTCCGTCCCTCTGAACATTCTCCAAAACGATCCGCAAAACCGCCTGACAGAGCGACTGCTTCACGGACAGGCCACCTCCGGTTGCCGGAGCCGAACCGACAGGTTGAACCGGCGACGGGAGGTCTTGCTTGAATTCGAGCGACTGACCGAGAGCGTCAGGAGTGGACAACGCGTACGACAAGCGACTGAGGTCTAACGCGGACGAGGATGGGGAGAGTGGAGGCTTGGAGCTTGAAGAGGCAGCCATGACACCCATTCACATGGATATGAGGAGGCGAGACGCCTGTCTGCGATGTGTTGGTCAGTTCGTACAAGTAGTCAATCTTAACGAATTGCTAGCTGCCTGCCTGCACGAGAAGACCTTATCGAGCAGTATTCCTTAACCTCGGCTTCAACACACTAAAGACTCCGTTATCTCCGTGACACCAAATGTCAGTAACGCAAGGACAACACTCCTAAATCTAGACGACCACCTCGCCGTCACCACAAAACAGATTCCGTAAAGCTGCTGAGAAAAAACGAACAGATTACTTCAGCGAAAGAGAATCTAAAAAGATTCACAAAAAGGTCAAATCCTGCTGTGACTTGCAAATGAAATGTCTCGGACGGTCCTTGCTGTAACTTGCAGCAATCAGCTATTGGGGGATTGGGGAGGTTTGCTTCTGAAAGACGTGCTGTGACCAGAACCAAGAGAAGGTTGGGGAAGAGGTGAGCTGGTATGAGCTTTGCTGCTGGTTGGTTGCGCGCCAGAAGTTAGCCTGACAGCCGCCATGGAACTAGTCATGGGACGGTTGGGATCACTGAAGATGGCTTTCTGGACGGTTCAGATGAAATCGCGAGGGTTCGAAAGCGGGAATCCGAAAACGGATTTTGATGAGATTTGCAGGACCAACATCGAGGTGTGGCTGCGCTGGATGCTCCACTTGTCACGAGGAATTCCGAGAATCATCATTCGCCGTCGGATTACAGCAAAACGACCTTCCGAGATCTGGGGAGTCAGCGCTATCGCTTATTGACGGAACTTTTCCCCTTCCGCTTCTCAAAGGGAGAACCAGCCCACTTGACAGAGCAGGCTGAACAAGCATAAATTGATGCTTGTCACAGCAACGTGCAGCGATTCTGTCACAACAGCACTGATCCGCTGAACTTCACACACGACGCGTTTCATGGCCGACTGTGGTTGTGCATGAGTGTTTTGGGTGGTGGTTATTATGCAGAATTGCTACAGTCCACATATCTACCAAACATATTCCGAAATGCATCCCCATGTGTGATAAGAGGGGGTTTGTAACTTCTCTGGCTATACACACAATATCCCTTTTAGCTAGAGGCCTTTTTCCTTGGTGGCACCATCACTTCATCCACCGTGTGCACCACCACAAACTCATTTGTAATAACGTCCGCAGCTACAAGGTGAGCCCCATCGCTTGCACCTTCCCCACCAAATTGCACCCCAGGCACAGAGAGGCGAACCAAAGGATGTCTCGAAGCTGTTGGAAACTGCAGATTAGGGGAAAAGAGGGACTAAGAATCAAGTCAGTGGGTGCTTTGAGGGCCAAACAATGCAACAACCAAACCTCGCTAAGTCCACGAATGAACAGAAAGTTGAAAGCATCACAATTCCATTACCTGGTCAGCAGGTGCCGAGCTGCGCAAGTCAGCCGCAGTGAGTCGTGTCTCAAGGATGTGGAAAAGAAGCACCTGGTGCAGGGGGGAAGGGGAACAGGAGAAGGACACACAGGCACATACAAGCTGAAGAAGTTGCACAGCTATCATTATATGCAACTGATTGGTGTGCAAAATTCTGCACATGAACACCCAACTTCTTCTGTGCTTAACAAACACTTGCCCCAATCTGTTTGTACCTGGATAATACTCTGTGGGTTGTCCGCAATAGAGTCAGCAACAGCAGGCGCCAGGTGATCCCAAGCATTGTTTGACGGCACCATCAGTGTTAGCACTTGGGTCTCGAGCTTGCGGCATAAATACTCCTGAAGCTCTGTAACAACAACCGTACAGGCAGAAGGGACATAGAGACAACAGAGATGCACGCTGAAGAAATTTTGGCTCCTGAGTCTCGAGCTTGCTGCATATGTTCTCCTGAAGCGCTGAAGCAACTACCATGCACTCATAAGGGACATAGAGAGACAACAGATAGTCACGCCGAAAAAAACAAATGTTTCTGAAACAGCATATGATTGAAACACAGCATGCTCAGCAGCAGTTCCAGCTGTTTCTCATGCACCCACTCAACACTTCCCCGAAGCACATCTGCAATTCTTGGGATTTTCCCAGAAGCCCACGTCCACTCACCGGCCTTCTGGAGTGCCTCAGTGAAGCGAGAGAGCCCTTTCTTCTGCAGCGCTGCCAGCAGAGATTCACATGCCACTCGCCCACGGTGTGCTCGGGCCTGGGCCAGCGCAGGATCGTCAGAGACTGCTTTCATCTGCAGGATGTGGATGCATGGGGAGGGTTCAGGATCTGGTCAATAAAGAGTGGAACAGGAACTTTCGGCATATCCCAAGCCAAAGAGCCCGGGCCTGAGCCAGAGCAGGATCGTCGGAGACTGCTTTCATCTGTAGGATATTGATGCGTGGGGAGCAACATGCAAGTGCTTCTGGTGTCGCCTCACAGATTACACAATCCATCACAAAACTGGACTCTTCAAAGGTTAGCGAGGAGCCCATTGTTGACCTTTTAGAGGCGGGTTGGCAAGAAGGGAAGCACCCCAGCACAATGCTGACGTGGCAGAGTACCTGTTTTGAGACATCTCAAAACCTTCAAAATGTTGGCGAAGGAGACTCGCTAGAAAGCACGAGGAATGCTCACCTGCACGAGGGGAAGGATGAACTGGCGCGAGTAGAGACCCGGGTCCATGACATCCGTGATTCCATGCACAGCAATGCTGTCTCCCACATATGCATTAGCGCGCGACACCTGAGGAAGGGTGGGGAAGGAGGCCAACGGAATGAGGCCACTTGCACGATAGGGTGCAAGGTGAGGCAGGGGTATAAACCTGGGTCCATCCGTGATTCCATACACCGCGATGGTGTCATCCGCATATGCATTAGCGCGAGACACCTGAGGAAGGGCGAGGAAGAAGGGAGAACCACAGGGTTGGTGGTAAGCCAAGGGGGATGGGATCTCACGAGTGATGCCCGGATTTGAGTGATGCCGTGCACAGTACTGCTGCCACCGATACATTGTCCGCAATATTTGCGATACAGACTGGCTCACCCAGGTGCAGTGCGGTTAAGGGACAGAACAACGAGGTAGTGAGGTACATGCGGGCCGTAGGGCGAGCCTGCGGGGCCGAATTCGAGGACGGGCGCGTACACCTTGACGAGGGCGACGTTGGAGGAGTAGTAAGAGGTAGTTAGTACGGTGAAAAGCGGTTGACCAGGGAGGTAGAGGGGTTACCTGTGGTCCGTATGGCGAGCCTGCGGGGGCGAACTCGAGGATGGGCGCATACACCTTGACGACGGCGACGTTAAGGAGAATCAGAGAGAGACAAGGAGAGAGAGTACGGTGCAGATCGGTCTAGGGACAGAACAAGGAGGTTTAGAGGTACCTGCGGGCCGTATGGCGAGCCTGCGGGGCCGAACTCGAGGATGGGTGCGTACACCTTGACGACGGCGATGTTGGAGAGAGTGCCGTACTGCACGACGGGGTGAGCAAAGATGAGGAAGGGCGACGAAAGAAGAGGGATGGTGAGCAGAGATGAGGAAGGACGAGGAAAGAAGAGGGATGGTGAGCAGAGATGAGGAAGGACGAGGAAAGAAGAGGGAAGGTGAGCAGAGATGAGCTGAATGCGCTGCCACTCGTGCGCAGCATCGAGAGCAGCTGGCTAGCAGGCTGGCCATGGCTGGCTGAACAACAGAGCTGAATGCGCTGCCACGATATGAGTCAGCCTCTTCTTCACGACGTGGAACAGCAGCTGGCTGGGCATGGCCCACGGTATCGTGCGCAGCTAGCCAGAACCCGCAACCCATCCCCTCCTCCCGCCCCCTCCCCCGCCCCCATCCCCCCCCCCCCACACCCATCCCCGTGCTCGAATCTAAACCAGTTTCACACCTTCGTTTCGGGACGAGCGGATCGCAGCTGGACATGAGTCAGCCTCTTCTTCACGACGTGGAACAGCAGCTGGCTCGCCATGGCCCACGGCATCGTGCGCAGCATCTCCGCGTCTTGCGCCGGCATCGCCGCGAACGCGTCGTCGGTCGGCGCGAGGAAAGTGAACCCCGTGCGCGCGCCGAAGGGGGACGTGACGTATGAGTCGATCAGCTTCGATGCGCCTGGATGCAGAGTGGTGATTAATAGTTGAAACGGGTGAAAGCATGATTCCAGGATGTTCAACCGACGGCCCAGATGCAGGATGATAAGGTGCTTCTCTCGTGGCAGTTAGACAGCGGAAACGAGGGTATTTTCTATGCTTCACGAGGACAGCCCAAATCAATCCTGCTAATAGCCACAGGAGGATCGCGAGTCAGAGGACATGGTGTCAAACGTTGAAAAGAAAGATGAAAGATGATACCAAAGAAATATGAGAAGTCCAAGGTATCATCTTAGCGAAAATTTTAGAAACCAGAAAACGGCTCCGATTTCTGGCACCTCAGAACCTGTAACCCCATTCAAGGCGCCTCAAAAGTTGAGGGCTCCGATTTCAGGGTCTTAAAAGCAAGAACACGGAACTCTAAGAGATTGCCGCGAGGTTTCTGAGCGCAATCCGTACCTGACGATTCCAGGGCCTTCAAGAAAGAGCTGAAGCCCTTCAGCGTATCTCTCCACAGCAGGTCATCGGCGAGGGATCGAGGCGTGACGCTCAGAGCCGCTAGAGTCAACGTTAGGAGCACCAAGAAACTCTTCATGACGGGCGAATGTTCTTATATTGAGCGGAGCGGACGTCGAGGTAGCAGAACGTGTGTGAGCCGGATGAGTGGTGGTGATGGAAAAACACGAATAGTACTGGCGGGTGATTGCGTGTGCGAGCGGTGTCGCTAGACAGCGAGAAGCTGACGGACGTGGCCACGCTTGTCTACAACACGACACTAAAACTAATCTTCTTATCGCATAACGACACTTTCTTAGGTTTGGAATGAGTTTAGCTCAAGCCTGAAACCTGCTGTCCAACACGCAAAAGGGATCAATACAGCGAACGCAAAATTAGAAGGCAGCTCTGTCTGTAGCCCGGAAAGCGTTCACAGGGAGGCTCGGAAAGCCCGGAATGGCGGACTGATGGTTGCAGGAGGGTGAAGGGAGGTGACCCAGGGAAAGGGAATGGACGGTGCTTCTGACGGCGAAGTTTTTTTGGCCGACACGGTGTGGTGTGGTGGGGTGGGATGGTACTCTGGGCAGGGAATGGGGATGGACGGCTTTCAAGAATGGTTTGGCGGGAAATGCCTTGAATCGGGTCGCGCTAGATGTTTTGTGCCAGAATTTGGAATGCGATTCGGAGCATTCACCTTTTGAAATTGGTTACAGCACGACTCGATAAAAAAACGTGAATCCCTCCTTCAGCTATTTTTCGCAAAACCGTGCTACTACATCGCAGGAGCTCCTTCATGCAATCCTTGTTGTAGCCAGTTCCTCAGTTCAAGCTGGCAGAAAACACAAAAACAGAAACAGAAGATGTCACAAAACTCACCACATTCCTCATGTATGCAAGAAGCAACAGCTGTTCGGGCAAAATACTTACAGGAACACGTGGATTCTTGTTGATAGCCTCTTCTAGCTCGTATGCAGTAACCAGCAAACGGGCAGGTAAGAATTCAAGGTCCTCCACACTGGCTGGTTGCTGCCCAGAGGCAACCGCTACAAAATTGGCATCTATAAGCCGCCCGTAAGCCTGTTGAACACAGTGGAATCAAAAGAGTGTGTAAGATAAAACAATAAATGGCACAACCAGTTGTTGCAACGAAGTGGTGTAACCATTGTTGCGTGCACAGTGCACATTACCTGTAAGGCGGATTCTTGAGAGAAGACATCAGAGACAGAGCCTCTGGCCGCCACTCTCCGAGATTCATACTCTGGCCAAGGGAGGGATGGGTGAAGGTGTGGGTGGATGGATCGAGAGGGAGAGCGGCAATCATGCAGCCGGGACAATATGAGCAAGATTGCGGAATTGACACAATGACAGTGAGGAAACAATGGCAACCGAACAATGTCCCAGTAAATAGCATGGCACAGGGTTGAAGAACTAAAAGGGCACGGAAGAGAAAGGGCCCCAGCCCACCTTTGAAGGCTGTGTGGAAATTTATAGGGTGTGATCCACTTGCTGCTCCTTCGACTGTAGTGCCACCAGCCCCACCAGCCCCAGCAGCAGTGCCACCAGCGCCAGCCGCAGCACGTGCTTCGATGCGGTGGAATGCCACTAGCAGATAGAGCTCCAGGACTGACAGACCTGTGTGGGTGCCAGAGGGACGGAGGTGGAAGGGAATGATAAAGTCGACTGATAATTTATTTCCGAATCACTTGAAAGCATCTGCTGGCGGATGGGCTGTGTGGTGGCAGTAAACGCCCTTTCAATAATCAGACACACACGGACATGCCTATGGTCTGGCCTTCTTGCCTCTTGAAACGAATCAAAGAGAATCACCTGAAAGCATTTGCTGTCGGATGGGCTGTGTGGCTGTTAGTGTTAGCCCTCAATCTCACATTTTGTACTTGCACTTTTATATCCTAGTGTCGTATGCACTTTGTGTTTGGTTGGGTGTACACCCACATCCCAACCAAACCCAAATGTGATCTCCAAGCAATATCCAACCCACCAATTGGAGATTGCCTTGGGATTACCCCCAATTCCCTAGGATTGCCCCCGATCCTTACTCTCCCCATCCTTACCTTGCCCATTTCCGATGTACTTAAAGAGCCTTGAGCTCATTACTAATGTATGGATTCTAAGCTCAAGTTCTAACAGTGGCAGCATACCCCCTTTCAATAATTGGACACACACAGACAAGTCTAGGGTCTGGCCTTCTTGCCTCTTGAGACGTCTCAAAAGAAATCACCTGAGAGCATCTGCTGCCGGATGGGCTGTGTGGTGGCAGTAAACGCCCTTTCAATAATCAGACACACACGGACATGCCTATGGTCTGGCCTTCTTGCCTCTTGAAACGTCTAAAAGAGAATCACCTGAAAGCATTTGCTGTCGGATGGGCTGTGTGGTTGCAGCACACGCTCGTTCAAAATCGGCCACTGAAAGCGTCTGGCCTCCTCTCCTCACCATCTCACACACTGCCCGGAACCTGCAGGCAGCAAACAAGAAACAATGGGGGATCATGAGCAAGCAACAAGAACAGCAAAAATTAAGTCTGAAGGAAAACCATCTTGTCGGTTTACCCGAGCTTGAAGATGTGGAGTACTGTGCGGTTCACTGCGGTCGACTGCAGCAGAACGGCCAGTACAGAGGGATGCTGGAAAGTTGCTTCGACCCATTTGTTGAACTCCGTTGCGAATGCAGCCCACGAATCGGTGGTGTTAGGAGGAGCAGTAGAGGTGTGAGATGGATTGGTGGTGTTCGGAGGAGCAAAGTGGAGGGATGGCAGCCTCTGCACCGGGAGAGTCAGGGTTGAACGAAGCAATCTGTGGAAAGGGAGGAGACGAGGGGACACTGTGAGTAACTGGAGACTGAAACAATCAAAAGCTGTCTCAGGCGAGAGGTCCCACCCTCCTTCGCAGGTTAAGTTCAGCATTGGTTTACAGAGTGAGTCTGCTCCCACCCCTCACAGTGACAGCTCCAGCAGTTGAAGCGAAAGTTTGCAAAAGGACTGTACCAGGGAAGGTTATGAGGCTGCATGCAGCGGAAGGAATCTGATCTTGCGGTTTGAAAAGTCGCAAAGTGCACCTTTGATTTTGAGACTTGTCATCCCGACAGCAGTCATAGTACTACCTGACAAGGTCCTGAGGCTGCGGCGGAAGGAAGATGATCTTGCGGTTTGAGAAGCGCGACCGCACTCGCTTCTCCAGAAGCTGGTCTGCGTCCTGGGGAGAGGGGGTGGGTGGGCACAAGACGAAGGTGGCAAAGAGGATAGAAGCAGGCAAAGGGTCATCATCCGCATGTGGGTGTTTTTGACATTGGAGAAGCGCAGTCGTACACGCTTCTCCAGATATAGATCTTCGACCTGGTGAGAGGCTTCGAAAGGGGCCGGTAGGAGGGAATAGAGAGGTTTGGAGTATGCGTGCTATAAAGGCCAGGCGCATGTGGGGAGCACGCATGCGATTGGGGAACTAGGCAAGCACGAGGTGTTCATGATTTGCTAGCAGAAGCAAGAAGTTCCTGGAAGTTCCTGGAAGTTGCTGGAAGTATGTGACACATACTTGGGAGGCGGAAATCGCGATAACAGCCAAGTGAGAGTCTGGGGAGTGCATGAGATCCAAGAGCAGGTAGAGTATCCCCTGCTTGCCACGCTGTGACAGGTGGGGGAATGGAGGGGGAGACAGTCAGAGGGAGGTGTATTTTGGGGAGACTCATGGAAACAATTTTTGAGGCAGCTATGAAATGGTCTCATCACACGAGGAGGTGTAATGGGGAGACCTGCAAAGGCCAAGTGACATGTCTGCCGTAGCACCTCAAGAATCGTGTCTTCAAAGGAGGAAGAGGAAGTGAAGGTGTGGGTATTGAGAAGACTTACAGTCTACAAACTGTTGAGGCGCCTCAGGTATGGCAAAAAAACAACAAAAAAAAACAATCGTAAGAGATTTGTGTCATTACGTGAGGAGGTGTGTTGGAGAGACGGCCCTTCCAGCCATTTGAAAGGATACTCACAGAGGCAAAGTGGTCGAACTCGTCGAGCACCATCATGAGCGATCTTCTGGCTTGCGAGCAGAGCCTGCAGCGCAGAGGAGGAGGAGGAGGATGATTGAGTCGGCATGAGAGAGTGTGGCTTTCTGGATGGATGGGAGGGAGGGGACTTCTGAGACGACTCAATACTCAAAGTTACAGTGCGGTACAATGCAGTGCGATACAATGCAGTGCGATACATACAGTGCGGTGCAAGGGAGTGCGGTGCAACACGTGAGAGGCAGGGTGTGGCAGGACAAAACAACTGAGTCTTGACCGATGAAAAAGCAACTGATGTTGCCAGGAAGCTGAGCACCTGAAGGGACAGACAGGCACCTGAGGATCTGAAAAGGCACCTGAAGGGGAAGATGGGTACCTGAGGACGTGGTGAAGCATCCTGACGTTGTCAGAGTAGGAATGCTGTCGCGTGATTGGTGGAGGGGAGACGGAGGGGGGAACGAGGACAAGAAGTCAGACTGAGAATTGCGATGCGGTGGGGAGGAGGAGGTAGCGGTGCAGCAGTAGAGAGGAGGGCAGAGGGAGGCGGAAAGTCATTTTAAAGAGAAATTCTCACACTGATTCAGGGTAATGGGGAAAAGAGCACTCTGAAATCTCAAAGTGACTGCAGAGTACCAGGGAGAGAGCGTCGAGGTGGGGCAGAGAGGTTGCTTTTGAGTCGACTCAAAAGCAAATCTCAAAGTGGCTCAGCGTACCAGGGAGAGGGCGTCAAGGTGGGGCAGAGAGGCTGACAGCTGGCGAGCCATTTCCTGGAGAGGAGAGGGCGAAGGAAGGCGGGGAGTGGGGGAAGGCAGAGGTGTGAGATTGCAAGGAATGGAAAGGCCTGGCATGGTATGGCATGGCATGGTATGGCATGGCATGGTATGGTATGGCATGGCATGGTATGGAAAGGCCTGGCATGACATGCATGGCATGGCATGTTGATGAGCCCACCTTGAGAGCAGCTCGGTCGTCAGCATGCATGCGACCATCCAGATGCACCTGATGGGGTGGGATGGGGTGGGATGGGGTGGGATGGGGTGGGATAGGGTGGGTGGGATGATGGGATTATGAGATGGGATGGTCGCATGGCAACGCATGGGGTGGCAGGGTACGGTGTACAAGGATGGAGGGTGCACGATGGGTGGAGTAGGAAATGCACACAATGGCATGGCATGGAATGGCATGGCATGGCGTGGCATGGCATGGTGATATGCATAACACTGAGGGCCAAAAGGTAGCCAGCCACGTGTCACCCAGAAAAACAGCCACGTGCCAGCACACGCCAGCACATGGCAGCACACGCCAGCACGTGTCGACAGGTGACTTACAGCAAGAAACGGTGGCGTGTGGGGTGATGCACGCAGGTCAGCCAACGCACGCTGCAGCACCTGGTGGGGAGAGGAGCAGCAGGTGGGGGAGGGAGGCGAGGGGTGGGTGGAGTGGGAAGAACTGGGAAGGGACGGCTTTAAGGCGCTCAAAACACGCCACCCACAGCCCTCTGCGCCCAGCAGCAGCACCCACCAGCGTTTTGCCGCATCCTCTGGGTCCCAGCAGCAGCAGCAGCAGCAGCAGCAGCAGCAGCAGCAGCGAGAGGCAGAGCCCGTTGCACTCAAAGGGCAGCACAGCAGACGGCCTCAAAGGTGGCGCCGTAGGTAGCATAGCACACGGCACGACACAGCACGGCACGAAACAGCACGGCACGACACAGCACGACACGACACAGCACGGCACGACACGGCGAGGCAAGAGACGGCACTCACCGGCTTCTTGCCGCATCCTCTGGGTCCGAGGAGAAGCAGCGAGAGGCACAACCCGTCGCACGCCACGTCACGCAGCATGCCGTGCAGCCGGCACCAGGGAAGGAGGGTTTTAAGGGACTCCAAACACAGCCCACAGCCCACGGCACTCACCAGCGTCTTGCCGCATCCTCTGGGTCCGAGAAGCAGCAGCGAGAGGCAGAGCCCGTCGCACGCCACGTCGCGCAGCATGCCGTGCAGCCGCTCGCGATTGATCTCGTTCTCCGCCGTCAGAGGGACCTCCCTGATACGTCCCTCCGCCTCGTTGCTCTCTGTCTCCGCTACAAGCTGCCCCGTTTGTGTCGCGCGGGTACACGCATGAGTCTGCGCTTCTATCGCGGGGCTACTGCTGCCGCGATCCCCACGGCTTGCCACGGCGCTCGGCTGACACGTCAGCCGCTCCTTCAGCACGCGCACCGCCACGGCCGCGTCATTCTCCTCCATGGCCACCGCGTTCGACGGCGCGTTTCGCGGCGGGACTGCCAATGGTGCCGCTTAAGCGCCAAAATATCGAGGTCAAGGTGGTTCCAGGTGCAAATAACCTGTTTCTCGTTCGTTTCGGGCCGGTCTGATGTGGTCTAGCGAGGTCTAATGCGGTCTGAAGGGCTACTTCTTCGGAACGGGTGCTAGACCGCTAATCTGGGATTTTGGGGTTGAGATGGAATTCGCGGATTTATGCGAACCCTAATCCTCATCAGGATAAATCTTAACAACTCTCAAGGACGATCAGTCCGTAAACATCCCTAATCTCTCATCGACTCCACCAACCGTGCAGTCATATCAGCGTTAAGACGAGCGCGCATTGGTCCTCTTGGAGGGGTCCTGCATCGAACAATCTAGTAGAGCCTTAGGAATATTCCACGCATTTTGAACGTGCGACGGTCGATTGGTCGCCGTGCGACTGCGTGTGCGACGTCGCCCGGCGACGAGAATGGACGCGGCGAATCTGAAGCTCGCGGAGGGGCTGGTGTCGCCGTCGTACGTGCGACAGGGCGCTCAGTCGCTCGCGCAGCGACACAACATGGTGCGACTGCCACGTGGCATTCAGTCGTAGCTATTTGGTGAAGGCGTTAAGGCTACCGCACTCTCATAAAAAAAAAAAAAGTGAATGTGTGCACAGTGGATTTCCCCTGTCCATGTGCATGTATGCCTGCGTGCCACGTGGCACATCACATGGCAGGTGAGGAGCCTGTTATCGCAGAGGAAGCTCCCAAGGGACGGCTGGGATGACGACACGATCGAGTTGCTGCTCAAGGTGAGATCGTCGCTCTCCTTTTCACGGGCCTAGTGAGATTAGTGAAATTAGTGAGATTAGTGAAATTAGTGAGATTAGTGAAATTAGTGAGATTAGTGAAATTAGTGAGTTTTTGAGACGTCTCAAAAGCTCACTCATTTCTCGTAGCAACAGCAGCATTAGACCCGCCGCCCCTTGAGGCGACTCAAACCCACTTCCATCTCCATCCCACCCCATCATCATCACACCACATCAGGACCTGTCACTGATGGACAGCAGCGGGTTCAAGGGGGGCGTGGGCATGGGGGAGAGGGAGGCGCGCTGTGCAAGCGGGCTGGTGAAGCGGAGGCACTACGGCATGACGCATGGCATGGGGCGATCGGGGAACATTGCAGACGAGCAGCCTAAGGTGGGTCTCAAGATTGCTGCTCTCTCTGTGAGTGCTTAGGGTCATGTCTGATGCAACGTGGCATGGCACTTTGGAATGACGCACGGCATGGGGCGATCAGGGAAGATCGCGGATGAGCAGCCTAAGGTGGGTGAGGGTGTGTTAGAGGAGGCATTATTGCTTCGTGTTGTGCCATGGCATGGCATTATGACAAGGCACTACGGCATGACACACGGCATGGGGCGGTCGGGGAATATTGCGGATGAGCAGCCTAAGGTGGGTCACGGCGTGTTGCAGTATGCATCTAACGCCACCTTGACCTCGACGCTTTGACATGTGCCATGGTGCCATGTGCCATGTGCCATGCCACGTGCTATCATGCTATGTGCCATGGTGCCATGTACCATCCCCCATGTGCCACGTGTCTTGTGCCATCTCCCATGTGCCATATGCCATGCGCCGTTTACCATGTGCCAACTACCATGTACCATCTACCATGCACACCCCACCTATCCACCAGGCAACAGCATCAACGCTGGCATGTCGCCTCACCAATCTGATTGTCAAGGACGCCCTCTCTCTTGCAGGCCACAATGCCTTCTCTCTCTCAGGCCTCAATGCTGGTCCTTTATATGACATCTGTTCCGCCTTTCCACCATCCACCATGTGCCATGTGCCATGTGCTGTGCCCCATATACTGTCTACTGATCCACCAGGCAGCGGGGTCAACACTCGCATGCCGCCTCACCAATCTGATTGTCAAGGATGCCCTCTCCCTCGCAGGCCTCAAAGGTAATCCATCTTTAATTCTCGTTTTTTATGGCATGCACTTAACCCATTCAGCGTTTTCCTGCATTCGCTATCTAATGACCATGCTCCATGTGAATTTTTTTAGAATTCTCAAAAAACGCCCGTGCATGCATGATTCCGCCATGCACGTATCCCCTCCCCCCATGACATCCATGCACGTATCCCCTCCCCCCATGACATCCATGCACGTATCCCCTCCCCCCATGACATCCATGCATACACGCTTGCGATCCATCAGACATATCAGCAGCGACGGTGCTGCCAGTGGCAACGGGCATGGCTCTCACTCTCACCCTCCTTGCTCTCAAAGCCAGCAGACCCGCCGCACAGTGAGTGAGTGAGGGAGGGAGTGAGGGAGGGAGGGAGGGAGGGAGGGAGGGAGGGAGGGAGGGAGGGAGGGAAGGGCCATGGAGTGACGATGCTACCTGTGGCAACTGGCATGGCTCTCACTCTCACTCTCCTCGTTCTCAAAAAAAGCTGACCCGCTGCGCAGTGAGTAAGTCCGAGAGTGAGGGGGGGGAGGGAGTGAGGGAGGGACGGAGGGAGGGAGGGAGGGAGAGAGGAAGGGAGGGAGGGAGGGATGGAGTGAGGGAGGGAGGGAGGGAGGGATGGAGTGAGGGAGGGAGGGAGGGAGGGAGGGAGGGAGGGAGGGACGGAGGGAATTTGTTGACTGAGCAATATGCATGTGCCATGTGCTTTGTGCCATCTGCATGTTGTTCAATGTTTCCAATGTGCTGTGATGCGGCATGCTCATGGCATGGCATGTGCCCCATGGCATTGCATGGCATGGTATGACATGGCAGGTACGTGCTATGGTCGCGCATTGACCAGAAGACATGCCTCAAGTGCATCCTCACAGCCGGCCTCACTCCCGTGGTGGGTGGACTCAAGCATGCATTCATGTGCTCTAAGTTACTCAGTTTATGAGACACACGTGCTATGGTCTGTGCTGCTCTGATTGCACCCACATACACATGCCTCAAGTGCATCCTCACTGCCGGCCTCACTCCCGTGGTGGGTGGAGAGGAGAATGAAGCATGCATTGGTATACCCTAACTTACTCCTCTAATGTACTAAGCTACCTCCTGTTTCTATCACAGTGCTCTTCACTCACGCATGCATCCCCAACCCCTGTCGCCTCACCCAAACCCTTCACAGGTGGTTCCCCTGCATAAGCAGGGAGACCGGCTGTGGACGGACCTTGCAGCCATGGAAGGGGAGGTGCACTCCGGAGGGACGGACAGCATCCCACCAACTACCTTTCAAATCTCATCTTTTCGTTCTGATCGCTCTTTTTTTCTCCACCCTTCACAGGTGGTTCCCCTGCATAAGCAGGGAGACCAACTGTGGACGGACCTTGCAGCCATGGAACAAGAGATCCACTCCCGAGGAGCGGACAGCATTCTCTGCGTCCTATCCACCACCTCCTGCTTCGCTCCCAGGTGAATTTTCAGGTGCCTGCCTCTCTGCACCACTCGCTCGACTGTGCCACCGCCTCTCCATCCCGCACGTCATCAACAACTCATACGGCGTGCAGAGCGCTACCATTAGTGCTGCCATTAGTGCTGCCATTAGTGCTGCCATTAGTGCTGCCATTAGTGCTGCCATTAGTGCTGCCATTAGTGCTGCCATTAGTGCTGCCATTAGTGCTGCCATTAGTGCTGCCATTAGTGCTGCCATTAGTGCTGCCATTAGTGCTGCCATTAGTGCTGCCATTAGTGCTGCCGTTAGTGCCGCCGTTAGTGCCGCCGTTAGTGCTGCCATTAGTGCTGCCATTAGTGCTGCCATTAGTGCTGCCATTAGTGCTGCCATTAGTGCTGCCATTAGTGCTGCCATTAGTGCTGCCATTAGTGCTGCCATTAGTGCTGCCATTAGTGCTGCCATTAGTGCCGCCATTAGTGCCGCCATTAGTGCTGCCGTTAGTGCTGCCGTTAGTGCTGCCGTTAGTGCTGCCATTAGTGCTGCCATTAGTGCTGCCATTAGTGCTGCCATTAGTGCTGCCATTAGTGCTGCCATTAGTGCTGCCATTAGTGCTGCCGTTAGTGCTGCCGTTAGTGCTGCCGTTAGTGCTGCCATTAGTGCTGCCATTAGTGCTGCCATTAGTGCTGCCATTAGTGCTGCCATTAGTGCTGCCATTAGTGCTGCCATTAGTGCTGCCATTAGTGCTGCCATGAAGTGCTGCCATGAAGTGCTGCTCCCTGTTGCTGCATCCCCCCTCCCGCACTACCATCCCACCCAGAGCCCCTGATAACGTTGAGGCCATTGCTCGACTGTGCCACCGCCTCTCCATCCCGCACGTCATCAACAACGCATACGGCGTGCAGAGCGCAGCCATTAGTGCTGCCATCACACGCGCGTGGAGGAGGGGGCGGGTGGATGCGGTGGTGCAGAGCACCGATAAGAACTTTCTTGTGCCGGTCGGTGGGGCTGTTGTTGCCGCTGGTCCTGGGCGGTCAACACTGGTCAATGCAGTCAACGCCTCGTACCCCGGTGGGTGTTTTGGAATTAGATGGACGAGGCGCCATGGAGGAGGGGGCTGGAGGTGTGGAAAAGGGAGGGGGGGGGGTGGGGGGAGGAAAGGGCCGTGGCAGAGGGGGCATGGAGGAAGGGGCGTGGAGGAGAGCGACTGCTGCAGTAGTGCGGCAACCTTCTTCCCCACGCCTTGCACTTCACATACCAAACCCATGCCCCATCCCGCACCCCATCCCACACCCCATCCCACACCCCACCCCACCACACCCCACCCCACCCCACCCCACCCCACCCCACCCCACCCCAGGCCGGGCGTCCATCTCGCCCATCCTAGACGTCCTCATAACCCTCCTCTCCCTGGGGGCGAGCGGGTGGCAGGCGCTGCTGCAGGGGCGAGAGCAACTCTTCCCTTACCTGAGGGAGAAGATGCGAGGGGTGGCAGAGAGGCATGGTGAGTGGTATTAGGTCTGGCAATGGCAGTCGCTGCTGCAACAGCGATAGAAGCTCTTTCCTTACCGGAGGGACAAGATGCGAGGGGTGGCAGAGAGGCATGGTAATTGGGCATAGGTGGAAACCACACAGTTGCCGGCACTGCCTGGATGGGAGTGGCTGTTCGCCTGGGAGAGGATGGCGCTGATGCAGGAGCGGGAGCAGCTCTTCCCTTACCTGCGCGAGCAGATGCAAGGAGTGGCAGAGAGGCATGGTGAGTGGTATTAGGTCTGGCAATGGCAGTCGCTGCTGCAGGGGCGGGAGCAGCTCTCTCCATACCTGAGGGAGAAGATGCGAGGGGTGCCAGAGAAGCACGGTGAGTGGTGTGGTGTTATGTGGAAACGGCAGTATGCTGCCCGGTACTGTCTGGTTTAGCAATGGCAGTCGCTGCTGCAGGAGCGAGAGCAGCTGTTTCCTTACCTGAGGGAGAAGGACTTCCAGTTTGCTTCATTTCTGAGCTTCAGTTTCAGGCTTGTACTGATGAAGGCTTGCAAAAGCCGAAACTAGTTTGCAATGTCCCTGATCCTTTAGTGAAGATTTGTTTTAAACTAGCTCTCTCAACAACGTTCTAAGCTAAGCACACACCAGGCTCCTTCCGCCATTTCTCATGGAGTTTGTTTCGTTGTCCTAAAACAACACGAGTTGATGGAAGTAAGGCCTCCGCAGCTCCTTACCTGAGGGAGAAGATGCAAGGGGTGGCAGAGAGGCTTGGTGAGAAGTCTTAGCAACAGTAGAAGCCTCCCCACCACATATCTCCTCCCCCTTCCCCTCGTGCCATCCTTGACATATCCAGGAGAGAGGCTGCTGCAGTCGCCACACAACCCCATCTCCCTAGCCATCTCCCTCTCCTCCCTCATCAAATGTCACCTTTTCCCTGTCACACCTCCTCGTATAACCTCCCCCTCCCTTGTGCTAAAACTTATCTCTACAGGAGAGCGGCTGCTGCAGTCGCCAGACAACCCCATCTCCCTCTCCTTCCTTACTAGATCTCACCTCCCCCACGTATCACCTCCTCCTCCCCCTTATCTCTACAGGAGAGCGGCTGCTGCAGTCACCAGACAGTCCCATCTCCCTAGCCATATCCCCATCCTCCCTCATCAAATATCACCACCCCCACATATCACCTCCCCCTCCCCTGACAGGAGAGCGGCTGCTGCAGTCGCCAGACAACCCCATTTCCCTAGCCATCTCCCTCTCTTCCCTCGTCCCCGCTCACGCACGTGCTGACGTGGCATGCGCTGCTGCTGACTCAGCACCGCCAGCCATGTCAACGCCAGCTGGTGCTGCTGCTGCTGACGTGGCTGGCTCGGAGCCCTCGTTGGCAACAACAGTGGAAACATCAGAGAAGCTAGCAGCTTCTGTGTTGTTGGCACCATCAGCAGCACCACCACCAGTAGCATTACCACCAGCAGCAGCAGCGGGTGTGAAGCAGAGGGAGACATTCGACTCGGGAGAACAAACCAGCTCACCAGCAGCAGCACCAACAGAATCAGCACCACCACCTCCAAAACCACCAGCAGCAACAGCAGCAGCAGCGGGTGTGGAGCTGAGGGAGACATTCGACTCAAGACAACTCACCATCCCACCAGGAGCAGCCGCTCCACCAGCCACTGCCGCTTCTCCCGCCTCTCCTCTCTCCATCCCACCAACCCAAGCACCTGCATCCCTGCGTGATCCCTCTATAAAGACCTCGACGCCCTCCACCCCCCCACCGCACACGTCCTCCACCCCCCCACCACACACGTCCTCCACCCCCCCACCACACGCGTCCCCCACCCCCATCCCCTCTGCTGAGGCCACCTCTACCATCACCACTAAAGCGGAGACCACAAAAGCGCCCCTCAAGTCACCACCACAAGCCCCCCCCATCACATTCCTGGGGTCGATGCTCTTCTCACGGTGCGTCTTGCCTTTTTCGCCTCCCCTTTTCCATTGACTTTTTCTTGATATAATCAATGTTAATCTGGGCCAAATTGTATGTGCATCAGGTTTGTATCAAGTAATTCTGCAACGAATCATTCTCCAGCAAAGTCAGTAAAAAAAAAAAATTCACATCTTGCTATTCCTCACTCCCTCTTTCTCAGCCCCTCTTCCTCAGCCCCTCTTTCTCAGCCCCTCTTCCTCAGCCCCTATTTCTCACACCCTTTTTTGCCCCTGTTTGTCTTACCCTCTTTCTCGCACCCTCTTTCTCTCTCCTCCCATCGCCCATGTCAGCTTTGTGTCAGGTTGCCGAGTCGTGCCGCAAGGTGTGAAGCAAACCATAGGAGGTGTGGCACTGCAAGGATTCGGATCATCTTATGATAGGTACACATCCTGAACGTAACACTTGTCATCCGTGTTACGTATGTATCGAGTCAAATCTTGGTTACCCTGTGCTGAGTGTGTGCAGCTCATTTTATTGCTACCGATATTTGTTCTGTGCTTTGTCACATACCCTGCAACCTATGTCACTGGAACGGCATTAGCTGCTACCGTACGGTTTTCATCGTTGACTCAAAACACATTTACCTTTCCATTTCTGTTGTTTTTGCTGCCTATCTCCTGTGTGTGATGAAGCTACCCTGTACCCTATCTCACGGCAGCTGCTGCTATAGGAGGTTCAAAGGAAGAGGTGGACGACTTTATTGTCCGCCTTGATACCTGCCTTGTTGATTTCAAAAAGAAGTTGCGGAGTTCCCGAGGGCTGGAAAAACCTAAAACATAGACCCGGAGTTGACACTCTAAACCCAAAACCCGGTTTAGTCTGGCCAAGTCACAGTCAAGTTGACGTATGAACAATATACGGTGATAATGGTGTAGTGCATTTATCAAGTGTTGTACGATCTCTGTCAGCTATTGAACATAGTTTTATAAACAGTGCCTTTATCGACATCGAATCGAATGGGGGTCCACTTAACTATCAAACGGGGAGGGGAGGAGTACCTAACCTAACATGCCATGGAAACCTCCTAGTTGTTTCAACACTATCAAGTCACCATCTCCACCATCCCCCTTTTGAATTTGTACGTCCCTTCTTTAGGATCATATCCACTAGACCCATCTACAAGCATCACCGTTACCAGTACGCCAGATACTACATGTACCACAAGCCTTTGTTTGCCTTGGTCTTATGTATGTTCTATTTGTATCACTGTGTAATTCCCTCCATTTCTTTGTTAACGAATTTATTTGAGGATTCTTGAACACGGAGGAATTGGGCCACAGTCGCTTTACTGTGCTGGCTAGTGTAAATTGTTTGCAACTCAGGGAGATTTACTGGAACTACCCTGTGTTTTCGGGTGATGTTTCTGCATCTTCCTGCTATGACAAACTGAGGCAGTAACTGCATTTGTCGGCTTGTCTTTGGATTTTTTTCGCAAGTTCAGAGAGGAGCAAACATGGGACTGAATTGCACTGACACTCTTGCCTTGACACCGTTCCACGACCTTCCATTGTCATTTTTCTTGAGCGTTCACGAAATCTACATAACCATGCAAGCTATTGCTTGTTTCAGACAATAATAGAAAGACATTTGCCGTTTTTCTAGTACACTTCTAAGGGCACATTGCTCAGGCAGGGTGAACCTTGTTCGCAAATTCGACCTGTCAGGGCCGCCCACGACACCTCAATCGAGAGAACCCCAAGTGCGTGATTAGGTCTTGCGTGCTTACTGTAGTTCAAGCTGGACGGTTCTGACTTCCGTTCTCGTCGAAACGTCCAACGAGCACTCTGCACCACAGTCGTTGACATTTCACATGGTGGAGAGGATTGAGCCACCCCAATACAACACCACCACCACAACGTCAACCCTCAAAACAACTGGAAGGTGGCACCCTTGAACGAACCCCATGGGATTGTGGCGGGAGAACAGGCTGTTCCACAACTCGAGCATTCGTAAAGAACGCACGTGAAACGCCAGGTACCGAGACCGAGAACCTTAACCAGCTAGAAATGGAAGATATACAAACGTAGACTTCACCGTTTTCGGGCCCCAAGGTATTGATGGTGTTGTCAATTCCAGAGGTACCCAGAGGTATTATAGGAGTGATTTTTAGAACCGGAATGAAAGAGTTGACCTTTTCTATGTTGCGTTGCGTGTCTCAACGTCAGGACAAAAATGCCACACGTGAATGAACTGCAGGTGAAACAGTGGTTGTGCGCATGCATCTGTTAAAGCCGTGGCCCAACTATCAACTTCAACTTCAAAGTATTATAGCTTGGAAGAGGTTGACCCAGGCAGTTCAGAGCCGAGAAGTTTGTCCTCTTCTGGTTTTCCAGTTTTTTCGTCCAATAGAATTCAAGTTACTCACATGCCATGTTTGCCATTGTTGCGACGTGGGATCTTTGCGAGTAACTTTGGGCTTGCGAGCCCCACACTGCCAATCACAGCCTCTCGTGAAGCACCCTCATCGGGGCCCGTAACCAATCACATCACAAGACCCACGGAGCTGCTTCGCAGCGCATCTGAAATCACATCAGCGCCGCGGCACGCGGGTGGGGCAGGGCAAGTGAGTCCACACTCACTCTCGCCTCAGGTGAAAAACAGGAGCCCTGGTCTTTCCCTTTCAATCAGCCCTTGCTTTCTCCCCCACCCGAATGCACATTTCTTCGTTCCCCCCCCTTGCACCCAACCTGCCCCGATTCCACCGACCCTCTCTTTCTTCCAGTTTTTTCTCCACTCCTTCACTCCTCTGTTCCTTCAGAGACTCCAGAAATGTTCTCGTCCTTTTCCCAAAGCACAAATTTGCCTCTGGCACATCAACGCCGCCTACGCAAAAGGATATCCCAAACCCGTCGGGACTCAGTTGCAACTGTTATAGTCATCCTTTTTCTATTGCCAAGCTCGCGGTAGCGGCGTTCTCATCCTCCCTCTGCAGTTTGAAGGATAATGCACGCGGTAGAAGCTATGTCGCTCCCCGTCCGCGAGTGCGGCGTTGGCCCCACATCAGCGGAGAACGCTTCCCCCTGGCTTCCGCCATCAGCTTCCGCCGTACGCAGCCTGCACGCAGAAGTCGTTCGGCGGAAGGCATCCTCGTCGAACGACATGGACAAGGAGTGGGGCGATGACCCCGCGCTCGCTGACGGTGCATGCGCGCACGGGGAAGCCGCAAGCACTGCTGGGGAAACCGACGGGTCCCGCGTCAGCCGCAGAAGCGCGTTTCTCCGCCTCTTGCGCGGGCGGACCGGAAGTACCCCCCTGGAACCAGGTAACGCCACGAGCGCCCCCCCTGCGCGCACATCCGCCGACCTCTTCCGCTTCCGCCGCTCGCGGGGCGAAGGGCGGTCGACGGCATCGCGGGAAAAATCCCCTCCCAAGATCGGCGGCGACGCCACCGCCACCAGTTCCGCAGCAGCAGAAGGAGGAGCGGAAGGAGGGCGGTCGACGACATCGCGGGAAAAAAACCTTCCCAAGATCGGCGGGGATGCCACCAGTTCCGCAGCAGCAGGGGGCGCAACGGAAGGAGTGCGGGAAGGAGGAGGACGAGGAGGGGGCGGGGACGGGGGTGGAGGGGGATTAGCTGGAGCATATGGAGCAGGGGGAGCGGGGGAGCGCGCCTTGCCCCTTGCCGCAACCCGCGGCTCCAATGAGGTCACCCCGCCGCCTGGATCTAAAGTAGCTTCTAAGGCGCCTCGAAAGTCTGGAACTGCGGTACCAACCTTGCCGTCTGATGCGGGAAAGGGATCCTCTTCGACTGACGGGCTCCCGGCGGCCGCAGATGGACACGTGGATGGCGGTGACGGTGATGACGTGTCAAACTTTGCGGGGTTCCACGTGGCAGCTGGTACCTCGTCGTCGAGGAGTAAAGCGCCAACCCTGAAGGAGGAATTCGCCTTGGAAGCCGCTTCGCCACGCGCCCCGGCCTTCCCCTCTCCTTCCGCCTTCCCCGCTTCCTCCGCCTCCCCCACTTCTTCCTCCTTCCCCGCCGCTCCGTCCCCGTCTTCCGCCTCGGCGCATTCGCCCGCCCCCGTGCCTCGAATCGCGCGTTCCGCCTCCGTCAACGCGCAGACCCGCCGTTATCCCCCGCCCATGAGCGGATATTCCGGCCACATCCTTCCGCGTCAGCGGAAAGACACCGTTTCTAACACTGACACTAACCGTAACGTTAACGTGAACGTTAATATTGACGATGACGACGATGACGAAGACGGAGTGGTTATGGCGCGGCCCGTGCTGCGGAGAGGCGCAAACCGCGGAGGTTCCGCGGATCTTGCGCCGTCCGCAGAGCGGCAGCTGGCCGCAGCGGCGGCGGATATGCTCCGCGGATTGGGCGGCGGGGCGCAACAGACCGGAGGAGTCGGAGGCGCGGGCAACTTACACCGCGCAGCTTCCCCACGTGGTATCCCTCCTGGTGGAAAGGTTTCTCCTCGCAAGAGTCGAGACGGCTTACAACGAGGCAGCTTACAGCGAGGCGGTGTCCACAGCGGCAGCAGCAGCAACAGCAGCAGCGCGAACAGCAGCTATAAGGAGAGACCTAATTCTCAGAACGGCGGCGGCGGCAGCGGCGGTGGGGGAGGTCCCGAGGGTGCATCCGCGATAAGGAGGCTCTCGATAGAGGTGCAAGAGAAGCTGAAGCATCTGCAAGTGTCGTTTGATGATTCCGCGCCCGAAGCTGACTCGGATATCGCGAGCCCTTATGACGAGGGAGCTGATAGTTCTAATATCGAGGGTTCTTATGGCGAAGGAGAAGGGCAGAAAGCGGGTCCAATGGGGAACGCGCCGCTGCCCTCACCATCACCCGCCTCCTCCGCCTCTCAAGAGCGTTCCCCCCAGTCCAACTCCTCAATCTCCCCCCATGCGCTCCACCCTCCCCTCTCCTCTTCCCCTCTCGGCGCACCCGCTTCTTCCCCTTTCCGCCGTCGTCGCGCCCGGTTTCCTTCTCCTTCCGCCTCGCCCCACGCCGGCATGCCTTCCCCCTCCGCTTCCCCCCACGCACGTATGCCTTCCCCCTCCGCCTCCCTTCACGCACCCCCCGCTTCCCCCCGCACCTTTGCCCCACCAGCCTCCCCCAACGCTCTTCCCCGGTCGTCCTCCCCCCACGCTCCCCCATCCGCCTCCCCCCGCGCCCCAGTGTCTTCCCCTTCCGCTTCCCCCTCGCGCCAGCGCAAGCCAGTCCCCGCCATATTCTCCCGCCCCCCTCCCCTTATCACTTCCCCAATTCAGCCCACTGCCGCCTTCCCCCTGCTCGCCTCCTCCCCCGCCCAATCCCCCACCTTCCCCTGCCCAATTTCCTCCGCGTCATTCCCCTCTGCCCCTTCCCCCACACGCCCCCTCGCATCCCCCTCCAAGCCTCCGCGCTCCCCCACCCGTTCCCCCGCGCTCTCCCCCTCCTCCTCCCGCCGCTCCCCGCGCGCCTCTCCCATCCCCCGGTCCCAGTCTTCTTTCCAGAACCCCTTTCCTTCCCCAAAGTCCTCTCACGCTCGACGCCAATCTCTCGACCTCAGCCAATTTCCCCCCTCCTCCCTGCCCCACCACCAGGGGTTTCCTTCAGGTACCAATGGTATGGGTACGGGGACAGGTTCGGGGGCAAGTATGGGGACAGGTATGGGGGCAGGTATGGGTATGGGTACTGGTATGGTTATGGGACAGGACCAGCACCACCAGAGGTCTGCCTCTGACTCAACTCCAGACAATGACCCCACCGATCTGTACCCTCCCTCACACCACCTCATCCCTCCGTACCTGCCCAACTCTACCATCCCATTCGCCACCACCACCACCCCAGAAAACAACCCCCAAGCGATTGGTCCCTTCAACGCTCCCTACCTCCCTTCCTCACCTTCCCACCCTCTCATCGCTCCACCGGGACAGATTGTGGCGGGAATGGGAATGGGTATGGACCAGGAAGGGGTGTTTGTTCGGTCCCAGAGTGCGGAATTCGAGGGGAGAGTGGCCGTGGCGACGACAGGAGGAAGGGCACAGGCGGGCAGCGGACGGCGTGTCACGCGGAGAAACTCGGTCGATGCAGGGACGTTGGGAGGCCGATCGAGCTCGGGTAGTGCTGCTGAGATGGGAATGCGGATGGGAGGGCAGGAGATGGGGGGGCAGGAGAGGGGTGGTAAGAGCCCTATCAAGTCGTGTCTGTCGCCGGCGAATGGAGTGGGAGGGACGAAGCTGAAGAAGCAGGTTTCGTTTAACCGTGTGGTGCGCGTGCGGAGGTTCCCATCCTGCGATGCCAGCATTGGTCAATGAGGATGAGATGAGACACGAGGTAGTCAGCGTACCGGCATGGGAGGCTCGGTTATTGATGGCCCACCGGCATGAGATGGGAAGCACGAAGCTGAAGAAGCAGGTGTCGTTTAATCTCGTGGTGCGAGTTAGGAGTTTCCCATAATGCGATGCCGGCATTGGGAGATGACATGGCATGAGGATCTTGACATGACATGACGTGACATGACTTAACATGACATGACATGACAAGACGTGACATCAAGGCGTGACTTAACATGACATGACATGACAAGACGTGACATCAAGGCGTGACTTAACATGACATGACATGACAAGGCGTGACATGACAAGGCGTGACATGACAAGACGCGACATGCAAGACGCGACATGACATGACATGCATGGCATCATATGACGAAACTTAATGGTGGTACTCTTTCTGTTTGTTTGTTTGTTTGTTTGTTTTTTTGTTTGTTTTCAGCGTGTGCGCTCACATGTTCATGCGCGTGTGTGTGGGGCAGGCCCCCAGAAGTCAGAAATTTCTCTGATTTGGGTGAAGAAGTCTGATATTTCAGACTTTTTTTAGAGACTCAACTCTGATGTTTCAGCTTTTTTTTTTAAGGATGAGTCTGATAAATCAGTTTTTTTTCGGGAGTGTACTCTGATCCATCAGAGTACAATCGTGTACCGACTCTGATTCAATGTACCTGGGCTGGCGCCGACACCCGGGATCAGGGCCTATGTTTGGTTTTTGGCTACTCACGATTAGCAGTGTAGCCTTTTTCAAAACCCTTCTGATCAGTGTGTAATTTTTCGTTACACTGATACATCAGTGTAACATTGAGTTTCGAAAAATTTACACCAGAGCATCAGTATAGTATATTTGTGTACCCTTATCGCATAAAACATTTGTAGTAAATTGGGCGCTGGTGGGTGGAGGTTGTGGGGACCTCGAGTCCCAAATTTGGGACTCGTGTCCCCAAACCCACGTTTTCGCCGAGTCAGCAAGCTTCCCGGGGGGAACGTGGGTTTGGGGACCTCGAGTCCCAAATTTACGAGTCAATATAAAGTTTTTGCAGTGAGTGCAGATTTGACCAATCAGGTTGCATCGCCTCTACAGTAGGTTGCAAGCAGGCATGGAGTGACGCGGGGTCGGTTGTCAGTACTCACGTGCTGATGTCGTAGTAAATCATTACGAAATTGAGTATATCGTTACGAAATTTCTAGGAAACTTCGTCTCGATGAGTAGAGTTTCGAGGGGGGGGTGCCTTGTACGCCCTTAAGGGTAATCTTCGCTACGGGAAAATTTACCCCAGAGCATCAGTGTGGCCTAAATCGTTTCACTGTCAAATCAGTGTAACACTAATTTTCAAAAAAAAAAACCCAAACACATCAGTGTAGGCCCTAAATTTCACCCTTCTCATCAGTATAGCAGTGTGATTTACACTGATAAAATAGGCACTGCCCGGGATTAGCGGTTGCATTTGACTGTTGTCCCGTCAATCACGCTATATGTGGGACAACAGTCAAGTTTTGGCAGCGAGGCCGCCCTGCGGCGCGGTTATTCCCACGTAAACACCAGTGCACACCTTCTTTGTGTGCTGATTGGTCCTTGTGGCAGCTTTTCGAGCCAACAAGGACTTTCCCCCCATTTGCAGCCATGAAACACAACCGACAGCAGTGCACGGCAGAAGCGCCTCGTCGTTGCCGTGCATGCTAGGCAACCACATCCCCTTTCATTGATGGCCCGTGGAGGGGTAAGGGGCCTTGTGTCTGAGCTAGGGTTTCATCCCTCCCCGTGCTTCAACATGCTGTCAACCACACCTCCCTAGTTCCTGCTCGGCAGGCTTTCTCAGACCCCGCGATGGCTTTCCAGGCCGATGCCGCCACAGGCGATGAAGATGATGACGGTCCTCACATCAGAACGGGGTTAGACTTTTTGCTTAGCTCGCTAGCACTAGAGAAGGCGGCTTGCGCCAGTCCTGATACAATCCCCATACCGAAAGAACCAGCACCAGCGGTCTCATCTCCAACTGATACTGTGATAGTGACGGATGAAGAACCTACCGTTGGTTCTGCCCTGCATCACGTCTGTGAGCCCACCACCGCCACCAAAGCGCGCAATGTCCGTCTGAAGCAGGCTACGTTGAGCTTCGAGAAGGTGTCTGCGACGACAGCATTTGACAACAATGAAGCTGGCCCATCTGAACGGTCGCGTCCACGACTCGATATCAATTTAGCGCAGCTCATCCATGATGTGTATGAGGATGCACATGACAAGTTTACTACGCAGTGGCGTGGTCGTTTTTCGTGGCTTGTGCTAACTAAAACCTCTACTGGACTCCCTGCGTTTAAGTGCAGTGTTTGTCAGGCCCATGCTGGCGACGCAGGCAAGTGCGGGAGGCGCGGGAAAGGTGCCACAGACGTGCAGACACAATCCTTCCGGAAGCATGCCGGCACTAACAAGCACAAGCTGGCTGTGTCTAAGTTCACCTCGTTAGTGGAAGGCGGGACGAGGCAGCCTCTGATCGACCAGCTTCGAGTCTGTGTCGACGAGGAGAAGCTGCGCGTCGTTTCCCTTCTTGACTCTTTGCTGTTCGTCAGTAAGTGTGACGCGCCAATGGGGATGTGGGTCAAGCTTGTTCGGTACCTGTCGGAGAAGGGTGTGAAGGGTTTCCCCAAGAAGGGGTACGGCACATACTATACCACGTGAGTGCATATGTTACTTCTTCTGCAACAGTTGCACATGTACGATGCTCTGCAATTCATGTTTGTTAAACCACGTTAACTGAGCGTGCTATTTTATGTGCAGGTACGGTTTCGGGGAGCTAACGCAGTCGACTGCAACGTGGCTTCAAACAACCCAGCTGGAGCATGTGCTCTCAAGTCCCTTCATCGGCATCTCCCTCGACGAGAGCACGGATCGGTGCAGCGGGAAGCACCTAATCCTCTACGTCACTTTCATCCGCAACTGCAAGCTGGTCACGGAGTTCATGCAGCTTATCACAGTGGATAAGGCGGACGCCGCCTCGCTTCTAACTCTTCTTCTGTCACACCTGCAGGCAGTCGGCGCCGACCTGAGGCGGATCTATGGCATAAGCACCGATGGTGCCAACGTCATGATGGGCAGCAAGTCAGGCCTGGTGACATGCCTACGACTGCGCATTCCCCACTTGGTGTCGTCGCACTGCATCGTGCGCAGGTATATCGAATTATGTAATGTATAGGGAGGCACTGGCTGCCAAGCATGCTGCTGAGAAGATCCCAGCCTTCAGCATCATCGACATGGTGATTCGAACCGTGGCGGAGCATCTCGGCAGGTCCGGGCCGTGGCACCAGCGATTCATGGGCCTGCAAGAGATTTTCACGTCAACAAGCCTGGAACTGCAAGGGATACATGCAGTTCGCTGGCTCTCACGGGGCGATGCCATGCTGAGGCTCATCGCCGTGTTGCCTGCTCTCATTGTGATGCTGAAGGAGTGGGATGAAACCTTGTACGCGCTCGTGACAAGCTACAGGTTTCATTTCCTACTGTTCTTCATTGCTGATGTGCTGGAGCAGCTCAACATCCTCAACCGGGCTTTCCAGCACAAGGAGGTGAGCTGGGTTATGTTGTGTTCCATTCGTTACACGTACCGTTGCCTCTGCAATGTCCAAGGACCGTGACTAACACCCCTCCTTGCCTTTCTTGCCTTGTCATCAGCTGGATTATGCCAGTGTCCATGCGCAGATAAAGCGCACAACCTCCCACATCGAGAGCCGCTATGTCGACTGCGGCGATGACTTCGGTGCTGGCGTGAGCAAGAGGTTGTCTCCTTTCCTCGCGCGTCATGGGCCTGGAGGAAATAGGGAGGTGACTGCCGAGGGTGTGGACTCCGACGGGCGCCCTGCACGCTTCAAGTTCAAGCTGCATGAGGACACCCTGGAGGAGTTTGAGGGTCCCGCGAATCATGATGGCTGCGTGGACGTGTGCACCGAGTTTGCGTAGAAGATCGTCCACGAGCTGGTTTCGCGGCTTGGCGACCTGGAGGGAATGTCAGGGGCGAAGCTGTTCACCCCTGATGAGTGGCCGCTGGAACGTGGAGAGAGGAACATGAGATGCCTCCAGTGGCTGGAGTTTCTTGTCACACTGTTCAAGGCCGACGAGTGTGAGGAAATTCTGCCAGAAAAGCACGGATTGCCATCACTGATGAATGTGTTTGTTTGGCATTGTCTTTTAGTTGCGACGTTGTTGTATCCTCGTGTGTGATGTAACGCAGTGCAGTGCTCTTAAATCCCTTTTCCTGTGTCTCTACGTTTCCTCCCCCGCCAGGAATCAACAAGCGACGTGCGGTGAAGGAGCTGCGCATGTTCACCTCCGTGGTTGCAGCATCCAACAAGAACGAGCGCAGCTTCAACGCAGGACTCACCGCTATGCTGAAGACACCTGACTGGCGCGACAACTACCCCAACCTGGTGCAGTTGTGGGTGGCGGTAGCATTTCTGCCGCTGAGCACCGTGGAGTGCGAGAGAGGCTTCTCTCGGCAAAACATTATTAAGTCATGGCAGCGAGGCTCCTTGAAGGACGCGAGGCTTGGAGACCTCATGTGCATGAGCCTCATGGAGTATGAGCCAAACTGGGAGGACATTGTGGGGATCTGGAGGAGCTACAAGAAGCGCAAGCCCCACAGCAACGCTCCTATCACTGGAGGGAAGCAACAGAGCAGGCAGGGCAAGGAGCCTGTGGAAGAGGAGATGGTAGTAGTCGACCTAGGAGATGATGATGCATGTGATAGCGATGATGGATTCAATGAGTAGCCTAGATAGGATAGGATAGCTAGCTAGTATGTATCCTAATTACTTTAGTTAAACCAAAGTATGATTAGTTTATATTTATGTTGTAGATGTTAACTAGTGTAGTAAAACAAAGGCCAACAGACGGTCCTCCAGAACGAAAGTTACAATCAGACAAAATTCTAGTATAGAATTTGAATATTCAGACTTTTTTAACATTGGACTCTGATATTTCAGCTTTTCTTTTTGTACCAACTCTGATTAATCAGACACAATCAGTGTACCAAGTCTGACGAATCAGACAGGCCAAAAACGAATATGAGGGCCTGGTGTGGGGGGAGAAGCCTGGGGATAGGAGAGGATAAGGGGGAGGGGAGGGTAGGGTGTCAAAATGTTATAGTGTTTACATTGTGTAGGTTGTAGTGGGGTAGCCTATAAAGGGTACAACCCAATTAGGGTTAGTACTTGTACTCAACTCATTCATAGTTCATTCATTCTCATTCAGTATTCTGACATGGTTGTAGAGCAAGTCTTGTTCTAGGACCGATTTCTTTAGGGCCCACGTTTAGCTTAGGAGCCTAGGCCAAGCGGATGTCGAGGAGTTTGTGCAAGAGAGAATCGAGAATGTGTGTTGTTCACTATAACATACAAGGTACATATAGCAAACTAGAAAGGGTGCACGACCAACAGAATGTATAACAAACTACAGCTACAGCTACAGGCACTTATAGATAGATATATATAATATATCGCGACACATCCCCTAAGTGCCTGCAGCGCATAGCAATAACAAGTCACTGAGGAGTGGAAAAAGCATGGGAAACAACATCACATATCAGCCATGATAAGTGCAATGACAGCAGGTGCAGGACCCGAGAGGTGGGCGTGAGAGCAGGTGCCGTGGCTGCAACGAGCAGCAGGACAGTACAGCTCATCACCTCCGGGGGCGTGCCTGCTACAGGCAGCAGTTGCACTAATGGCAGATAGAGCCACAGTGACCTCAGCCACAGCAGATGCAGCAGCGACAGGTGCAGGACCCGGCAAGCGGGCGTGAGAGCAGGCGCTGTGGCTGCAACGGACAGCAGGACAGCACCGCTCACCACCTCCGGGGGCGTGCCTGCTACAGGCAACGGCTGCAAATGCCCGACTTGCTTCTGCCACCCCCTTACCCGCCCACTCAACCTCTCTGGTGCTGGCGGCTGGCGCTGGTGCTGGTGCCTGGTGCTGGCGGCTGGCGCTGGTGCGGGTGCCTGGTGCTGGCGGGACAGCATTGGAGCTGGTGCTGGTGCTGGCGGCTGGCGCTGGTACTGGTGCGTGGTGCTGGCGGCTGGCGCTGGTGCTGGTGCCTGGTGCTGGCGCTGGTGCTGGTGCCTGGTGCTGGCGGCTGATGCTGGTGCCTGGTGCTGGGGTGATGGCGCTGGAGCTGGTGCTGGTGCTGGCGGCTGGCGCTGGTACTTGTGCCTGGTGCTGGCGGCTGGCGCTGGCGCTGGTGCTGGTGCCTGGTGCTGGCGTGACGGCGCTGGTGCCGTCGCTGGAGCTGGTGATGGTGCTGGCGGCTGGCGCTGGTGCTGGTGCCTGAGGCTGGCGGGTGGCGCTGGTGCTGGTGCCTGGTGCTGGCGTGACGGCGCTGGAGCTGGTGCTGGTGCTGGCGGCTGGCGCTGGTGCTAGTGCCTGGTGCTGGCGGCTGGCGCTGGTGCCTGGTGCTGGCGATGGTGCTGGTGCCTGGTGCTGGCGGCTGATGCTGGTGCTTGGTGCTGGCGTGACAGCGCTGGAGCTGGTGCTGGTGCTGGCGGCTGGCGCTGGTACTTGTGCCTGGTGCTGGCGGCTGGCGCTGGCGCCTGGTGCTGGCGGCTGGTGCTGGTGCCTGGTGCTGGCGTGACGGCGCTGGAGCTGGTGCTGGGTGCTGGTGGCTGGCGCTGGTGCTGGTGCCTGGTGCTGGCGTGACGGCGCTGGCGGGGTCTCTGCTGGCGGTGTAGCTGCTGGCGGGGTCTCTGCTGGCGGTGTAGCTGCTGGCGGGGTCTCTGCTGGCGGGGTCACTGATGGCGGGGTTTCTGCTGGCGGTGTCGCTGCTGGCGGGGTCTCTGTTGGCGGGGTCTCTGCTGGCGGGGTCTCTGCTGGCAATGACGCTGCTGGCGGTGGCGCTGCTGGCGGGGTCGCTGCTGGCGGTTCCGCGTGTTCGCTTGCTGGCGGGCTTGTGGGTCGCGTACGATCTGGAGCGTGCAGTGGCGGAGCAGTAGATTCTCCTGCCATTCCCGCCACGCCCGCCATTCCCGCCACTCCCTGTCAGAATGTTATGTTTGTCTAGCCTGCAGTGGGGTACTCAATAGTGAGTACAGCCCAATCTAGGGTTTGCTATATGTACTCAACTGCTTGCTAGTGCAACCTCTTTTTCTCGTTTCTAACTTTCAACTGCTATTCCAACATGGAATCAGAGCAGGTCGACCCTCGTGGGTCGATCCTGTGCATGGGCCCACCATTGTCTTCCGCTGCTACACTGCCTATCGCGCGCCTCGGGCGCGCACTGTCTTCCTGTCTCCCGCGCGCCCATGGCGCGCGGCCCTTTTTCTTCCCGCCGCGCGCTCGAGTCGCGCGGCGGTTTTCTGCTCGTCGCGCCGCCCTGGGGGCAGCGCGACGCCCTGATTTGCCCGTCGTGCGCCCCGTGGCGCGCGACGGTGCCCTGCCCGTCGCGCGCCTCGGGGCGCACGGCGGTTTCGTTGCCCGGGGGGGCTCGTGCGCCCCCCCCCCCCCCCCCCCTTCGTCGCCCGTCGCGGCGCCAACAGGGGCCCGCGCGCCCCCCCCCCCTTCGTCGCCCGTCGCGGCGCCATCGGAGGCCCGCGCGGCCCCCCTCCCCCCCCCCTTCGTCGCCCGTCGCGGCGCCAACAGGGGCCCGCGCGCCCCCCCCCCCCCCCTTCGTCGCCCGTCGCGGCGCCAACGGGGGCCCGCGCGGCCCCCCCCTTCGTCGCCCGTCGCGGCGCCAACGGGGGCCCGCGCGGCGGCCCCCCACAGGGTCGCCTCGACAGGCGACGGGAGGGGCGACTGACGGGGGCCACGCGTCGGCCCCTCCTGTTTTCGTCGCGCCCCCCCCCCCCCCCCCCCCCCCCATCTCCGGCCCTGCCCTGTGTTAGGGTTTGGGGGTGGCGAGTGGGGGGTGGCGGGTGTGTGGCATCACCTGCTCCTCCTCCTCCTTCGTCTCCCACTGCTGCAGCTGACGCTGAGGGGGGTGGGTGTGTGTGAGTCGACGGAGTGGTGCTAGGGGGTGGAGTGTGAGTGAACCTAGGGGTGCAGCAGGGGGTGTGTGAATGGGGGGTGCGGCAGTAGAGGGAGGTTGGGTGGAGGTAGCCGTCGTGTTGCCAGCAGTGCCAGTAGTCCGGAGGTGCGCTTCCGGTAGCCCAGTGATGCCGCTGCGCCAGTCGCCCGTGGGTCCGTTGCTCCTGCCGCTCGTCTTAGCCGCGGAGCCAGTTACTCCTGTAGTCCGGAGGTGCGCCTCCGGTAGCCTCAGTGCGAGCCGCTCCTGTTGCCCGTGTGTCTGCAGCTTCCGCCGTTGCCTCCTCTCTCCTTTCCTATTAGTCCAGCCTCCTCCTCCTCACTTGCCCTCTGTGATAGCCTCTAGTTTTACTTATTTGCTGTGAACTATAAACTGTCACTTCTTGTACTTGTGCTCAGAATGTGTGGTGACATTGTGATCCACCCTGAGCTTGTCTTTGCTTTACTTTGCTTGTTGTGCTGATTACACCCCACTTTGGCTATGGGGGTGTGTCAGAATGTTATGTTTGTCTAGCCTGCAGTGGGGTACTCAATAGTGAGTACAGCCCAATCTAGGGTTTGCTATATGTACTCAACTGCTTGCTAGTGCAACCTCTTTTTCTCGTTTCTAACTTTCAACTGCTATTCCAACACTCCCTTCACAGCAGCTGCGAAGTCGACGGGAAGGCGGGCGGGGTCGGAACGGGACGGGACGAATTTGTGGGCTGGCGTTGATGCTCAAGTGACGGCTGCCACCCCTTTCCCCTTCTCCTCTCCCCCCCCCACTGCGACCGTCGATGTTTCCACGCCAGGGAGCCGCGACGAGGCAGCGTGACGGGGAAGGGCAACGCGGAACGCAGTGGTGGGTTTAGGGGCCGACGGGGGGGAAGAGCGGCGGCGCGAAACAGCGGGTCGGCGAGCGCCGTCACTCCCATTGCGACCGTTGCGTTTGTCACGACTACCGTGACGGAT